TATGCGTGTATATATCTCACTTAATAACTTAAGGCACGATCATTATTCTTGCACAGAATACTTCAACAAATAACCTTAGGATTGGAATATATTACTCGATGAGACTAGTTTAATGACGTTTACAAAAGTACAGCCCTATACGACGTGAGTAAAGAATCCCTACCTGTTACCTCCTGTTTTATTGATTGAGTCTTTCAAAATTTGCGTTATATTTGCTTGAACAAACGTTATATATATATCAGCCGTTTCTAGCTAATGCAAATTATTTTATTTGCATAATGTCTGCAGACAGGCTATATTTATAGTGAAGATCAGAATGCGATATTGCTGCACCTGACGCGGGTAAATTGATCTCACGTTTCCGTCTTTGAAAGCAGTGTTGAAAGTTTTGATATGTTTCACTTAAGGTCAAGTGCATAAAAATAAAAATCCTGTAGTTTTATCAACAGGAAAATATTACATCCGGACGTATATCCTTTCAGAAGTCATGGCCTGACCCTACTGTACTTTTGCTATGGCGCTCCGATGTTTTGCCAAATAGGAAAAATTGTCCAGAATAAGTCAGAATATGTACAATAAGATCGGTTAAAGTCATATCGATTTGTTGTTAAAGGGTTATAGATGATGTTAGCCTTAGACTAAGTGAGTGCAAATCGGTCACTTAATTATATTTTTAAAGAATGCAAGGATTCTTGTTTTTTAAACAGCAATGACAACATGCATTTAGATATTTTGTTTAAAGATACACTAAGTATATATACATAAAATTTCTCTCAGGTTTTTGAAAAGAAATTTAACGTCAACAGGCAAGCAAGATAGCCGTGCAGTTGCCGAGCAATCTTATCAACAATGACATTATATTTCATTAAAATTTAAAAATAGTATATACACATTTGCTTTTTATTATCTAAGTCGACTTCCTGTCTGACATTCGTCGTCTGCCTGGCGTGTATGAATTTGAAGCTTAATTGTAAACGTTCTCACAATATATAATTAGGGATATTTATATTCATATATTGTCCTTCCAAAAAGGATAGATTCCAATTTAACTTGATGATGTTCGATTTGCAATCGACACACATTGAATTTCTGTTGAAATATACAGATATTTTTATTGAAATATACGAATAAAATAGAGGCTTAATGAATATGCTATATATGTATGCTGCATTCTATAACTTTGCTGTTTTTATTTATTTTCAGTGTTATTTACCACGGTTCAATAGCTTATATTCAAGGATATACTAAATGGATAATTGTAAAAAATACTTGCATGGTTTATTTCTGTCATTCTTTTTTCAAGATTCAAGCTAACTGCGAAAATAGCAGTCAACAGTTTTGGTAGTTTATCATCGAAATCCCGGAAATCATGCACATTCAATACTTCGCTTTTCAATCTTATTCCCATTGTATTACTTTGGACTCCTGACAAGTCAGGAAACAAGTCGATGCAAAAAAAAAATTAATAAATTCGTATTTTTTGAAATTAATTTTATTTTGTTCATTTGGAATTTGCGAACGATGAGTATAGTGTAGGATCACATTTCGCAGGAAAGCTTTGTCAGTTTGAGGTCAACATGGTTAAAAAGTTGAAAGAAACAATTCAGTTCTTCCAGTTAGTCTTCAACTCCGAGGAATTCAATTAAAAATATTCATACCTTTTAAGGAGAGTGGCAGCAAAGAATATAAATTATAATTAAACTATTCACCAAGAGGGTAACCTTGCAGTTACGCTTCCTGTAAGGTCAACTGATGCAATATTTTTGTAAATAATTTTTCAAAACCAACAACAACTTTATTCAATCGGGCATGTCGATGCAAATTTTTCAAGAGCACGAAAAACTTTACCTTTTGGATCGAAATATTTTTAGTTTTTAGGTTTTCGTCTCTCGTATGCTACTGCTTGCAATTAGGTCCATTTCCTTAGAAACATGACAGCAATTTCATTTAATTGCATGCTCATGCAAATTTTTTTTCGCATGTTATAAATAAAAATGAGAAATGTGTTGAACAGGTGAAAGAAAGTTAGTTTCGTTTTGGACAGTCTCAGGAGACTGCTATTGTAAGCAAGTCTTGTATTAAGGACGCCGAAATTGATTCGGCATACAATATCTTGAGTTTAAAAGAATATATACGTCGGAGTTCCGAGAAAAAGCATCAGTAAAAGTTGATATTTCTGAACACTTTTGAAAGAAATAATCTGGCATTGGCTTCAGTACAAGGTTAGTTTCGCACTTCGTAAGATTATTAATTAAATTATCTTCTACAGACTCTTAGGCAAGATATGGGTTTTACATTTTTGAGTGTTTTAATGTAACTAAGCGTTTCCGAATTTTGACCATTTTGATGCCACGTTCACAAGGTCAAACTATAGTCTCCACTATATACTTCAATTTTACTCATAAATTGATGCTGTTTGTATGTGAAAACGCTTGAAAACATTAGCGTACGTAGGCACTACGATAATCGATAGACACTACGATAGGCACTACGATAATCGATAGACACTACGATAGGCACTACGATAATCGATAGACACTACGATAGGCACTACGATAATCGATAGACACTACGATATAGGCACTACGATAATCGACTGATAGAAACGAAGTATATATAGGCATATATAGACAATATATATAAAAAATCGCTTCTGTATTGAATATACATGTAAATGATGTAACATGTTTATTGGATTGGTTTGGATGCATGCACTTGGGATGAAGAGCATTATAGGAGACGGATAAAAAAACTTCGCCGAGCAATTTAGATGAATATTGCGTATGATATGGCTATAGCGCTATACTTGCAGCTGTTCTCACTTTCGTTTATTGTAAAATTTTTTTTGTTTATTTTTACCTTTACATCAAACAAACATGCAGTAAAGCTTCTGACAATTAACATAAAGAATTCTCAAGTTACAACCTTCAATAAGGATAGAGGTTTTTGCTGACAATATATTTGTGATTTGTTCTTATTTTTTTGTGAACTATAACTTAATTTGAATTATTAGGGCTGTTGCTAATTCTATAAGCACTCACTGCTGTGTATTCAACTTGCAATGGGGTCCATGACAACCATGAATATCAATATGATGTTAAAGTCATAAAACTTTCATGGGGTCTTTTCACACCTTAGTGTCCCGCGCAGACTGTCTCGATTTCAACCAATCAAAACGAATCGTAATCTCATGTGATTATTTAGGATTGTCCTTTTGGCTGTTTCTTCGTCGCTTTAATTCTTCGTCCTAACTTTAGTGATTCGTTCGAGCTTTCCTCTTTAAATTATAGGATAAACAATTAAAGTGGATCCTGTTTGACGACAAATCTGCTCACATCTTCATTTGTGCTTACTCAAAGGGGAAACTAAAAGTCGTTCTTCGCCGCAGAGGATAATTGTATCGGGACACATCATAATGCTAAAAAGAAGTAGAAAATCGATATTCAAACGTCATGAGCCCCAAAAAATTGATATCGATAGACGGGAACATAAACTGCAGTATTTTTCTAAAGGATATTGGTATTCCAAGATGCTTGTAGATTATGAAATAGGGAACGGTAAAGAGAAACATCAGGACGTTGTATATAGTGGAAAGTGGACTTTGTTACCAGGCAATGCTACAAAAATCAAAGTTAGATTTCAGGTGATGCGTTTTCTTGGTGTTTGGTCTGATGTGAAAGAATACGACCGTTTCAAAAAATGTTGGGTAGAACCAATCCAGCCTCATATTTTCAAATACGACACACCAGTCAGTTGCACGTACACCTTGGCTGGAAACTTGTTTTACGAAGCTGTAATGAGGGTCACTGGAGTTGAAGATATAGAAGAAACGACTAACGTCGAAGTTAGATCTCAGGTAATGCATGATAAGTACAGTCTTAATGAACAATAATACAACACCCGGAAGAATTTTATTTTGTGGTGGTAATGTCTGGTTTAAGGAATAGAAGGTTCAGGATTTTAATTACTACCTTCACCACACAACACCACATTTCACCACAAAAAATAAAGAGTGATCGGCCTGTAACTTTTTATCATCTTCATAATATATATCCTAGTATGGAGATACACGCATCAAGGGTGAAACTGCGTATCAGCCACTCAGACAGAATATCCACGCTCCATTAAGTCACGACAAAAACAAACAAGAGTTTACTTCAAATGTTTTACTCGACATAGCCGCTGCAGATGACTCAGGTAAAGTTCATTGATAACAGGTGCTTTCGAAAGAAAAAAGTAATTGAAAACTGCTTTTCAATCCTGAGGAAATGCCGTGGAAAGTACAAATATTTGCTCTATGAAATGCTGTATATCCGAGATGTGAGACTATCATTGAACACGCAATCGGACTCAATTCGTTCTAAACTATTAGTTAATTGATACGTATTTAATATTCTTTTTATATGTTGTTGTAATATGTTAGTCTCTTATATTATATTGCATATAAAACACTGTTTGTAATCTAGAATAACTTTGTAGTTAGTGTATGCAATTATTTATATACGTGACTGTCAAAGAACCGTTGAACTTTAAATTACAAAGATAGCGCAATCATGTAGATTCATTGATTACTTGAAAATGATGCACAACATTGCATCGAAACGTCGTAAAATTAAATTTATATCGGTTTTATTTGTGTCCGAAATATTTTCTAAAAGTTTATTACTTAAAAAGAATTGCAATCTTTTTGCCTCAGAAACAGAACTTCTTGTTGAGTACCATGAAATAGCTACGCATTTAGATAATTTTAATTTCCATTATTTGATATAGGTCAGCGGTATAAGTTGTACGAAACACACGTTCTTGACAAAATGTGTGACATCAAGATTGATTTTCAAAAGCATCTTACAAAGTAAGAAAACACTTGCTTTGTGTAATTAACGATTGAATGATTAAATGACAGTTAATAATCGTTTAACGTTTAGGTTGGAATGGTTGGAGAGTTTTAAAGTTGTCGATGCGGATGAGGAATGCAGTGAACGGCATTTAGAAATTGTTTGCAAGTTTGGCAAAGTACCTCGTACCCGTGACCTCATAAATATCTTTGGGAAACCGTTCCTTCCATTCGTTACGTATAACGAAGGTTAGTCTAAGTTATATAATATTTAAAAGTTATATATGCGCCAGAACGACCTCACTTATTTATCATAAGCGATAACGCTTACCGAGACCTTGATAACTCTGCATATCACAAAAGCTGAATTCAATAATTGATTTATTATACATTTGAAGAATAGTAACATTTGAAGAATAGTAAACATAGTATTAACGAATGAAAAACCTTTTTTAATAGCAACATCCAAAAAAACATCAATTATTAATACATAAATACATTCAAATGAATACCGCTTGTTAACCACCGCAGGCTCACTTGTAGATAACTCAGTTATCTGCAAGCAGTTAACTGAATTTTGCGTGATTGCGCGATTTATCTGTCAACTATTAGCCAATCAAATTGCTTTTACTACTATAATGTATAATAATTTCCACTATTTGATATAGGTCAGCAGTATAAGTGGTTTGGAGCACACGTTCTTGACAAAAATAGTGAAATGAAGATTGATTTTCAAAAGCATCTTACAAAGTAAGAAAACATTTGCTTCGTATAATTCATGATTGGATGATTAAATGAGAGTTATTAATCGTTTAACGTTTAGGTTGGAATGGTTGGAGAGTTTTAAAGTTGTAGATGCGAACAAGGAATGGGGTGAAAGTCATCTAGAAATCGTTTGCAAGTTTGGTTACGTACCTCGAACTCGTGACATCATCAATATATTTGGGAAAGAGATCCTTCCATTTATTGAATATAGCGAAGATTGAGATGGAGTCCGAATTAAACCGGCTGCATCGACGCGAAAAATTTTATTGCAGAAAGTCAAATTGAAACAAATCTGGCTAATATATTTAACAAGTACAAAAAATAATCTATGAAATTAACTAAGTCTTGGTGGAGATGCTGCAGTAGATTGTAGCCTACATTAACAGGCGAAGCACCTTGCCACAACTGGAATTAAAAACAATCCTAACGAACAAAAGTTGTCCGATATAGATAGTTGCACTATACATATGGATAGCCAACATGAAAAGCACTTGCCCACACAAGAAAGTATAGGGTTGTCCGATCAGAAAAAATCTATTGGTTCCTATCATACCCGTACTACAATTTTTGAGACTATGTTGAAACTAAAGTTTTAGTTCTGTTTCTAGCTCCTGTTGCTTCAGTTGTACATATTTTATTAGGTAAAAAATATATTAAATGAAATGTAATGAAAATGCATACATGCATGCAATCATATTATATATTTTAACAAGGCGTTAAAGTTAGTTGCTAGGCGTTAAGGTCGTTTCGTTCATACAGAAATTTAGCATTTCGTAAGGCAGATTGCAGCACTTCGTAAGGCAGTCCTTTGACACAACTGTACTAGAGTTTTCAAGTGATACTAATGAGATCTCGTAAGATTGTATTGTGATTTTATTCAGTTTGATAAGAGTATTCGGCGAATTCAAGATAATCAACTTATGTTCAACATAAATGTAGAAAGCAGGAGAGACACAGAACAGCCTATTTCGAAACCGCTCGACATCTTTTAGTGTAGGCTTACTCTGCTCGGCGTGTGCAGTTGTATGTGTAACGAGCGTAAAGATGAGGATAGCACTTCCTAGCATTTTGATCGCTTTCTTGATTCTTGTAATACTGCTTCGAAGGTGAAACGAAATATGCCCAAAGTTAATACAACACGTGATATACACTGGCGGTCAAAAAGAACTGGTAACAGGAATCTTAACAATCAATCTTTTATTGTACACTAGCGGTCAAAAAGAACTGTTTAGATACAAATTCATAAAGAAGAAGCGAATATAGGAGAGAGCTTCATAGGCATTTTAGATAATTCTCTTATTCCAAGCAATATTTCAATAATGTAATGCAACCTGCCACACTTCCAAGATATCCAAACAATGGTTTCATGAGAAGAGGGACTGACAGAAATGGATTGGCCTGCACAGTCAAAAGACCTTAACCCTATTGAAAATCTGTCAGTGGGACAACGTCAAGGGGATAGTGCAAGAAAGAAATTAATTCATAAAGGGTCCATAATTTATGGGTTGCTGTAAAGACCGCTAAGATTACCACCTTAACAGAAAGTATGCCACGCCGGTGTAAGGCCGTCATCAATTATAAGGCCAAAGGAGGGTCAACAAAATATTAATATTTCATATAGCTTAGCATCTAATCTAGTCTATATTTACTCGTATATATTGTTAAAGGGACAGTTACGTTCATTTGAGAGCATTTTAACTTGTTTTGAGCAGTTCTTTATGACCGCCAGTGTAATAATAGAGCCAACGATAGAGTCTTGTTTAACCGTAGCGTAGCAACTCAGTGAACTCACCTGCAGTAATTGCTAGGCTACGGTGAACCAAAACCCACAGCGTAAGTTAGACGATCAACTGCAGGTAAGTTGCTATAGGCTACGGTTAACCAAGACTCTATAATTGCCTTTATTATTATGGTATCCCAGTATTTTTACAACGCTCCAAAAAATTTCTTTGTTTGATTGATCCATATTCATGTTAATAAGTATTTGTTTCATCATGAAACTATAGACAGCATGACCGCCAAGGTATTAGCGACCTTAAGCATGTAGGACGCGAAAACGACGACGACGGCTATCAAAACAATGGGTCATTGAACAGAAATGAATAATTAAAGACCCATGATGGGTTTCAGAAGTCGTCTTCGTTCTGTTTACAACGGGAAAGCGTCGTATTTTACGTCTTGCCTAGAACGGGTGCATTTCAGGACCCAGCAAGCCCTACCTCGAATTAGGCTCTATAGAATTGTCCTTAAACATGAACACAATGTTTTTAACGCCTTATATCTCACTAAATCGGTACAATTAATAATATACAACAACAACTTTGCAATAGCATTTATTTAAAGGAGAATTTCATCCGCGTCGTCGTCGTGTTGCCGTCCAATGTGCTTAAGGTCCCTATTAATTGGGCGACAGTGACCTGTAGGGACAGTATTTTTATTATTAATAAAAAAAATTGGTCTAATTTTCAGTGAAATTGACAAAAAGAATGAAGAAAACTAGTTGCCCCATTTTAAACAGTAATACAATCAACACGGATTCATCCTTGTTACTGTAGTTAAGAATTAGGAAGGGAATTCCGAAGTAGTTAACGAAAAAGCATCACCATTTAAGAAATAGAAAAGATTTTCCGGGAAAAACTGTTTTCTATTGTAAACAGGAAAAAAATGATTTTTTATTTCTTTTATAATGTAACTGGAAAAAAAGATTTTGTACAAATATATAATTCGATTCAATTACAAATTCTCATTACATTACTTCGCTTCTCAAGTTCGGCGGGAAAATTCCCGTGTTTCTATACCTGCCACATACCTGCAATATTTTCATATAGCTTTGAATTGAATAACTATCTTTCCAAATAATGCGTGACTTTGCAACATATACAATAACTTCACCGGAGAAGTTTTCAGACAGTCGCTAAAACAACTTTTGAAAGTTGATCGAGGAAATGAATTGAATAAATTTTCATTTTCCGAAATCAAATTTATTTTTTTTATTTGGAATTTGAGAGCAATGAGTATAGCTATACAAAATATATTTCTTCTCAGAGATCCACAAGCTTTGTCAGTTTAAGGTCAATTTGTGAACTGCAACTCAGCTCTCTTGAAGGTAGTCTTCAACTCTGAGGAATATTCAATTATATTTCAAAATATTTCTATCATATTTTTATTAGATGCACGCAAGCAGGTATGACTGCAGAGCATGGGGGGGTGGGTGTCAAACATTGAAACAAACATTGAGAATCTTCCGTGTAGCCACCCACAAACACGCGACGCGACAGTCTGGAAAAATCGTCAAAGCTAATCGTGATAATTTTAATATCTTGAATATTTTTCAAAGAGTCTATAAAATGTTTTCCCGTGTACCCGTCTCAACTGAATATAAACACAACGCGAAGAACCGTTAACTGGCCAATGAGATGCGATGAGGCGGCTTGGGAAAGTTGCCGCAAAGTTGTCAAAAATTGTTTAATTTTGCTGGTTGCCAACAAAATATTGACGATTTCAAACATCGCGATTAAAGAAATCGCCAGTGTGGCTTTAGTCGGCGTATGATATCTTTACCGAGTTTGTAAGAAAATAAATTATACAGGAATTGAGAAAGAAAAATTCTGGAAAAGTCAATATTGTTGAACACTTCAAATAAGGAATATTCGTGCTTTGGCTTTCCAGGTTAGTTTCGAATTTCAAAGGATATAATGCACTACAACTTTTTTAGGGTTACGTGTACCTGTAGCCGTTTTCTATTGTTTTCGCTAAGCGTTTCCCAATTTTTACCGTTTTGATGGCACATTCACAGCGTCAAACTAGGGGCTATGGCCCTCACGATATAATTCTATCAAACATGCTTCTACGTTGCACGTACGTGCTAAACCAGATAGCGTTTATCTAAAAAGGCTTGAAAACATTAGTGTACGTAGTAGGCTCATTATGATAAGCGATAAAGAGACATAATTTTATAGCGCTTTTTAAATAGTGATAAAATATTTCTTCCTAGGGCCCGAAAAATATTGCGTGCATTCCTGCTTGAAATATATGTTTTATTCAAACTAATGAGTTAAGCGTGGACGTCAGGTAAAAAACAGGTGCATGATGCTTAACTGCATGGAAACTCAACAAGCAGCAGTCGCATTCGATTTCGTTCATTTTAGTGAAATAATTTGAAGTGAGCGTGGGTAGCCTACGACCAATTTTTGTTAACTTTTCGCTTCGCTTTCGCAAATAGCGGAACACTCTTCTGCATATTGCAAAGAATTCAATGAGAATAAAGTGTCTCATGTTTGATATCAATTTATTGTTCGCATCTTATTTTAAATAGTCATATTATGTACTTTCTTTATATGTATATACAATGTTCTACATTAGAAATATAAAAATTTGTTCATGCCATTTTGCAAGCCAAGTTACATTGAGTGAAAAAAGACTTGTAGGAATCTTCAATCACTATAGTTTCCAAGACCAGACACACCCAATGTTGGAAAATGGACGATTTTTGTAAACACGATAACAAACTAGGTTTTAACGCGAGTTGTTTTATATTTTTGCCTCGGAGCTAAACCTCAAATAAATAAAACTTTTCCAGTATTATACGTTTTACACGCTATAAATATAAAACTTCTACGATCTATCTGAAATAGTCAGTCGCTATTTTACTTAGACTCAACGGAATGCAAAAGTTCACCTGCTAGCCAATTGTCTTTAAAGTCAACCATGAAAATTTTATGAAGTTAGCTGTATTACTTTTTGAGTTATCTTGACGGATATTGCTGCACCTGACGCGGGTAATCTGATCTCATGATTTCCGTCTTTGAAAGTAGTGTAGAAACTCAAGGTCAAGTGCATAAAAATAAAAATCCTGTAGTTTTATCAACAGGAAAATATATTATATGCGGACGTATATCCTTTCAGAAGTCATAGACATTTTTTAAGCATCGTTTCTGCTCATGTGAGGCCCATTGGTCTCAAATTTCTGACGTTACGAAATTTTCTGAACGCAAAAAGCTCCTTCAAAATGCATAGCATAAAGTTGAATATTGTGTAACCTATACACACCATGTATCTTGTTTTCCCTGAAATTTATATAGGTTCAGAATATAAACAAAGCGTTTGTTTACATTTACGGCCGAAAAATAGTGGTAGAAAGTGATTTCATAGCTATGACATATACTACGTAATGTACAGCACAGTAATTATACACAATTCACGATCAAGCAAAAGTATAGTTCAAAATGTCATGAAGAACTGGGCTGCCTATTTCACTGATATGCCTGTATTTTATTGCTTCTTATTTTTTTATTCAATATTTAGATTAACATTTCCGTGGAAAAAGAAGTACTAAATAAGTTAAAAGACATCCAATCTTCAAGATATCGAAGGTTTTAGTTGCTTCTATGCTATGGCCGAGGTATGGCAGTAATAGTTCGAACGCGTATAGCATATAATTTATATATTTTTTTTCAATGTATAAAACTATTTGCGCGAACATTGTATTTTGTAAAATGGATCAAAACCTACAAAATGACATTGTATCTTAGGTGATAAAAAGTATTGAGTGAGTGAGAAAAGTATTGTTCGATTTCCAAATCATACTTTCATAAGATACCACATCCTGTTTCTATGAAATATTTTATTACATTTTCATAAGTTTTATTGCGACAGCAATGCGCGGTTAATACAATATTTAACACTCATATATGTCATTTAAATTAAAGGTCTTTTCCCTAAAATTATAGGGCGAACATTTGAAGGCGATCCTGGTTGACAACAAGTCACCTCATGCCGTCACTTTGTATATACTCCAAAATTGGAGTAAAAGTCGTTTTTTATCCTTCAGTTTCATTGTAAAGGGAGGTGAAAGCTTCTTGTTTCACAGAAAAACAACTTTTCAAATTGAACTCACAGCACGCCCTGAAAAAAAGAATATTACTATTTGGGGTCCAATCATGTGGGAAAAGGATATATTGCTTCGAGTCAGTGGTGATGATGACATACAGGTAAAGGATGAAGAATTACCGTTGAAGGAAAAACAAATTTGTTTACGTCGAAAAAATATGAAAGAAGAAGTTTCAGCCTCTGGAAACAAGAACTTGTACGAAATCCTGCGCCTCGATATGAAAGAAGTTCGCAAGAAATCCATCGAAGAACAGAACGAGATGATTAAAAAGGCTTATCGTTCTCAACTTCTGCGTTGGCATCCTGACAGGAATCCTGAGTATGGCGATAAAACTATTTGCCAAAAGATCATCATTGCCTACAAGATTCTCAAAGATCCTGAAGCCCGAGCCGCGTATGATAACATCGCAGATTATGACAAAGGATGGTACTCGAAATGGCGATGGAAAGGTCTATTCAATGCCGAGACTTACAGCGATGAGCAGCGAAAACAACATACAAGGAAAATAGGATTGTTGATTCTCTCAAGTTTACTTCTAGCGGGGGGCGTTGGTTTAACCTTCTTAACAGCAGGAATGACCGAACCCGTTGCACTCGGGATAATAGCCGCATCCGGAGCAACTTTTAGATGCGGGATTTCAAGTAGATCACGAGATTTGATAGACAAAGCTAAGGCTTTTAAAAAATACTTTAGTAGTTTAATGATCGGCGCTGTTGGTGGAGCAGCAGTAGGAGGAGGAGTTGCTGAGATTGCTAAGTTATTGGATGGAAAAGCAAAGCTTGCATTGAAAGATGCTAAACTTTCTCTTGAACGGCAAATTGCGATAAGGATGACTAGGCATGTTTTTCGTGGCTTTACCAATTCCGTTGCAAATAATCTAGACGCAGTCCTTGCAGATGGGCAGAAAATAACCTGGGAAGAATTTCTTTTACATGTCTTAACTGATGCATTATTAGGAGGAATTGCGGGGCTACGAGGAGGGCTGACAGAAAACATAATCGAAAAGCTGGTTTCAGCAAAGGACGTAGCAGCAGCATTTGAGGTAATTTCCTCCAGCACACCTAATCGTTTTGAAGTCGTTACAAAAATAGCAGTGGAAACGTTTGCCAACCTTATTGAACATCTCGATGATGATGTCGAAAATAACTCCGTAGAGGACGATATAAAAAATGGTGCAAGACTAGCGGCAATAGCGGTTGGGAATCATTTGACGATGATAGATAATGAAGTCCCAAAAATAATCGAGGACGGAGAAGATATAACAGGGATGGAAGCTAATTCCAATGAAACATTTCATGATATATCTGAGGAAACGTGTGATGAAACAAAAAACTATGCTAGTAGCACAACATTAGCGGCAAGGAATGCGAAAGAAACGGTTGGTAAAGATGGAATCACGACGACCAGTGATAATGAAGAGAGTACTGGAGACAGTAATGATATGAGTGATAAATTTCAGAAATCCAATAGAGAAATAAAACAAGACGATTGTGGGGAAAATGCAAAAGGCAACTCAGATAAATCAGATAAAACTCTACATGTTTATATGCCGATGCCAGTAGAAACAAATGTGAAAGGTGACTTCACGAAAAGAACCCCACCTTATGAAAAAAAAGAAACAAATTATAATGAGTGTACGCAACTTGCGGGGCAAAGTATGACGTATATTTCTAAAGAAAGTTGGTCTTCCAAGATGCTTGTTGATTATGAAGAGAACGGTGAAGAGAAACATCGCGAGGGTGAAGGTAGTGGGAGTTCGATCATGTTACCAGACAACGCTACCAAAATCAAAGTTAGATTTCAGGTCATGCGTGCTCCTGGTATTTGGTCTGATGTGAAAGAATACGACCATTTCAAAAAATGTTGGGTAGAACCAACCAAGCCTCATATTTTTGAATACGACAAACCAGTGAGTCGCACGTACACTTTGGATGGAAACTTGTATTATGAAAAAGTAAAGAGGGCTTCCACAGATGATGATAATGAAGATAAAGAAAAGAAACTAAAGTATATTTCTAAAGGGAGTTGGTCTTCCAAGATGCTTGTTGATTATGAAGAGAACGGTGAAGAGAAACATCGCGAGAGTGAAGGTAGTGGAAGTTTGATTCTGATTCCAAATAATGCTACCAAAATCAAAGTTAGATTTCAGGTGATGCGTGCTCCTGGTATTTGGTGTGATGTGAAAGAATACGACCATTTCAAAAAATGTTGGGTAGAACCAACCAAGCCTCATATTTTTGAATACGACAAACCAGTGAGTCGCACGTACACTTTGGCTGGAAACTTGTATTATGAAAAAGTAAAGAGGGCTTCCACAGATGATGATAATGAAGATAAAGAAAAGAAACTAAAGTATATTTCTAAAGGGAGTTGGTCTTCCAAGATGCTTGTTGATTATGAAGAGAACGGTGAAGAGAAACATCGCGAGGGTGAAGGTAGTGGGAGTTCGATTCTGATTCCAAACAATGCTACCAAAATCAAAGTTAGATTTCAGGTGATGCGTGCTCCTGGTATTTGGTCTGATGTGAAAGAATACGACCATTTCAAAAAATATTGGGTAGAACCAACCAAGCCTCATGTTTTCAAATACGACAAACCAGTGAGTCGCACGTACACTTTGGATGGAAACTTGTATTATGAAAAAGTAATGAACACTTCTAGAGATGATCAAGATGAACGAGTCAGACTGCAGTATATTTCTAAAGGAAGCTGGTTTTCCAAGATGCTTGTTGATTATGAAGAGAACGGTGAAGAGAAACATCACGAGGCTCGTGGTAGTGGAAGCTCGATTCTGATTCCAAACAATGCTACCAACATCAGAGTTAGATTTCAGGTCATGCGCGCTCCTAGTGTTTGGTGTGATGTGAAAAAGTACAACCATTTCAAAAAATGTTGGATAACACCAACCAAGCCTCATGTTTTCAAGTACGACACACCAGTGAGTTGCACGTACACTTTGGATGGAAACTTCTATTATGAAAGAGTAACAAAAATCACAGGAGAATATTTCAGAGGGATGTTTGATTGTGGTCTACCAAGATACAAGACGTTGGTGGACGAAACGACAAATAGTGACGAGTTCACAGGTCCAGTGAAGTATGAACTAAAGTATATTTCTGAAGGACTTTGGCTTTCCAAGATGCTTGTTGATTTTCAAGAGAACGGTGAAACAAAACATTATGAGACTGAAGATAGTGAAAGTTCATTTCTGTTACCAACTAATGCTACCAATATTAAAGTTAGATTTCAAATAATGCGCGTTCCTGGTATTTGGTGTGACGTAAAAAAGTACGACCGTTTCAACAAGTACTGGGTAAAGCCAATCCAGCCTCATATTTTCGAGTACGATAAACCGCGGAGTCGCACATTTACTTTGGCTGATTGTGAAGCGGTGATGAAGATCACCGGTGGAGATGATGACAATACATTCGATATTGACGGTAGGGCTCAATCTAGAGAGGAATTTGGCAGCTACGATGGGACGGTTAAATTGGTTGATAATAGAGATCACATATCTGCTGATGTCAAAGTTGATCACGTTATAGAAGACAGCCAACTAACGATGTTATCTTCCACGTCGAATTCGGGTATAAAAGAATCAGCTCCGATAGTTTCAGATGAAGATGAAACACATTCTGTTGACTCAGGTAAAGATCAATAATATTTTTTTTTGGTGGAAGCTGATGGAGCTGATGGTTTTTTGTACGTAACTACTATATTCTTAGCCCCACACCCCCGCATTTAATCAAGGGGAACCAATTTACTAAGATCATCTTCAAATCACGTGGCTACCTTATTTGAATTTAGTGGTCACCTTTACTAGTTGTATAACAACGAAGAACAAATTTTATGAGGAATGTTACCATTATAATTTTATAAAACCGAATTGGATGTAAGTTATTTCTTTTAGTTATTCTAAAAAAAGAATTTATTATTCATCCCTAGAATATACTTGTTATTTCCAGGTTTCGAAGAAAGAAATAATGCATTTTACAAGTGGTTTGATATGGGTGCATTTCACGAAAATGGTGAGATGAAGAAAGAGTATAAAGAAAAAATGGCGAGGTAAATCTATATTCTCATGCACATTTTCAGAAGATTAGAGAACTAATGAATTTAGTTCTATGTAATAGCGCTGTTGTATTCCTCGAATAGTATTAACGCCCCATACAGATTTGCAGGTCTTTCTGACGATCCTATACTGGATTGGACATTACCTTGAATATATTCAAACACTCCTTTTATGCATAAATTTAGGTTCTAAATATTTTTAAATTTATAATAAATATAGCACCGTGATGCCAGGTACTTGGAATTTAAAAATGTATCAATTTATCTAACAATTTTTTTATGAAATTTCTAACGAACGAAAAATTACGATATGTAGAAAAAGGGATATAGCTATAAGTTTTTGAGATCCACTGTGAAGTGAATACATGTAGGAGTTTGTTGCCTAAACCTCCTTTACCACCTGAAATAGTGATTTTTCATTAAGGTTTAAATGGGTGCAAAGCTTCAGCATTGTCGATGCATACGAGGAAGGTAATGACTATAATTTAGAAATTGTCTGCAAATACGGTGAAGTGCCTTGTAACGAAGACATCGTGGAACTCCTTGGCGAGGACATCCTCCCTTGCATTACTTATAAGAAAGGTAAATTTCTTACTTTGAATTATTCTTGTAATCAATTCTTGTTAGCCAAAATTACAAGACTTACAACACATAAACTGTTCTCATTAACCTGTGTATGTTGTACGACAGCTTTACTTAGATTACACCCATTATGAACTTGATTTATAGCCTCGAAAATTGAGTGGTTTGAAACAAATGTTCTGGATGAAAATTCTGAAATAAAAAGGGAATACACCAATGGATTGTTAAGGTAACCGATTCACTAAAAGTCTAAATGTTTGGTTTCGACTCATTAAATTCTTATGATATTGACTCTCGTGTTTTATTCAGCATCGAATACTCAATTCTTATATTATCAATTGGAAGAGTTCACTAAGAGCCTCACTCACACACATGACGGTTCATTTATACGCACTTATTAACTTTTCACTTTGTAAATCATTGCTTCAACAAATTCATATTGCCAGAAATTCATGTTGTAACAGACAACTCCAAGTAGTACTTCTCGTATGCTCTTTCATAATGCTATTAACCCAGTGGATTAATACAATTGGTCAGATTTAGCTAGGCGTTTGTTGTACTTTCTCATGCACGATAAAAGATTATTGTTTAGGCTCGAATGGGTGGAAAGTTTTAAAATCATCAAAGCAGACCGGAAAGGGAGTAAACGTTGCTTAGAAATTGTCCTAAGATTCGCCACAGTACCTTGTACCCATGACCTTGTTGAACTATTCGGCGAAGAAGTCCTTCCTTTCATTACGTACAAGAAGGGTATGTGTCTGATTAATTAGGCCCGCGGTTTACATGGTCAAATTTTTTGTGACCATGCACAGTTGGAATTTTCAAACGGCAAGAGAACAGTGGTAAATTACCACTGAGTTAATTCATCGTGATACTCGCTGCAAAACATTTAAAACTTTAAAATTTTTAACAATGAAAATTTTTAACATGAAACACACGAACTTTGACAGTGTCATTTTTTTACAAAAAATACCCCTCTGTAAGTCTGTATAGTTTATAGCAATTTAATTTAATTTGCATTGATATCTCAATTGTTTGTATAGAAGGAACATTTTTTCCTCACATCTGGTTGCATCCTCTTAAGATTATTAACAAATGCAAACAATTCATTTGTTATTTCATTAAACCGGACGGTAAGTTTTTTGGGACAGATAACCCGAAATCCTACGTGAATATACTAGAAGTACATAGGCCCATAGCTGAGTAAAACAATGTAGCAGGCAAAAATACTTATACCTTACTCTTTATTTTTGAAAAATAGATAGAGAATCAAGACGAAAGTGGTTTGAAAAAAATGTATTTGACGAAAACTTTACTATGAAAGAAGAATCCATGAAAAAACTGGCAGGGTATATAATAACATTTCTCTACGAATATTATCAAACAAAATTGTCAATTCTTAATTAAGATTTGATGTGACTTTAGACACAATATTCCTCTTTGATAGATGTAAGGGATAAAATAAGTTACGGATATTCAAGGACACTTGTACATCAGACCATTTTAGCTGCTTTGATAGCATTTTAGTCTGTCGTTTTCCCCTCAGTTTCAAACGAAAGCGATTGTGAAAGATCGATCGCGCTACATTTTGCAGTGAATCCACTAAATCTACCTTTTACACCCCGACTCCCTCTTTATACGGCCAATTTAAAATACTGAGCGAAAATATTTTTTACTTCAGCTTACCTTGGGTGAAAGATTTCTATGTTGGTGTGACGAACGAACCTGAAAAATCTTGGCAAATATACATAACCCATGCTCGCGACCAGGCACCCTCCATGGTGGATTTAAAGAAAATATTTGGTGTTAATATTGCATCCTTTGTTGATTTCATTCAAGAAAGCACTGAGCTTCTCCCACCCCCTCGTTTTCTCCGCGGACCAAAATCAGGGGATAAAATCTTTTCAAGAGAAAAAGATGATGCAGATGGTACAATAAGTATCTTAACTGCTGATAGAAATGAACACTATGCAATCACCTGCTACCATTCATGTTTCATCGATCCCCATCCTTGCTGTGATAAAACAATGTCAGATCTGCATGGGCAACTTAAAGAGGACCACGATCATGAAAACTCGAGGGGTTGCAAAGATGAAATCCGCGTGTACAATACAGAAAATCTTAAAGAAGGTAAATTTCACCAAGGATTGTATGATGACAATCACGATATCGCCTTGATAAAACTAGAAGAAAGTGAAAATTGTATCAACGCTGTGAATTTCATTCGAGAAGAAAATATTAACCTACCATTGGCTAGCAATAAGAAAGTGGCAAAAATGCTTTTGGACAACAAAGGACGATTGACTGTGGAAAAACTTGGAGCAATTACTGGAGTTACAAGGGGAACATTGTACACATCAGATGGCAAGCCACTGTTCGGAACGGAGAATATGAGAATGTGTTACAGAATAAAAGGAACGCATGGCCAGGTTTTTGCCAAGGAGGGTGATTCGGGATCTCTACTGTACATTATTGAATCGGGTAATCGAAAAATACCGTTTGGATATCTATGTTCGGAAATACCACAAAATGACAATTCTGCGGTGTACGGTGGGAGGAATTTAAAGAGAAGCATTGATGAACTAAAAGAGCGTAAAAATCTTGGCGATATTCAACCTTGTGGGATGGACAGCGATACCGAAAAGAGTAAAAGAATGGTATGCTTGTTATTGCTAATATTGGCCTTTTTCTTCTTTTTTGGCGTTTACATTGCAACTCCTGTTACTACTGTTGTTGTTATTTTACACAACCTACCAGCCAAGCGCAAGGTCTGTAAAAAGAGTATCTGATAAAGGGCGAGAGATGATACTTTTTTGCTTTGATAGAGAAATAAGTAAATTAATTGTTATATGGCAGACAGAATATATTTTTTGCTCGCAATTCGCAAGTGATTCGCTGACATCCACTTGCAAAAAAATCCTTGCTAAAAAAGAAGTAGTTTTATAGTTTTTGTTTTACCAGAATGGAAGGGTTAGCTAGGTTTATTTGCACATTTAAAAATCATTTGTATCCGAGCAGTCCCGCATGCATAATTGAAAAGCGTAGTCACATACAGATTAGGTTCATATAATTCGAGTCATGCAATTTGCCATATAATAATGAACTTTATTAACTAATTAATCACATAAGTACTTAAAGAACTTCTTACTTCCATGCACAATAATATACCATATTTATCTAAGATACGAATCAAAGCTTGGAATAAAATGTAACGTACCAAACTCCTTTTGGGGACACTGAACAAATAATGATATAATCATAATTTATAATATATATATGTTCCTATAATGATGTATTAGAGAATGTTTGTAATTTGCACACCATCACTACAAATTCCCCAATAAAGGAAAAAATATCTCACATGCGTAAAAGAAAAATTTCAATTTTTCTGATTACATCACATGACATTTGAGTGTCCATGCAGCTCTTGGAGTCCTTATTTGGCAGAGCCTGTTTTTAGGAACTTCAAGTGTGGTGGCGCCTCTCCCCTTGCGCAACAAAACAGAAAGAAAAGGGAACTGAATTGAAACTGACGTACTGGTCGCGTAATGATTGCTAATAACTAACGTATGGCTTACTTGGGTAATCCAAACTTATTATCACTTTTTCCGCTAAAATCAATGCCAGTTATCTGACTAATTTGGAAATCCTCTTTGTTGAAATTGTTTTCAGTTATGCTAAGTCGACATTCAACTTTGCACCGCATTCTGGTTGCCTCTAGAGTGATATAAATAAAATTTTGCGAAAGGTTCCTACTGTCGTTTCCACTTCCAGTTTATCACGAGTGCTCAAAACCTAGGACTGAAAGCGTAACCTAAAATGGTTAATTATAAGCCTGTTGTCTCGTATATTCAATTCAAACAACACCTAATATAACTAAGTGTACAGTTTATCCCGATTACTTCCAAACGTTTTCCTTCTTACTTTCAGTATGTAACGTTTTTATACTTTTCTCAGTTTTTTGCGGGCTGTATGTATACGCCTTTCAACCAAAATCGTAGCTGATTGGTCAATTCTAGTTTTCCAGGGCAGCGACAGGGCAGCAACGGAACCAGCAATGAAAATTGAGTATTATTATTGTTGACATGTTGTTTAAAATGTCGCTTTTGAGCATTTCCTTCGATGTTTTCTACTTGTTAGCTGAAGTTTTTTTGAAACCAAAACAAAGTGTTATATTTCCGATGTTTTTTGCAGAAAAAATTGTGAAACTAAAATTATTTAAATTATATAAGTGGTGTTCTTTTTCGTCCTTGACAAGCTAAAAGTACGTAAATAAAACTATTTAATGTTCACTAAAATTAAAAATCGCAGAGAATGTTCAAAAACATCGCAAAATGACCCAAATGTGACTAATAAACATGTTTAAATTATACTGAATTTTTATTGCTGTTCTGTTGCTACCCGTTGGTAAGGAAAACTAGAATTGACCAATCAGCTACGATTTTGCTTGAAGGCCGTATATTCGTGTTATTGCTTGGGTTTTGAAACATATTTATGAGATATTTAATTCACACTTTTCTTTTTTATTAAACATCTTAAAAGTATATAATTTTACAGTCCCAAGCTTCTCGATTGTCTTCATAATTATTAACTGAATTACATGCACAAAGAGGCTCTCAGGTGTGTTTGGTTACGTTTTGTAACGTAAGGTAATGCGGTAAATTTACCCATAATGGAAGAGCTTTCTAGGGGAGGGGGCGTGTGAAGAATATATGAATATGCATCAGTATCGAATGAGGGCTTTAGCAATAGCCCTGCCGTGAACTATAGTAATCATCATGCTGTGAACGTTCTGTTTAATTCTCGTACTATTAAGTTTTTATTGTCCTATATCTTAGGCCCATTTGATTTCATTTTGACAACATAGCATCAGCGCTCCACTTGCACGGCGATTTAAACTATAGTGGGAGAGCAATAATTGTTTCTTCTGTCAAATTTACATTTCAATACCACATAAACAGAGACCATACGCGACCGATGTATAAAATTAATTTGAACCAATCAATATTTTGTAGCTGCTGGGTACTGTTACTATGACGAAAAAACCTTTTTTGCACTGCTTTTTTGTCATGTTAAACATCCATCATGGGAAAAATTATTTTATATGTAATTTACATCATAAGACGGATGCTCGTGTGCAAAGTTTGAAAATTAGAGAATTCTCAATTCTATCCTCCGACGTGGACCACCAAATATCGCATCAAACATCCCAAAGGTATGTCTTGAAAAATCTCGGAATTATAGTTTAACCTATGGTCGTAAATATTTAGCTATATATTAAACCAGGCACACATTAACAATAATTTGTAATGAAAACAACTTGAGTTTTCATATTGTGGCCAGGTTCTTAGCCAGAAGTGAAGCTCGCATCAAATTAAAACAACAAAGAAATATTTTCATATCAGTATACAATGAAGAATGAACGTATGTATTATTAGTCTAGTGACTTTAAAATCAAAATATATATATATATATATATATATATATATATATATATATTATGGAGCTTAAAAGAACGCTAAAATTGGCCAACAAATCTGGTTTTGATCAGTTGTTTGTTTGTGGGGATTTTAATCTTCCCTACATAAATTGGCGAACTGGCGTATCCACAACTAATGATTCTATTACGGCATATTTCACCAAACTGGTGCATGATAATTATTTACTGCAGCTTGTGGATTTTCCCACTAGAGTTAACCATACTCTGGATCTAATTCTTACAAACATACCAGACAAAGTTAAAGATATTCAAGGATTTGATGATATAATTAACACTGACCACAAGTTAATAAGCTTCACCTTGGATTTTAATATACGTAAGAAACCTGTCACGAAACGTTATGTTTACAACTATAAACAAGTCAACTGGAACGCTCTTAATGAAACCTTAATGAATGTCCCGTGGGACTTGGCGTTTGTGAGTAATGATATTGACGCATCGTTAGCAGGTTGGTGTGACTTGTTTTTATCAACTGTATCTGACTACGTGCCCAAGCGACGCTTTAATAATACTCGTGATCATCCTTGGCTTGATGATGAACTGCTGAAAGTTATCAAGCTGAAAAATCGGTTACGGAAAAAAGCTTTTAAAACAAGAAACCCAAATGACATGGTGAAGTTTAAGGAAACTAGGCGTAAGACTAAGCAACTTATACTGCAGAAAAAGGATGAACATGTGCACAAACTTAAAGATTCCCTTGGTAGTAATCCTAAACGATTCTGGTCACTTGTAAAAACATCAACTATGAACCAACCTTCGCCTAATATCCTTCGTGATGGCCAAAAAATTTTCACACATAGTGCTCAACGAGCGAACTTTTTAAATAGTTTCTTCCATTCAGTATTTACTCCTAAAACACAAAACCATTGTGTTCCTGTACAAGCCAACTCCAACAGTCAACTACGGGATTTCGAAGTTAGTGTTACTGAAGTGCATGAATTACTCTCGAATTTAGATCCAAATAAGGCCAGTGGTCCGGACGATATCCCTTCGAGGCTACTTAAATATACAGCAACTGCTATCTCTCCAAGTCTATGCCGTCTATTCAACATGTCTCTTGTGCTTGCTACATTTCCCAAAGCTTGGAAGAGGGCAAATATTACCCCTGTATACAAAAAAGACGACCCAATGTTGCCTGACAACTATAGGCCAATATCCTTGTTGTGCGTCTTGTCTAAAGTGTTTGAACGCTGTATACTAAACCATTGTCTCCCTCACTTTTCTACGCTTTTGTATGACATGCAGTATGGTTTTCAGAGAGGACGATCTACCCAGTCACAATTACTGCAGGTTTACCATCATATCTTAGTTAACTTAGCTCAAGGGAAAGAGGTTGATGCTATATATCTTGACTTATCGAGAGCATTTGACAAAGTGCCCCATCACTTGTTAATCACCAAGCTGTCTTCTTATGGTATATCAGGAAACTTACTTAGTTGGTACTATAGTTATTTATCGGACAGGTATCAGAGAGTCGTACTTGACGGAGTGTTTTCTAGTTGGTTACCAGTGACTTCGGGAGTTCCACAGGGGTCCATTCTTGGTCCACTTTTGTTTCTGGTTTTTGTTAACGACCTACCAGATTATATCGGAAATGGATCCCGACTGGCTCTGTTGCTGATGACTCCAAGCTGTATAGAACACTTGACACTCCTACTTCGACTCAAGCTTTTACAACATGACTTAGATTCTCTGGTAACATGGAGTGTGAATTCAAATATGTCGTTCAGTGCCTCTAAATGCAAAACCTTGCATATCTCTAGGAAGAGGACTCCTACAGACGCGACATCTTCATCTTGGTGACCAAGCCCTCGAACGTGTTTCATACGTCAAAGATCTAGGCATTATAATCTCAAGCAATTTGCAATGGGCTGACCATATTGAAAAGATATCAGCAAAAGCAAATAAGACCCTAGGATTAGTTAAAAGAGTGTGTCATGACATCAAAGACCAGTCCGTGAGGATGCTCCTTTACCGTTCCTTGGTCTTGCCTCAGCTGGAATACTGCTCTTGCTTGTGGTCTCCATACACAATTAAGCACAGAGCCCTTATTGAAAACATCCAAAGAAGAGCCACAAAGTTTATACTGAATTATCCGCCATCGAACGTTTCATACTTGGATCGACTTTTAACCCTCCATATGTTACCACTGGAGTATCGTAGAGAAATGAGTGACCTTCTTCTCCTATATAAATTCAAGACTGGGATGATGGTTATAAACACTAGTGACTACTTTATTGCTTTAGATACTCACTATAGAACACGGAAATTTGACCCAAATAATCTAACCACCTTGTTTAAATTCAAACAAAATTACTTCCAGTTTTCATATTTTCCTAGAGCAGTATCATTATGGAATGATCTTCCCCCAAGTTGTAAGGAACGCTCCTCCATTGCGTCATTTAAATCAAATCTGTATGAATATTATTTCTCTAAACTGGCAAAGTATATTCCACCATGATTCTATAACTTACTCTTGTTAATATTTATCTGAATGGTTGTTTTATGTTTTTATGTTAAGGGTGCTGTTATCAATAGGGATTCGTCCTGTTATGGCTTCCTGTCACTACGTTTATATATTCTTCGTCCTTGTTATTGACTGTAATGTTTGTAATAATGTGACAAATTTATTAAACTAAACTAAACTATATATATATATATATATATATATATATATATATATATATATATATATATATATATAGGCAAAAATGTTCTCCGTGTTTACTATACTCACCCTTAACGGAGAACATTTTTGCCTATATTATTACCTGTGTTGCAACTCCAAATTTATTTTGGAGCAAATCATGTTCAACAATATATATATATATATATATATATTATATATATATTATATTGAACATGATTTGCTCCAAAATAAATTTGGAGTTGCAACACAGGTAATAATATAGGCAAAAATGTTCTCCGTGTTTACTATACTCACCCTTGACGGGCATATTCAAACCTAAGAATGTAAATTTGTCCCTTTCCCTCACCAGCTCACTCGTTAAGAGTGCCTAGGCCTTGGGACCCTAGGAGGCGGTTATATATATATATATATATATAATATATTAAATATTATATATATATATATATATTATATATTATATATTATATATATATATATATACAGTAGGGGGCAAAAGTTTGAGTCCAGTCGTTGTAGAATTCCAGTATTAAATCCTGGCAGTGTATTCGAGTTAAGACATGCGTGCTAGTGTTTCAATACTGTAAACCATATTAATTGCACATTGTTTTGGTCCTATTGATCTAAATTATAACAAAATAAAGTTCTCATTCCTTTACACAACTCAGGATGGGTGGGAAAAAGGGCAAAGTGATGGTGCACAAGGACAAATAGTTGCATTTGTAGCACAAATAGAAAAAGTGAGAATTTCAAAAGGTGGTATGCAACTAACCTTGGAGAAATTCGAAGAAACTAAATCCTACTCAAGCAAACTTTTAGCTGCTTTGGTCATGCTGGGTTTGGCAATATTGAAAGATATAATAGGATCCTAATTAAAGAAAAGTATCATCCAATTCTTCAAGGACATGGAATTTCATCTGGCACAAAGATGATCGCGCGTCTAACTACATGATAATCACCCTAAAGACATGCACATCTTCTATGTGCCAGAAATATTTTAGAAGCAAACTCGTTCTGGTGATCTCTTTCTCATGGCTTTCCACCTCAAATTCCAGATCTAAAACTTATGGAACACTTTTACGACCGTTTTAACCGGAAAAGGGCGAGGCACAGACCCACCAGCCATGATGACTTGAGGCAAGTGGTCGACGAATGCTGGCAAGGTATTGAACGTGCAACATTAAAAAACCTATGGAATCTATGCCAGCAGGAATAAAGGCCGTTTCAAGAGCAAAAAAGAGGGATACTAAGCATGGACATGTAATGAATTTTTGCACATTAACATACGTTAAATGAATATCATAACATCCCATAGTTGTTGTGCAGCATGTATTTTTCAGTTCACTTATTTACTTTTCTCTAGTTCACTTTTCAGTAAGGTTTTCTGTAGAAAATTAATATATGCTGCTAAAACAATGAAATACAGTCACTGGACTCAAACTTTTGCCTCCTACTGTATATATATATATATATATATATATATATATATATATATATATATATATATATATATATATATATATATATATATATATATATATATACATGAATTAATTTCTATGTTACATAAAGCAAACCTTGTAGCATCATACCACACCAACTCCGTTCAAGGAATAAAATTTCTTAAAAAGGGTCGATGGCAAATCGCTATTAAAATATAAGTTTATTCGTATTCTTATTCTTATCGGTATTAACTGCATAGGCTACATGCATTTAGGTGTCATGCGTGACTTTCATCTCTAAGCATTTGGACTTAAAAGTGCAATTACACGTTCAATATAGCTAGGCATTAATTATTTAAGCTGAGATTTACTGCATTGTTAAAAACCTACATGCGAAGGATCGCCCACTTCTTTCTACTCTTTCACTTTCGTTTTTGGTCGCTTGACAGCACTTGAGGTATGAAGTTATGTTTTGGCTATACAATTCATATAACGCGAAAGAAACTAGATATATAGCGTGATTTTGGTGTAATTTTTATGTCATTTCGGCAGATGATGCTACCCATATGAGTGTTTTGAAATCTTTGAATTGAAACTATCGATTTAAACTGGAGGTATCTTTTTATTGCTCTTGGCATCTGATGTTTAATAAAATATTCTAATTAGTTCCAGAAAGTTGAGACTGATGCTTTTGAATTTATCAACTAATTGCCAAACAGTGCTAAAATAATATACTGTTTAGCGAAGATACTTATAAAACTGCATTTTATGATGAGATAAAAAAATAAAAGATAAAAAGTGATATAAACATTCACGTGAAAAGACGCTTGTTTTTATTTGCTGATACAGCTAATTTATAAAGTTTGTTATCTGTGGCATGCCGTGCTTGAATGACAATATATAATATGGACAATATAAATTAAAATTTTTGGAATTAACGCGTGATACCGAAGTGCTATTATTACTGTTGATATCATACTGTTGGAAACAGGGACCGCAGTTTTAACTCTCGATTTCAATTATAACGTTTACTTTCGTTATGTTCACCGAAGTTTCATCATTGGCATCTAATTATTAATACGCTATTAGGAAAAAGTTAAATTTAAATTATTATTTCCATAATAATAGCTCTCTGCAGGTAGCCTTTTAATGATAAAAAGTTCATGTCAACAGAATTCAAGATTCTGAATTCTCATTGAAAAGATCTGCTCGGTTTAATTGAGATGGACATATAAAGCTTTTATATCTGTAAGTACTAACTTATATATTTTGATAACAAAGAGATTACTGCGAGTAAAAGCTTTTGTAGTTGAAGGTTGAAGTGTAGTTTTATGTGGATCTTTTTATGAACTAAAATCTCCGATAACAATTGTTGCGTCATTGAATTACCTTGACTTGCTAGAATAACCAAAACTATAGATGAAAAGAAAACCCAATGATATAAATAATTTTCGTTTTTATCAATCCGTCATTATCAAAGGACGAAGACCTTGCCAAGACCACCAAGACGGGATTTAAATTAACTTAAAATGCAAACGTTTCGCTTGTCAAGTTTGACAACGCAATCATGAAATCAATTGGTATATTAATCTCGATCTTGTGGCACTTAATAGATGTATAAGATAATTTCTACAGGGTTGATGTCTTACACATACCCAATTTCGAGCGAAAAATCATACTCAATTCAAGTTAAAGCGAGAAATAGTTGAAAAAAATCATCAAATATATGTCTTCTGGCAGCAATTGAACCTACGCCTTTGTGATGCCATGTCATTTCTCTAACCAGCGTAATAACCTCTTTTCGAAACTAAGATTATGTCAATATATAATATTTTCATTATCGCGACAATGCTATATGATCTTCGTCAGCACAAGAGCCTGGTTTATAATCTTGCCACTTTTGAATACAATTTGGTCATGAGGAAGTAAATTAAATTCGATCAGAACATACAGATATGACAGATCAACCATTGATAATTTAGAATATGATTTCTATAAAACGATGTCATAAATCAAATTACACTATCAACTTATATAAGACATCATAACTCGACCTGGCATATAAATCGATTTTTACTCGACTGAGTTACCACATAAATAACTTTTTATTGCAGTTCGAGTGATAGATAGCTCTATATCAGTTATTTTTTATACTGAAAGATATATCATTTATAACATTTATGAGAGTAATACAAAATTACTTTTAAAACTTCCAATTCGTTTAGTCAGCATTTCCATTAAATTATCATTGTTTTTCTCACAGCACTTACAACAAAGCCGATCAAATGAACAATTATATATAATTAGCATAAATCATTTCACATTATTATTTGTAAATTTTGAAAATAACGCATATTTCGTTGTTCTTAGGTTTCTTGAAAAATTCGTATTTTTTAAAATTTTGAAATTCAGAATTCATTTCAAGAGAGTAAACTTTTGTAAGCCAGAATCAAAACTGTGAAACTTTTATTCTCGTAAAGCAGCTAACATAGGTGCAATCTTCTGCGCATGCGTTAGATTGTTGAAAACAAGATGGCGGCACCGAGAAAAGCTTGGATTACGACAAACCTGAAAAGTATTGCCGGCATTTTTTACATCATATTCTAAATCATATTATATATGTTTTAAAAAGCCCGGCGGCATTTAAGTATAGTGTTCATTTTACTATTATCAAATTCAGGGCGATAATCATAATTCTAATGAAGCTCAAAATCTTGTCATAGAAACCTCGACAAAATTATATATTAGTCTGTTTTTATTTGGTACTGAGTAACTTTCAAATCTGCAGGTAGTTACAAAATTGGGAAACAGACCGAATTTCAAAATGAACGCTATACATAAATACAGGCTTGTTAAAATACATATAATATGATGTAGAATATGATGTAAAAAATCCCCGTTGCATTTTTATTTTTGGCCAAAAGTCCGATATAATCCAAGCTTTTCTTAGTGCTTTTTTTCAGTGTCTTTTCACCCTGCTTTCGACAATCTAGCGCATCCGCAGACAGACAGATTTCACCTATGTTGATCTATGACAAACAAGTGTGACAATAGTCAACAAAGACAAGAAAAACACTATCTATGTTCAAGTTTATTAGTCTGTCACCATCAAAGCAGGAAGTGTTCATAGTTATACTAGTCTTTACTCGCTTAAATTTCACGCATGCGCATAACTTACAAAACCATCCAACGTCGACCGTCCATGACATAAAATTTGGACAGCTTTGGATTCTGCTATGTTCTGTCAAAACACCCGGGTGTATTTACCTCCCAGCGGAATAAGTACCCTCGCCCGGCGCTTCGTACCGGGATAAGTTTCGGTCGTGAGATTAAAATGCGATAATATAATGCAGTGATAATGTAGCACATATGCATACGCAGAATTTCTGGTAAAAACACAAGATTGGTCTGATATAGAAGCAGGAACGTCAACCAGGGCGTTCAAAAAACTTTTAAACACCTACCATACTATGTAGCTATTGAGCAGCTGTGCTCTCATATCATTTTATCATATCACATCATATCTGCACTTTCGTATTCTTCTTAATAGGTACATCAACTTTGCTCTGGAAAAAAAGAAAATATATAACTGAGAAAACTTCAAGATTTTCGAGATATTTAAACTAAAAGTTTCGTTTCACCCTCCATGATGCCTGAGGTATGAATTTTTAAGTGAATAATTATATAGTTGAACCAATAACAACTGGAACTTGTAACCACAGTTCGATTTCACATAGCAAAGGAGCAGTCTTTATTTGTATTTTGATTGGCCAAGCTACAGGTCCTTTTTCAAGAAATGTTGAGGGGAACGTGCATTAGCAAGATGGGCTTCTCCTTAGGAGAAATATTGATCGTGATCGAAGGTGATACACAAAAAAATTTAATTTTGAAATCAGTTGTCAAGTAACCCCATTGGACGGTTTGTAGCCATGTTAGAAAAGGCTCTGCTGAGCTGACGGACATATGGTCATCGAGTAGACACTTTGTAATGTTTACAACACGAGCCTCGAGCGGCCGTGTTGTATTGAATATACAAAATTTTGTTGGTTATTAATTATTCATGATTTCACAAAAATATTGGTTTATGCACAAATTAAAAAACCCAAACCAGCACCTGGTCGGATAATTTAGTAAAAACGCTACGAAAATGCGCGCAAAGAAATCGATACGTTTTTTAACAAGCAAAGACGACATGAATTTTTTATCAATATATTTATTAAACGTCCGGAAAAATAAAGTTCAGTATGCTATATAATCAGGCTATATAATATAACTTGGTGGACATTAAAGTCGATCTACGTTGACAAAAAAGTTGCTCATGTGATTACCTTTGTTCATCCTTGAACAAGGTGTTAGCTTCTCATTTTTTGTTTCTTATTTCAAAAGGGAGAAAAAATTGGAACTCCACATGGAGACCATCTTGCTGAAAAGAAAGTAGAGACTACATTGCCTGTAACGATGGGCGGAAAAGTTGGGATGCTTCAGACTTGTGGTGGAGATGACTTAAAATTGGAGAAAGAAAAGACAGCAAGACTCAAGTATTCGTATAAAGGGAATATGTTTTCCAGGATGCTTGTTGAGTACGAAGTGAATGGTAAAAACAAAGATGATGAGGTTAGAGGTAGCGGAAGTTCGATTTTGATACCAGAAAACGCTACCAATATCCAAGTTAGATTTCAATTATTCAGTTCTTTTGGTACGTGGTCTGATCTGATGACGTACGAACCAACCAAGCCTCGTATTCTGAAGTACGACAAACCAGTGATTCACACGTACATCTTGTGTGCAGACGAAACAGATTCCCTTTTCCCAGATGAAGGTAAATATAAAGTGACAAAATCTGCTTAGCGAGGCTTTCCAGGCTTGATCATAGCGACATATGTATTGACAGAAATTTGTCTCACGATTGTGTATTTCGCGAAAATAAGCAGCTGTTTTCGGAGAAATAAGTCGAAAAATTGATTTATACATATGTTGTACCCCTCAAAGTAGAATAGATTAAAACTTATCTCCATAATTTTAACAGCTGGATCAGGGTCTTTGGTGAGTGTTTCCAAGGCTGAATGGTTTGAAACAAATATATTGGATGACAATCGGAAAATGAAAGAGAAATACACAAAGGGATTGTCACGGTAACTGATGCGCCCAAGTAGAGACATATAAAGGCTATATATTGCATTGACCTGAAGTTTAGCCTGATTCTTGATTAAATCTTCGCAATTAAGCAGAAATGTCGTACCTTATAATATCAATACGTCTGACACATCTAGCGTGACAAATTTATGGCAACGGTACGAAAGTAACACCTGTATTCAAAAAGCTCACTCACACTCACACTCTTTGAGTGTGACATTATTATATATTTTGTTAACGCTAATCAATGAGAAAGTTTTCTCTGAATAGATGGAAAGATATAAGGTGAATAACTGAAAATCAAGTCCCTATTTGGCTAGAAATAGCGCCATTGAAACGTTATGGGAAGATTAAGATCTCCCACTCAATGAGTTTGAGTGAGCTTTTAGAATACGGGCGTAAGAGTTCTTACGCTCGACCAAGTCTGTAATATTTGACATTTTTCTTTCAGACTGAAATGGGTGGAAAGTTTTAAAATAACCGATGTCAACGAAAAGAGGTATAAACATCTAGAAATTGTCCTTAATTTTGATGAAGTACCCAGTACTGAAGACATCGTTGAATTGTTTGGCGAAGAAATCCTTCCTTTCATTACCTATAAAAAGTGTAAGTTTATTCCTAGTTGTAATAATACCCAACACACTTTCATACACCCGGTTTGCTGTGAATTAACAACTAACACACTGTTTTTACTGACTGACTGACTCGCTTCCAAATCACATGCTTAATCACGCCGTACGCTAATATTTATTCTCTTAACTCTTATGTAGCTATAAATTCAATAGTTCCAAAGAATGAGTGGTTTGAAACAAACATATTTGACGAAAAATCCAACATGAAGAAGGAATACAAGGAAAAATTGTTAAGGTAAATGATGAAGTTGAAATCCTACCATCAAGAAATGCTGTTGTGCACATGATCATCTTAGAATACGTAGCTATAAGTTCGATTTAAGAAAAGAATTGCTAAATATTTTAGTTTTTAGTCTAAGAGCTCTTTTCAATTAGCTAAACAATTTTTTTTGACAAAGATTGAACTAAATTATTTTCTCTTTCATACGGTTCTTAGCTTACCCGGCGTGGAAAAAATCCATGTTGGTTTTGATGGCAAAAAGGATGGAACATGGAAAATATTCATCACCCACTCAGAAAACTCACAACCATCCATGGATCAACTGCGCATGATATTTGGAAACAATATCTCCTGTTTTGTCGAATTCATCCAAGAAAAAGTCGATAAAAACAGTAGATCTGCTTTTCTTCGAGGACCAAGAACAGGAGATCCGCATCATGTTACAGGAGAAGAAAACGGGAGCCGTGGAAAAATAAGTATTCTTGGCTTTGGAGATAAACACAAACAGAAACACCACGCAATCACCAGCTATCACGTTTGTTACCAAGGAGAATTATCGGGAGACCTTTTCGAACAACACCAAAAACTGAAGGCAGCTTCCAGAAATAATTTCAGTGAATGTTCCAATGGTGAATATAAGTATAAAGACGGAAGTGGAGCTTCCTGGAGGCTTGGTACTTTTTCTTGCGGTTTGTACAACGGTAAGCACGATATTGCCCTCATCGAACTTGATAAATATTTGGACTGCAACGATGCGGTCAGATTCATGAACCAGCAAGATTTTGATGACGCTTTGGCGAGTGAAAAGGAAGTCGCTGAAAAATTTAAGAAAATGAATGGAACAGTTCCTGTTGGCATATTTGGGTCTGAAACTGGGGAAAGAATAGGAAACTTGGTTGAAAAAGATGTGGCACTCAAAAAAGGAATGAACGACGGCTTTTATGGCATAAAAGATGTGTCTGACGATAATATCTTTGCGGAGGAAGCCGACTCGGGGTCTTTGGTGTATATGATATGTGAGGATGGCAAGAAGATACCATTCGCCCACCTAAGCAACATGAAGAACGGCGTCTATTACTGCTCTAATTTGAAATCCAGTTTGGAAGCACTGGCAAGTTCTGTAAATCCTTGCTTGTGTAGATGTGGAAATCACTTTGAATAATTATATGTGCAAAGTGACCTTATGTCTAGCAGGAAACGGTAATCCACATCTTTATATTATTTCATCTTGTACATTTCTGTAGTAGTATAACAGTAACGATAATCTGTAATAGCATAAGTGATAAGTATATCAACAACGATAATTTGTAATTGTCAAGCGACAAGTTTTAATACCATAAATATAACAACATACGATTCATAAATTGTAATTGTAAACGTATATCAACCATTGTTTAGGCTAATACTCTTTATATTTATAAGTAGTTATCAACAAACGATTTTAGTATAGGCTAATATTGTAAGTATATATTTAGTATAAACTAATATTGTAAGTAATATATATATATATATATATATATATATATTAATATATATATATATATATATATATATACAATTAAAAGTATATATCACTGGGAAAACAATAAGGTATAATCAATGTAACTCGATCTACATGAGCAAACGAATAATAAATTGTGTAATCTCCACGCGTGAGTAATTTCTTGACATTATAAAAAGGGTCGGGGATAAACTAAGTAAGAACTGGATGCTATCTTCTTTTTAACATGCCCAAACGTTTTGAAGCCAAATTTTTCCCTCCAAAGTCATGTTTTACTTCTACCACCCATGCATGTATTTACTACACGAGATTTGCAAAGGCCTAAAGTGAAGATTTAATATAAAATTGACGGAGGTTTTTATGGTAAAAATGCGGTAGCAAATGCACTATATATAACGTTCACTCGAAGATATTTGTAGTCCTTTTTTAAAAACAGAGTTTCTCAGATGTCTGAAAAGACTGGACAATTCATTGCCCAACAACAAGACCGGCTTCTCGTGAAAAGGTTTATTAACTTCTTATTAACCGAGCGCGAGGACTTTACCTAGAAATATCGATATATCGTCTTTACCAATATTTCTCGGTAAAGACCGAGCAAGCGAGGTTAATAAAAAGTTTTTTATTTGGCATAAGCATGCATATGTATTTGCAATGAAACAAACAAGAAATGCATGAATTCGTATTAGTAGCCTGGTACGCATTTGATATAAAATAAAAACAAAAATAAAATATTGAATTATTTATTTTACGTAAACTGTCTGCATGGAGACGTTTTATTTATTTCAAAATCAATTAAATTTTCTCTTGAGCATTTATTTGTGCCTTTTTCATTCAGAATTTCTCGGTTTTATCTCGTAATGGATTGCCGATTGCCATTACGGGAAAGTAATGGACCACTGAAAATTCTTCACAGCCAATCACTGAGCTCCATTTCACCGGAAATGACGCTGGCAATATAATAATGCTAGATAATCGCTTTTCCTGGTATAATAATAATAAATAATCGCTTTTCCTGGTATAATAATAATAAATAATGGCTTTTCCTGGTATAATAACAATAAATAATGGCTTTTCCTGGTAAATCTTAGCCACAGTTTGCGGGTATTAAATCACAGCGATGCATAATTTATATGTTAATTGTCAAAACAGCTAGTTTGCATTCGAGATGAAGTGGCTATTCTCTAAATCGCTAAATATAGTCCGAAAAAGGGAATCAGCGTGCTTTGTGGACCAGAGATGCCCCAAGCGGCAAGGGGCGACAGTGACATGACATTCATTTTCACATCGCGTGTTGTTTGTCAGTCAAACAAACGCCGGTGGCTCACCGCGCCGGTGGCTCGCCGTTGCTAAAATATATTATTCATACACATCTTTCGTATCCAGACGTACATGCAAATTAAGCATGCTTTGTATCCATAGCGCAGTTTAGAAAAAAAACAACGCTATCATATTTTTCTCCTGCAAATTTCGGTTGCTAAATAGCAGAATCCAGTCATCCTGGCAGATACGGTAATCTGCACTATGTACCTATAGTGATTGTGCTTTAGGAGAATAAAGGAAACTGAAGTTAGGCAACAGATAAAACAACGTAAGGTAGGACAATATAAATTTACATAGTATTAACATTTAGTATATTTCCTATAGAAGGATTTCAGAGATGACAAAAATCTCCGAAATCTTTTTTTGCACTTTTAAACATCTACGGCTGTATTCTAAAAGCTCACTCACACTCATACTTGAGTGCGATTCCAGTGAGATGCACTCAAGTGGAACTGAAGTGTGAGTGAGAGTTTAGTATGAGTGTGAATGTCCACTCAACGAGGCGGCACTCACCCTTGAAAATATTAGGCAGAGCTGTATTCAAAGAGCTCACTCGAGTGTGACTTGCTGGAGTTAAGGTTTTATGTTGATTAGTAATTAATGTTGGAAAGTATATAAACTATTTAAACTGTAGTTAGACTTGTCAATGCGTTCGTATGACGTTACTGATAGGATGGCTTAACGTAGACAATATTTCTCGCAATTGAGGTCGCTGTGAACCGTATTAGCGGAAGCACAAAGATCTTTTAGAAAGTAAAATAAACAATTACAAAAACCATGCAAGAGAGGTGTGAGTGTAGCATTATACTATGTGAGTGTGAGTGGACACTCATTGAGTGGTCAGTTGCACTCATTGACATTAAGGACGAGCGTCCACTCAATGAGAGTGACTTACGCCTGTATTCTAAAAGCTCACTCACACTCAAACTCATTGAGTGTGAGATCTTAATCTTCTCATAACGTTTCAACGGCGGTATTTCCAGCTGAAAGGGGGCTTGATTTTCAGTGATTTACTTTATATCTTTCCATCTATTCAGAGAAAACTTTCTCATTGATCAGCATTAACAAAATTTATATGTCACACTCAATGAGTGTGAGTGTGAGTGAGCTTTTTGAATACAGGCGTTAGTGACTTTGAGTGAGGTCTTAGAATACAGGCGTTAATTTTCCTATATAGTACTCAATAAATTATTTTAAGGCGGTGAATATAACAAAACGTCAAAATGACGCACTGGCTTCTTCTCTTTCTTAGAGCAAGAAAACACGACGAGTTCTTTTTTATTATACATGCGTAAAAAAACATAAATCGTTATTAGTATTTTTCAGTTTCGTCTTACGTATAATCATTGCGCAATAGTAAGTTTAATCAGCTATTATTCAGTATATTCGACCTGAGATACCAGGTGTGGTCACGCATAGACTGATGAATAACACACTATATATGGTCATGGAAAACACATTTAAATAAATTATTTGCGGTTTTCCAACATTTTAGAGCTGCTTGGTATATATCCCTTGGCAACCGATTCGAAGTGAAGGACGAAGTGCCATTAAGAAAGTTGTTTGCAATTATTAGTGCAAATTCAAAATATAATTGTTACAAGGATAAAGAATTTAAAGGTAGGCCCATATAGCTAAATTTACATTCTTGCAAAAGAGCTTTCATAGCAGGGTCGGCAATGAAGCTTTGAAATTTTATGCTAGATGCAATTTAAGATTGTTTTTCGCTTTAAATAGTACACATAATGTACTCGTAATTACCCACAGTAGAATGACAGACGATTGATTGACATAACGGATTATAAAAACATTTCAAAAACATCTGGAATTGTATATTTATGTGATGATCTATGTAGCATTATATAATTTTTCATGCACCGAATTTATACAATGCAACAATTAAGTGCATGAGAATTCGATGTTTATAATAAAAAAATTAAATTCAACAGTCTTGATTGAATGCGACTCGGTAGTTTTATTCAAATGGGTCGATCGCATAAAACGACGATGATGCGACGTTGATTCAAACGTCTAATTTTTCATCTGCCGAATTGAATACATAAATTAGAAATACGATACACGCATGAAGCCGGCTATGCAGCAACCCCTCGCCATTTCAATCGAAGCAAAATATTTCCTGAGTTAGCCAGGCCTAACCTTCAATATTTTGAAATTACCTAAATGTAAAGCCGATAGCTGATGTTTCAAACTGTACCAAGGTCTTAAAATGTATTCGTACAGCAAACACTAAATTAACCTCGAAATCAAACAAAGTAGGCACCTACGGCATTTCAAGGATTACAAACTACGAGTTGTTTCTTTTCACTGCTAACTCTTCCAGTTCTGATAATATTTTAAACTCTTTCATATTGTGTTTTCGAAACATTTCTTAAAAAAATAGTTTGCAAATCACAGTTAAGTTGTCACTGAAACACAAATGTTTCGTCTTAGCCAATCAGCAAGTTGCTAATTACCAGTCTTCACTCGTTCAAATTTTGCGCGTGCGCAAAAGTACCATGACTATTGAATGTCCATGTTCCATGACATAGCATTTGGGAAACTTTGGATTGCGCTATGTTCTGTCACAATACCCGTAATTAATCTCCCAGCGGAATTAGTACCCTCTCTGCGCCCGCTCGGGGATTATTTCTAATTATTTTAATATAAAATTTTTTCTTTGTGTGTAAACGATATATTTGCTGCGAGCGAAGCAAGCAGCCTTATATTCATGAAAAAATATGAAAAAATAGATTTTAACCATAGAAAATAAGCCCTGGAAGATTACTTCCTTGGTTCTGATGAGTTATAAGTAATTGCAATAGAGTCTTTTTACGAAACGATAAGCAGGTCTTATATTCATTCCATCGTCTACATAAAGAGCTACCTTATACACATAAAATCATAATCGTCTGATGTCGAATTTGGTACTATATTTGTTTATCAGTCTTTTATTTTATCACATACTATTGACGCATGGCATGCTATATGAATTGCACTCATTGTATGTATTCCATGCCTAAATCACACATAAAAATATAGATACCACATTAATAGAACTTTAAAACTTTAATAATATGAATTGAAAATCCTCTTTTCTAAATTATAGGTTGAATATTTAAAGTCGATGCTGGTTGACAACATATCTGCTCAGGCATGCTGCGTGATTACCGTCAATTTCCGCTAAATACACTTTACTTTTGAAGATTAACGTTCGCGAACCCTTTACAGTAAAATGAGGCTTTTACAAATTATAGCGCCGAGACGTCATCATGATGTAGAACAAAGCCCTAAATGTGAACATAGTCTAAAGTATATTTATAAAAACAAATGGCCATCTAAGATGCTTGTTGATTATAAATTAAACGGCGTAAGAAAACACCATGAGTGCAAAGGTAGTGGAAGTTCGATCCAGGTACCAAATATTGCTACAAATATCAAAGTTACATTTCAGATCAGGCGCTCTTCTGGTGTTTGGTCTGATGTGAAGGAGCACAACAGTTTATCATATGAGCCACATACTTTTGAGTATGAAACACCAGTTAGTCGCACGTATAAGTTGACTGGAAACTTGTACTGGGAAAGAGTAATAGATATTACGAGAAAGGATACGTACGAACGTGCTGAACAAGAAGCAATTAGCATTGATAAAACCACTGAACTATTCGATAGAACAGAATCGAAAAACTCATCTCAAGCGCCAAAAAAGCTGGAAGGCGACAAAAACAGGTCAGAGGAGGGTGATGGTAATGTGGAAGAGTTTAACCCTTCCACAGGGCACTGGGTAGAACCGCCCGAGCCACATACCTCTAAGTATAACACACCAGTGAGTAGCACGTATGAATCAGTGATGGATAATACGAGAGACGATAAATACTACGAACAAGTAAGACGAGAAACAAATGATAGTAATAAAACCACCAAATGTAAGCTACAGTATTTTTATGCAGGACTCTTGCCTTATAAGATGCTTGTTGATTATGAGGAGAACGATAAAACAGTACATGATGAAGTTAACGGTAGTGGAAGTTCGATTCTGTTACCAGACAATGCCACCAAAATCAAAGTTAGGTTCCAGGTCATGCGTGCTCCTGGTGTTTGGTCTGATGTGAAAGAATACGACCGTTTCAAGAAATGTTGGGTAGAACCAACCAAGCCTCATATTTTTGAGTACGACAAACCAGTGAGTTGCACGTACACTTTGGCTGGCATCTTGTTTTAACGTGTTCCAAAGAATTTTGAACATTTCCAAACTTGTAATTTTCCGCATATATTAGCGAAATTAACAAAATTCTGCGGATTTTTAAATTTTTTTTTTAAAAATAGCTTTTTTTGCGGACACAACTCCACTGTCCGCATAAAAAGGATTTTTGTCTTAGAGGTATAAGGATTCCACTGTCCGTCGGTTTCAAACAGATAGGCGGGATGTCCGAATTTTTGAAACCCCTATATATCTCAATTTGAGAGACATATAGGGGTGTCCGAATTTCGGAAACTCTATATATCTCAATGTGAGAGACATATAAGGGTGTCCGAATTTCGGAAACCCCTGTATCTCAATTCGAGAGAAATATAGGGGTGTCCGAATTTCGGAAACCCCTATATCTCAATGTGAGAGACATATAAGGGTGTCCGAATTTCGGAAACCCCTGTATCTCAATGTGAGAGACATATAAGGGTGTCCGAATTTCGGAAACCCCTATATCTCAATGTGAGAGACATATAGGGGTGTCCGAATTTCGGAAACCTTTATATCTCAATGTGAGAGACATATTGGGGTGTCCGAATTTCGGAAACCCTTATATCTCAATGCGAGAGACATATAGGGGTGTCCGAGTTACGCAGTGCATTGTATCTACAATTATTCGGGTTATATTCTCTACGCAAGTCGAATGGGCAATGGTCAAGTGAAACCAATTTAGAAGTATATTTTGTAAATTGCAAAGGAACATTCTGACAATTTAAAAAGTAAGTTGTCTTAATTAAATTTTCGTTATTGCATGTTTTCGCACGTAGAGCCGGGAATACCCAGCACACAATGAAGATATATAATATATATATATATATATAGATTTATAGGTTCTAAAGTTCTTTCAACTTTCGCCTGGCCTCTCGTTCCTCCTCTTCTGTTTTTACCAGAATGAGGCAATTGCGTTTGATCGTGACTGCTGCAACACCGCCAGCTGCAAGAAAAAGATTTGACAAAGATGATAATAAATGTTCAATACTGTACCAGGCGGGAAACGTATTATATTATTTACATATATATAACGTATTATATATACCTTCGGGCAAATTAACATCCAATATCCAGTCACCCGAGTGACTGAACATTTCTACCAGCCACAAACATGTCTCAAATTCTCTGTTTGCCGAATTGACACAAATGAAGTTTGGGACCTTGCCAAACGTGAAGTTGAAGTGTTCTGGCAGAATTCGCCCAGATACCGAAGCATGCATGAGGACAACAAATGCTTCAACAGTCTCGTTCATGCCTGCTAATATATTCCCTACAGAGTGAAAAAGGACAACGATTAACCATTAGCTACAGTATTCTGCTACATGAATTGCGTACACAGTAACATTTTCTGCATTGTTTGGACAGAAGGAGGCCAGCCGCTCTGCTTGTGTTTGTCAACATAACAGGAAATTGCGAGTGAAATTATACACACTTCAAATTCAAATTAAAGCAAAATGAGTCAACTATAGGTCCCCGGCAGGCTACGCTTTTACGTGCATCGAAACCTCTAAAATTTACGTGCATCAAGTGAAGTGCCAAAAATCACGCTTGATTGTGGATATATACTCCACAAACTGGAACAATCAGGAACACACACCACATGGTTGGCGGTTGCCTAACAAATTAGCTACTAACTATCATCTGTTTAAATTTATTTTTTACGCCCCTTAATTTACAAAAAACTTTTCAATACTCATGACGTTCCCCTTTTGCCCACAAAAACCTAAATTTGTGTTTTCATGGCATTCACGCATTGCCTGTATGCATATCGCTTAAGCGCAAGGCTATATAAAAGGCATTTATTAATTTATATATAGTACTTTATTGGTATCAAAACAGTCTCGCCGGGACAAGGGTCTTGTATAATAAGGAGAGTGTTTATATACATTGATCACATACATGCAGTGGCGTAGCCAGCCTAAAGATTTTGTCCCGCTATCTAAATTTCAAGTTATTATAATTATTCCTGCCTTTATAAATTCATTGTTTTCACAGTCAATGAACACCAAAATATTAGCATAGCATGACAAATCGTCGGGCTGCCTACGCTACTGCATACATTCAGCTGCATACTCGTACTTTACTCGTACTACGACACCGACATTGTCATTTTATTCAATCCCTATAAATAATGACATGCCTACTTCGTTTTTTCTCGGGCAAACAGGGATCATATACGAAGCGCCAATGAAACAAAATGAAAACGCAGCGCGAAAATGGAATTTCAGCGGTAACCAAATATAGATAACGACAGTCTCAAGCAATTTGATCACACATATAACTATATATACATGTGCATAGCATGCCTTTAAATAAGGCCTTTATATATGCTATATTTTTCTTCCAGCCTATAGCTTTGCTCTTAAAAAGGAGGGTTTTTTCTTTCTACCTACTATAAATCCGAGAAGCCTAAAGCTAGCTAATATCAAAAAGGTTTCAAAATATCGAAACTTAATACATACCTTAATTGAGAGGCTTATTATCCTCATTTTTCACACCGGCAGCACTGATGATACTCGACGCCTGTCTTTGCTAGAGGCTTTCCAGCAACATATACATACGCCTTTCCTTGCCTTACGCGAACCGACCACTTTTTCATTTGTGGCATATCTATATATATAAACTCCCTCTCAAAACTACTGGCATTGACAATTGAAGCTCAATATGTTGGATGTGGGAAGAGCGCGCGTGCGAAGTATATCATATGAACATTACACCTGGTCAAAGCGGTAAACTCAACCAATAACAAAGAAAAGTTTTTTCTGTTGTCAGAGAGTTAATTAATAGGAATATCCTAATCCAATCAGTGGACTGTAAAATAAAACAGGTTGTCAGACAACAAGGAATCACCTTCGAGCTTCGGCGCAATTTACTGATATATATATATATGAACCAATATCACCAGCATTGTCTTTGTTATCTACGAATAAGAAAGGACCAGCGCCAGCCACCAGCAGCTCACCCGGTTTTGATATAAGATTTAGTGACAGTGAAAAATCATCTCCTCTCATGATTCAGAGGCAAAAAGTAAGAGCATCATGAATTAATAATGCCATATAATTATACATATATATTTTTTTTTCCCTATCTTATGTATACAGTTTCAAACTCACTTGAAGCTTCTCCTTCATCAATCCCAACTAGTACAGATCTGCCCGAAGAATTTTCTTCACCATTTTCTGTTGGGTTAAGTAGCGACGCAAATGGATCCTTTATGATCCTTTATGATCTTATATGAAACTAAGCTAAATAGAAAGGCATTGGCGATTGCTATATATTTTATCATATTTGGTTTTTGAGTGAAAATTTGGTTTCAGGTTTCAGAGCGATTTCTTAATTTGTGCTCTATTATGTGAAATAAGAATGCAAATTTTTATTATTTGATTTTAGATCTTTCGTGTAATCGTTTGCCACACGATACGCCGTCAGCATATGTACCATGCCAAGTAGGAGCCCAAAAAAAGTCTAGAGAGCTTTACAATACGATTCAACCGATAGCAGTGGTAAGCGATAAATTTTTATGATATTTTGCAAGTGATTTTATTATATAAACACGCGATAATAATACTTCTGTATCCTGAGACACCATTCTGCAAATTTTCATATACCAAGCCGACTTTGCGTGCGCTCAACAATTAAAATATCTGGTCACTGAGGATTTACAGTTACATTATTCCCGGCGCTTGTTTGTGCGTGAATCAATATGTTAGATTATAATTTTGTTCCCCAAGACCAGAAAGGCGTAAAGATTGTTAAATATATAAACCAATGAATTACAGGCTGTAAAAAAACGCAATCACCAATATATTCATGAATATTTAAGTGAATATTAAGCGGATTTTTATGATCTTTGGCACTCGATCAAGTTCTAAAGTTCAAAGGGTCTTTACTTCGGGTGGAATTATACGTTTGAAGACCCTGCCACGCTGCTCCCTGGTTATATTGGCACATAACTTCATACATGCTAGAGTACTCATTTAAATTAATTATTTTAAAGACACACGTGGGGATAAATGGAACACCATACCCATGTAAATGAGAATGGATACTTTCGATTTTAGGATAAGGCGTTTTTCCATTACGGGCGAAGCGCGCTTAGATTTTTAAAGTAAAATAAAACGATCGGGGCTGTATATATCTAAGCACTGCTAATGCATGTCAACTTGCAATTCGATGATGACATGCAGTTTTTCCGCCAATACATACAAAGCTAAAATGTGTCACCAACAACAGCTAACACTATATGATTAAACCCAGAACTGGATACTTTATACATATAAAGGGTGCGGATAAATGCATGTAGTTCAGGGACACCATGATAAACATAAAATCTTTAATTCAAATCAAAATGCCAAAATTCATTAAAATGGCAAAACGGATAATTTATACGCTATCAGTCGCGCCAAACTAAACTTTTAGTAATATTTTAAAACTCTCAAAATATGTCAAAATTTTCAATAGGACTAAGATATTTTCTTTGCGCATATTTCAGTAAAAAATGATTCGGAGGAATTAGCTCGAGACTGGTTTGTGAAGTTTTGAATTCAAGTTGCATTACTGGAAAGGTACATATACCACGACCTGGCAACCCTTTATGGTTACGAGCAAAGATGGTGAAATACCTTGGACAGACACTCTTCTAAAAGATTCAGTCATTCTCTGCTCGTTCGAACTTGACGATAACAGCCATCTCCAAGAAAATACCAGAAAATATTTAAAACGGTGGTATCGGGAGGAAGCTAAAAGGGCTAAGGGTCTGGATTAATTTAAAAAACAAAATATTTTCAACGCTTGTACCTATAATTATACAGACGCAAGATGCTAAATTTTTAAGTGCAGAACCATTGGAGAATATTACCCTCAATATCATTATCGCATGCTAACTAAAATGTATGCCAACATTCAAATGACTCATTTATTTTCAGGAATAATCACTGATATGAATAATAAAAACTCCCTAAGTATGGACTGCATTGTTTTGAGCTTTTATATTAACCCATTAACCCATTGTAGATACAGTGCACTACGTTACTCGGGCACCCCTATATGTCTCTCACGTTGAGATATAGCTAGGGGTTTCCGAAATTCGGACACCCCTATTTGTCTCTCGCATTGTTATATAGGGGGTTTCCGTAATTCGGACACCCCTATTCTCTCGCATTGAGATATAGGGTTTCCGAAATTCGGACACCCCTATATGTCTCTCGCATTGAGATATAGGGTTTCCGAAATTCGGACACCCATTGTCTCTCATTGAGATATAGGGTTTCCGAAATTCGGACACCCCTATTGTCTCTCACATTGAGATATAAGGGTTTCCGAAATTCGGACACCCCTATTTCTCTCGCATTGAGATATAGGGTTTCCGAAATTCGGACACCCTTATATGTCTCTCACATTGAGATATAAGGGTTTCCGAAATTCGGACACCCCCATATGTCTCTCGCATCGAGATATAGGGGTTTCCGAAATTCGGACACCCTTGTGTATTTGTAAAAATTCTACTGGTAAGTAAAGTTTTCGTAAGTACTAACTTTTCCTCAGATTTTCTCGCTTTTTATTGATTTTGGAGCCATAGTTGGTTCACTCCGCTAAGATTTTCGAAAAACAGTAAAAACGAGGACACAGTTTTCTTAGTCCGCGAGAAATAGGCTTTTTCACCAACGAAATTTTAACATATATCCGCAAGAAAATGACTTTTATAATGAAACTGACAGTGAAGTTCGCTGGATTTAGTAATTTAATGATATTTTTGCGGAAAAAAATCAAAATTCCGCAGAATTTAGCAAAATTTGGCTAATTATGGCGGAATTTTAAAGTTTGGAAAATGACAAATTTCATTGGAAGGCGTTTTTTATGAAAAAGTGACAAAGACCTCTAAAGATATTTATACAGACAAACAATTCAGTAAACTAGATTATATCTACGAAGGACACTGGATTTTGAAGATGCTTGTTGATTATGAAGTGAACGGTGAAAAGAAACATCACGAGGGTCATGGTAGTGGAAGTTTGATTCTGTTACCAAACAATGCCACCAAAATCAAAGTTAGGTTTCAGGTCATGCGCTTTCCTGGTGTTTGGTCTGATGTGAAAGAATACGACCGTTTCGAAAAATGTTGGGTAGAACCAACCGAACCTCATATTTTTGAGTACGAAAAACCAGTGAGTTGCACTTACACTTTGGCTGTAAACTTGTATGGGGGAAAGATCACGGGCGAATACCATGACGATATATACGATACTGATGATGAAAATGATTTCAACACACACGTGTTTTACCATGACGATATATACGATACTGATGATGAAAATGATTTCAACAGACACGTGTTTTATCATGACGATATATACGATACTGATGATGAAAATGATTTCAACTCTCAACCAAAACAGGTGAAGGAAAGTAATATATATATAAGTATTTTACCAACTTTTTTAAACATATATATAACATATATATAAACATATATAATATGAATATATATATATATATATATATATATATATATATATATATATATATATATATATATATATATATATATATATATATATAAAATTTCCTTTGAAATATGGAAGGACTGGAATGGTCGACCTTTATATTGCCATGACAATCGCATGCGGAATGCAGAATATCTCTACCAAAACGAAACTGCCTGCTAGAGACTGCAAAATCTACAACTATTGGGCATACTTTCAGGACATTCCGAGTGATCAAGCTCTAAGAACTAGTCAAGAAATGAGATCAATTTCCTCCCAGAATATTGGCATGCAAGAATCACCTCCAAGGGTTCAGGACGAAACTGCTTCTGTTATTCCAGTTAAAGGTAAAGAAATTTGGAAATTATTAGAAGCGGCGTCACTAGCAGCGACTTCTATAGCAACTTAACATCAAATAATATAATTATTCAAATCACTGAGCGAAAAACGCGATATGGACGAGTAATCAAGCCGATTAAACCATAAACCTTATAGTGTAGCTTTACTTCCATTACTTACTTACTTACTTAGGCCTGTTGCTCCAAGAGGAGCATAGGCCATCGACAACAGTCCTCCATCGCACTCGGTTCTGGGCCGCCCTCTCCGCTGCCTGCCAGGTGGTCCCGTACTCCTTCAGCTCTGCTTCCGTGTCTCCTGAGGCAGGAGTTAAAAAACGTCTGAATCTTTTGCGGTGTTGCTTTGGTCATGCGCCAGGTCTCTGCTCCGTAAAGCAATACAGACTTGACGTTTGAGTTACAGATCCGCAGCTTGGTGGAAATACGGATTTCTTTCCCAGATGTTTTTCAGGATGACGAAGGCTGCCCGCGCTTTTCCTATACGTGCCTTGACGTCCCGGTCAGTACCTCTCTGCCTGTCCACCACACTTCCTAGCTAGACGAAGGATTTAACCTCTCGGATGGGTTCCCCTCCCACTGTTACTGGAGCTTGGGCAGTGGTGTTGATTTTCATGAGCTCAGTCTTCTTCTGGTTGATGTGGACCCCTGTTCCTGCGGATGTTGCTGCAAGGAGAGAGGTCTTGTCCTGCATCTGGCGGTGGTTGTATGAGAGGAGAACAAGGTCGTCTGCAAAATCAAGGTCGTCGAGCTGGGTCAGGAGCGTCCACTGTATCCCGTTGTTCCTGCCTGTTGTAGTGGTCTTCATGATCCAATCGATAACCAGGAGGAACAGAAACGGCGACAGCAGGCACCCCTGACGGACTCCTGTCTTTACCTCAAACTCTCAGACGTCTGACCGGCGTGGTCAACCCTGCATGTTATGCCTTGGTAGGTGCAGCGGATCAGGGAGACAAACTTTTCGGGAACTCCGTAGTGCCTCAGCAGCTTCCACAAGGTCTCTCGGTCCACGCTGTCGAACGCCTTGAGGCAGTAATGAAGTTGACGTACAAAGGCGAGTTCCACCCTAGCGACTGCTCGACGATGATTCGCAAGCTGGCTATCTGGTCGACGCATGATCTGTTGCACCGGAAGCCTGCCTGCTGGTCTCGGAGCTTTGGGTCCACCGCCTCTCTCATGCGCTCCAACAGTTTCCTGTTGAGAACCTTGCCTGGCACTGAGAGGAGCATAATCCCTCGGTAGTTTCAGCAGTCACTGAGGTCCCCCTTCTTCGGCAGCTTGATTAGGATGCCCTCTTTCCATTCTGCTGGTATTTCCTCCCTCGCCCAAATTTTCTTAAACAGTGAATGCAGTATGGTTACTGCTGTCTCCGTGTCTGCTTTGATGGCCTCTGTTGGTATACTGTCCGGCCCTGCAGCCTTCCCGTTCTTGAGTGCTGCTATTGCTTTTCTGATCTCTGCTTTGGATGGTGCTTCGCAGCTGCTCGGGAGATCTGTCTCTGCTGGTTGGATGTCTGGTGGTGTCTCAGGTGCTGGCCTATTTAAAAGTTCCTGAAAATGTTCAGCTCATCTCTTCAACTGTTCTTCTGTTGTTGTCAGTGTTTTCCTCTCCTTATCCCTAACAGGCTTGTCTGTTTGTTAAAACCTATTTGAAAGCTTCTTGGTGGTGTTGTACAGCTCTCTCATGTTTCCCTGCCCTGCTGCTTCCTCTGCTTCTTTGGCGAGGTTCTCTACATAGAGTCTCTTGTCACTTCTGATGCTCCTCTTCACCTCTCTCTCTGTTGCTGTATAGTCTTCCTGTGCCCTAGCCCTTGCTGCTCTAGTTCTACTTTCGTTCAGAGTGGCCTTCTTCTTCTTCCTCTCCTCCAGTTTCTTGATGGTTTCATTAGAGATCCATTCATTGTGTTGGGTCTTTTTCCTGCCAAGGACTTCTTCGCAGGTATCCTGCCAAATGTCTTTGATGCTGTGGCACTGCTCTTCTATGTCTGTCTCACTGTCCTCTAGATGGTCGCGTAGAGGCTCGAATCAGGCTGAGTGTGAACTTTGTTCTCACTTCCCTAGACTGGAGGTAGCCCACACGTTGTACTTAGTACGCGTGTGGTTGCCTGCGTTGTCGTACTTCTTGAGGCGCAGCCTTAATGTTGTCATCAGTAGATGGTGATCAGATGACACGTCCGCTCCTCTCATCACTCTGACATCTTTCCATGATCTGCGGATCCTCTTGGAAATGCAGATGTGGTCAATTTGGTTTTCTGTGACATGATCAGGGGATCTCCAAGTGGCTTTGTGAATCCTCTTGTGTGGAAAGATGCTGCCTCCAATCTCAAGCTAGTTCAGGGAACACAGGTCTGCGAACCTCTCACCGTTCTCGTTCATCTGCCCTAACCCATGCTTGCCCATGACTTCTTCGTACCCGGTGTTATCGGCTCCGATCTTGGCGTTGAAGTCACCCATGAGAATGGTCATTTCATTCTTTCCTGCCTTGTCAAGGACCGACTGTAGGTGTTCGTATTTACATCCATTAATAAATACTTAATTTCTCTATCATGCATGATGAATAATTTTTCTGTATGAAATCCGATAGAAAGGTTGCGTAACTTAATTACCTGCATATGTGTGCATGTATGTTAGCTATAATAAACCAGTCGCCGTGTGAGGAGCGTTTTAAAAGTTTATTTAGTCGCCGTTAAAAACGCCAGTATCTAAATGAACTAAGAAAACTGATGGACTATTACGATGATTTTAGTGAGAAATTACAGTCGCCGTTTATATAAGGAGCGAAAAGCTGTGTGTTGTACATATTGATTACAAATAATGCAAAAGAGTAAATTATGCACGCCCCCCCAATCTTGACTCGTTCGCTACGCCCCTGATCACTTATCTTACTAAATGACCAGACATTGAAACTGAATTTCCTCGCAAAAGTAAAGTGTAGGCAGCAGTAATTAAATCCTATTTTTAAATAGGGTCAAATAATGAGTGGTTTGAAGAAAACGTATTTAACGAAAACTATGACATTAAAGAGGTTTACGTAAATGAATTGAGAAGTGAAAGGTATTTTTTTAATTATATCAATTCAGCTAAAAATATATATAATCAGAAACCCCATGCATGATCAAATTAAGACAGTATGTCCTGACTCCTGAATTTCTAATATGATCACACACGAATTTCGAACACTAGAAACACTTGTTTGTACTGTTTTGTGAACTTTTTTTGCTTTTGACAAACTTACTACATGATAAATAAATTAGTTTGTAGGTACACCACGTAAGTGTTGATATTGCAAAGCTTTCGGTCCGTTAACCCGGGCCTTCATCAGTGCAACAATAAAAACTTTTGAACAAGGAAATCTATTTATATTGTGATAGCTACCACCATCACAGCATGAAAATTACAAGAATATAATTATTACATATTCTTGTTAACAAAATTGTTTTTAATCAACTCTGATTTACTTTCATAAATTTATCAGTCTAAACAATTCGAACTTCCTTCTTAGATTCTCTTGGATAAAAGATTTCCATATTGGGATTGATAAAGAAAAAAAGTCATGGCAAATATGCATCACCTACGCTCGAAACACAAAACCCTGCATGGAAGACCTAAAGAATTTGTTTGGTGATAACATCGCTTCATTCGTTGAATTTATCCGGGAGAGCGACGATGAAGATGAAGAGAGATTAAGAACTTCCTCTTGTTTTCTTCGAGCACCTAGTTCTGGTGATACTCTGTATCTTCAAAATGAAAAACGCGGAACCATAGCAGTCCTTGCTGCCCAAATACGAAGCGACGAAAAGCACTACGTCATCACCTCCTATCATGTTTGTTACTGTTTCAACGATTTACCGCCGGAAAACATATTTGAAGCACACAACAAACTGAAAGAAGACTGTTGCTCAAATGACGCCGCTGGATGTATTGGCAGCAGGTACCAATATATGGATCAAGAAAAAGTATTGGGAGTGTTCGAGTGTGGTTTATACGATGACAAAAATGATATTGCTCTCATCGCACTTGAAAAAAAGCTGACCTGCGATGACGCAATTGCTTTCCTTGAAAATGGAGTTGAATCAGAACTATTGAGTAAAACACAAGTCGGGAAAATATTTACACAATACGTAAATATGGGAAAACTACCTACAGTTAAAAAACATGGCTCGGCATCTAACGAAACAGAAGGAGAACTTTTTGCAATAACAACAACGTGCCAGCAAAACAACATGAATGACGGTTTTTATCGAATTCGGGGGAAAAATGCAGATAATTTCGCCAAAAAAGGCGATTCGGGCGCCTTGGTGTATATAGCACATGAAAGTAAGAATTTACCATTTGCCATAGTAAGCAATCACGTGCCAAATGAAAACGTGTATTACTGCCCAAATTTACATCAAAGTATTGAAGCGTTAAACGAAAAGTATAATTGGATCAACATTAATTGGATCAGAGCGGCTGCTGCGCGCCGCTCTGCTCCGCGAAATTGAATAATTTTTTTTCTCTATTTATTGGATCCATCAACAAAATATATCACGAAACGTTGGATAAAGTTTTGGTCCTTGGAAATTATTAGTAATTATTCAGTTATCTTGATCATTGGCAAAGGAATCTGGTGGATTTACTCACGGTTCTGGGCTGAACATTAAAATTTTCCCCTTGGTCAGTTTCCGCTCGCGCAAAACTAAAGACGGTTGATCACGAGTACGAACACGTACGTCTAAAATTAAATGTATTTTAGCGTGTGCTAATTTAATTTTTTATCAAAAAAAGTATGACTGCCTTCTTTTCGAGATGTTGCATATCAAGGAACTATCACCATCTTTGAGCACTCAATCGGACTCTATTCGTTCTAAACTTTATACTTAATCTGGAAATAATGTTTAGTTTCTGTATATATGTATGTTTTTGTGTGTGTTCGTATATGTGTGTACGTATATATATAATTTAAGTAGACTAAGAATGACAAAATTTAGATCTAATTTATGTAATTAATATAATTTATTTAATCAACTGCATGATCTTAAGCATGCTCGCGCAATATATACTAACGTGACATGAACCGTTTATAGTCAACGCAATTTAAATGTAATTATCATAACTTGAAAATGATGCACGTTTTAGCATCGAAACGTCGTTCAATAAAAATAAAATCGCTATCATTTCTGTCAAAATTGTAGCTAATTTAATTAGAACAAATTTAGACCAATACTCAAACCAATTAGCAATGACTATCTTCAATTGGGGGGGCTACAGTATTATTTTCCTGTATATATAGTTTGTTTTACGCGGATTTCAAAAAAAGGAAGAAAGTAAGCTTCATTTGTTCCATGCATCAACAAAAGTTTCCGGTTCACCGTGTTCTTATCGAGCTCGTCGAGTTTAGAAACGTGGAACTTTGCTATCTGTCTATTGCTTTGTACGCGGATTTTTATTGCTACAGAGGTTCACCTTGCCCATCATATTGATTTTATTGGCAAATGATGTAGAAGTTAATCCTGAGCTTAAAAGCAAACAAACTGCTTTGACCATCCTCCAAGGCACCGCAGCCTGTCACCCAACATTGCGTGCCCGCAGGAAGGTAAGAGGAAGGCAGGCAAACGGGTAGGGCCCGACTATTGTACTTAATGGGAGTTTCTAGCTTCAGTAGCGCTATATTGTTACGAAATGCGCATATATAATGTAATTTAGCATTGCAAAAAAATAGAAGGTCAATATCGACGAGGAAATTACTTAGAGAACATTTCACATAAAATGACGTGTAAAGTATTATGACCCTCCGGAATCACAAAATTACTTTTCCTGTCATGAGGTGACAGCCCATGGGATTTCTTCCCAAACAATGTAATTACCGAGTTGTAAGCCATGCAGCTCCACAAATTCTTCTCATGCCGGGTAAGTTGCATGAGATCAAGAATCCCGACATCTTCTTTTGTAAGTTATAGAGCATGCATTCAAGTTTTCGACGCGAATTAGTCGGGATGTAAATTCTCTTTGTTCAAACCGGTCGTTATAAACACCTTAACGTGTGTCCGTTACGAGTTACACGGTTATACACCTGCTAAATTTACATATGAATTGAATGAAACTATCTTTAGACTATTAGATTTACATATGTGTGACTTTGCATAATATATAATAATTTCGAGAAGTTTTCTTAAATATTTCAGGCAGTCACTAAACCACATTTGAAAGTTGATCGAAAAAATGGATTGAATCAAATTCGTATTCTTCGAAATTAAATTTATTTTGTTTATTTGGAATATTCAACTTCAAATTCTTTATCATACCTTTATTACATGCATGCAGTGGTGGGGGAAGCAGGGGGCTTGAGACAGCTGTTTAGAATTAGAACGCTTTGAGAATATCTTTTGGTCAAGGAGAATGGCACCGAAGAATCTATATCATTAAACTAATCAAGAGAGGTAATCTTGTAGCTAGGCTTCTTCCAAGTTGCATGAGTCAACCAGTAACGCAATATTTTTCAAAAACAATTTTAAAAACAATAACCACTTTAATTGAATGTCCATGCAAATTTCTATCGCGGGTAATAAATAATAAATTAGTTTTTTTTAATAAGTTCGATTTCCTATTGGCCATGCCACGTCTTCAAAATCGTCTTCAAATTAAAAGATGTAATTTTAACTATACTTATATCAGACCGCTGTACACAGCTTAGTTGGCGTATGATATCTTTGCCTCAGTAAAAGTAACTATTGTTGAACACTTCTGATAAGGAATATTCCGCGGGCCTAGCTTGGCTTTCCAGGTTAGTTTCGAATTTTAAATGATATAATGTACCACAGCTTTTTGCAGGGCTATGCATATGTACCTGTAGCTACGCCGTTTTCAATAGTTTTCTCTAGGCGTTTCTGATTTTAACCGCTTTGATGGCACATTAACAGGGTGAAACTAGGGGGCGATGGCCTCCACTATATAATTTTATCAAATAGGCTTCTACGTTGCACGTACGTGCTAAACTTGCTTAAAACTCACTGTTGTCGTACATAGATTAAACCCGACAATATTGTCGGGAAGAAGGAAAACTAAATATCTCGGCAAGTATTTGGACTAAAGACCCCAAAATACCACCAAACGATAGAGCTTGAAACGACGATCTAAATCGTATATTCAAACCAGCATATAGTGATAAGCTGCATTTGTATTATAAGTCGAAACATGAGTCAAAATTATAGGTTGCTTTGTTATCTCAAATTACTCACCCATAGCAACCATATACTTTAGAAATTCCATATTTTCTCGCTTTTTTGTTCTCTGTTGTCTTTAAAATGTCTGCATTTTACATATTATCATTCTGTTATAATTCTGAGTAATTTTTAGGGTAGGATGTGCAAAAGAATCGGAGAAATAGCGTTTTATAAGTTCTCAGCGATAATTGTTGCTAAGCGTGACAGCGTGTGCTTACTGCGTGCTCGGAATGTTGTCATGCGGTTGGAAAAGGCGACAAAACTCCATGACGCCCTCCCCCTAGGGTAAATTTTACCCCAAAAATCGGATCCTGCCGTAAAATTGGACCAAGGGGTCAGTTTTTCGGCTTTTCTTGCCCGAATCTTTTTTTATATTTGTATTATTGTGAAATAGTATTGCCAGTGATGTGATAATTCATATCATCATGCATGTTTATATAAAAAAAAATCGGCAAAAATCCTCTAAAGGCTCGATTTTGACGCTAAAGATATCAAAATAATCCTGAAATTGTGAATTAAATCACTGTAACCGTTTTAGTTTGCATTTTGCGCAATATTTTATAGATAGGTCGCTTTGGTGTGTAATATTGAATAATAAATAAATCGCATGCATTTTAAAGTGAATATCACAGCGAATTGACAACATATCGATCTAAAAAAGCATGTATCTACTGAGGACAATTTCCTCTTTAAAATGGTTTTATTTTTATTAAAATCAGTCAAGTATTCACAAAGAAATCGCAAGTTAAAATGAGCTAACCACTTTGAGATGCCATCTAATCCGGCAACGATGAGTAGTGAACTTTAAGTGAGAAAATGCCTTCTAGAATACACTGTCGTTTGTATTCATTATTGCAGAGCTAAATGCCAAGTTAAATTCAAGTCTAAAACATCAGTCATCCTTTGGCTTTGCGTTATTTACGCGAACTTATCAATGATATACCCGATGCATGAAGTCACATATAGCTATAAGCATACATTAAAGTACCTATATCACTTGTGGGATCTTTACGGATTTGAATAGGGCTTGAAAAATTTGTTTATAAGTTCTACAACCTTTTTTGATATAATTAAATAGTTTCGAAAATACGTCGGTTGGGGAGACTGGGACTCAGGAATGATTTGCAAACACGCCGTCTTTTATAATGTAAACATGACGAGTTTCACTGCGATATAGTTTGCGCTTTTCTAGAAAAAAACGCGGGAACGGTGCGTTGTGTATGGCTGTAGCAACTGGGCGAGTTTTTCTTAAAATATTTTACGTTATTGGAAGATCGAAGTAAAATTACAATTGATTATATTATGTTTGACAAGAACTCGGTTCCTGAGTCCCAGGCCTCCGAGCACGACGGAAATTTAGGCAATCGTCATGTTTAGATGTAAATATTTCCGAAACTATTTAACTATATCAAAAAGAGTTGTAGAACTTATAAACTAATTTTTCAAGCTCTATTCAAATCCGTAAAGATCCCACAAATGATATAGGCACTTTAAGAGATCATTATTAGCAATACATGCATGGAGTCACCCCAAATTTATTCTTTGAATATGCTGCGAATATTTGCAGTCGGCCTTAAAAGCTTTCAGTGAATTGAAAACAGTGAAATATTTTTACAAAATAGCCCGGGAAATGACAGTTAAACAATTTGGTGACGTTTTCACAAACATTCCGCCTTAGCCAATCAGGAAGTTGCTGATTACCAGTCTTTTTTACCAGGCGTTTAAGCGCATAAGTTACAAAATCATTCAACGTTTTACGACCGTCCATGACATAAAATTCTGACAACTTTGGATTCCGATATGTTCTGTCAAAATATCCGGGTGTAATTCCTTATGTCCTTACTTTCATGACGGATAATTAGTACCCTCGCAGGGCGGTCCGCGCCGCGGCTCGAAGATAATAAATGCCACATGAATTGTACGAAACAATGGCATGATTGTACCGTTAAGTTTATGGGAAATTGTTTACCAAAAATCGTCCGTCATCGTCCATCAATTTCATTAGTATAGCAATCTTTAGATGGCCATAGAAAGTTTCATTTTCGGTTTATATGATGATATTGACATTCAATGTTATCATATACGGCATCATGCAGCGCAGTTTTCAATCAATATTTGCATAATTAATAGGTGACAGATTATCACATACACCGAATAGACCTTTTTCATAATGACGTCAAACGCGGAAAGTCTGATGTTACACGAAGTTTGATTGGCTCGACAGTTTTGTGGAGCCAATTAAATATCGTGTAACATCAAACTTCCCGCGTTTGACGTCATTATAAGAAAGGTCTATTCCTTCTAGTGAATTCCATCCTGACTGATTGACAAGATAACATGAATGCAGACATACTCATTTTCATGGATTTACTTAAGTCTGTCACGCAGCCCAAGCCAGTCTTTTTAATTTTCAAGAATTTTAATATTTGTCGAGTCTTTCGACGTCATTCAAGAAAACCTTTTTTACTTTGCCTTACAAGGTACAACCTTCATTTTCACGCCTAAAACGCTTGTTCCCGTTTGATGAAAGAAACAAAGCAAGTGAAAGAACTTTTGATTTAAACGATACTGAAGATCTTGCTTAATTCTATATCATGGCCGAGGTAATGTTAAATATTTTAAATCAAGAATCAAGCAAGCTGCAAATACATGCACTCTGCTAAACCTTGTAAGATTTGTATGTATTATATGAAATCGGTGATACGTTTGGCAATTTGTAATGGTAAATGGGACAATTTTTCTACGCCTATATATACATACCTTGTTGGTCAAATCATTATTAGGTGAATTTATAGGCATGCAATATCTATTTCTACTACATTATTTTCCCTTTAACGAAAATAAAAATATTTCCCCCGGATGCTACCTGCAAATCTTTTACAACTCTCCCTTATTAAGATATATATATATATATATATATATATATATATATATATATATATATATATATATATATATATATATATACACCCATTTGCAAAAACGTTGGCCGCAGATAGATAGATAGATAGATACTCGAAGTCTAATTAGAATTGCATATGATTACATTTGCATGGGATTTCAATCATATTACACAACATATGCAATTCTAATTAGATTTCGAGTATCTATCTATATATCTATCTGCGGCCAACGTTTTTGCAAATGGGTGTATATATATATATATATATATAAATCTAACTACGTTTTCTACGTATCTTCGGCAGTGATACATGCACGCGTATATAAACATTTTTATGATATTGAATATCATAACACTTCCCAATATAGAGCAGAAATTTGAAGTCGATTGTGATTAACAATTAGTCCCTTCATGCGGTCACCTTGTACATCCTCCCCAGTCGGACAAAAAAATGTTTGTCATCACTCAGATTCATTGTGGAGGAAGGTAAAAACCACTTATTCAAGGCATTTGTAAGGTAGGAACTTTGTATCATGTAACTTTAGAATTTCATCATTTCTAGAAAATGATGATTTTGGTCGACAACCAGTCAGCTATTCCGGTAACCTTGTTCCTGCACAAAAATTGGAATCACTGGAAGTTCCTATCAATCAGTAAGATTGTGGAACCAGGTAAAAATTATTTTCATACGAATGGAGAAGCTTTGCGATTTGAACTGAGTGCACGTTTTGATGGAAGAACAAAGAGCACTTTCTGTTCGTTGACTACGTGTGAAGAAGAAATGGTGCTTCGAATTCGTGGTGATGATCTTTTGTATGTAAAAAAAGAAAAATTAAAACACGAAGAAAAACAAATTTGTTTACGACGACAAAACATGAATAAGGACGTTTCAGCATCAGGAAACAAGAACCTGTACGAAATCCTGGGGCTTAACATGAAAGAAGTTCGTAAGAAACCCTTTGAAGAACAGAACGAGATGATTAAGAAAGCTTATCGTTCTCAACTTCTGCGTTGGCATCCTGGCAAGAATCCTGAGAATGGTGATAAAACTATTTGCCATGAGATCATCAATGCGTACAAGATTCTCAAAGATCCCAAAGCCCGAGCTGCGTATAATATCGTGGCAGATTATGACACAGCAGGATGGTTATCAAAAGCGCGATGGGGGGCAGTATTTAAGCCAGAATGTTACAGCGATGAACAGAAGAAACAATATCGAAAGAGAATGGGATTATTGATTCTCTCGAGTGTCCTGGTAACGGCGGGGATTGGTTTAACATTCGTAACAGCGGGAATGGCTAGACCCGTTGTTCTTGGCATGATGGCTGCATCAGGAGGTATTATAGGTGGTGGGATTTCAAGTGGATTACGAACAATAAATCGTGAAGCGATAGAAAAAGTTAGCTCCTTTAAAAAATACTTTATTAGTTTAGTGGTTGGTGCTGTGGGTGGAGCAATTATGGGCGTGGGAGTGGATGGAAAGGGCATCATCAGTGTCCAGGCATCTCTGGAACGGCAAATTAGCTTGAGGATGACCACTTCAGCTTTTCGTAGCTTGGTCACATCTCTTACTAATAATCTGGACACAATCCTTGCAGGTGGACCAAAACCTACCTGGAAACAACTTTTTCTACACGTGGTTCTCGATGCCTTGATGGGAGGGATTGCTGGTGCAACGGGGGGGCTGACAGAAAACATGCTTGAAGATGTGGTTTCCCCTGATGAAGCATTGACAGCATTTGAAAGCGTTTCTTCTGGCACATCTTTAATTGTTGAAGATTCTGCAACAGTTGCAACGACAGCATTTACTGAATATTTCGAGGAGCGTTTAGATGATGGTGTCAAAAATAAATTCATAGTGGATCATTTGAAAAAAGCTGTAGTGAGATCAGCACAAGCTGTTAACACGCGCGTGCACGGATTTCGTTTCAAAGCTGGTGTCAAGGATATTAGAAATGTGCTGGAGGCGGAAGTGAAAGGCGAATCCAGCCACCAGAATGAAGAGACAAAGCAAGATTCAGAAAACACATCAGTTGCAAAGAATATGAAAGAAACAATTGGAGAAGGGATGTCAAGAATGAGTGGAAACAACGAGAATACAGGAACAGGTGATGATCTTGGTAAAGACGTCGAGCATTCCAATAACGAAACAAATGAAGTAAAATACGCAGGATCAGCAGGAAGTATAGAAAATGGCGATAAACACGAATGCGAAGCAGAAGATCTACTCGAAATAACGAGCTTCGATGATATTGACTGCAGGGAAACAAATGCCCAAACTGCTGTGAACCAGAAAATTAAGTATATTTCCAAAGGATATTGGTTTTCGAAGATGCTCGTTGATTATAAGGTGAACGGTAGAAGTCAACATGAGGAGGTTGAATATAGCGAAGGTTCGATTCTCCTACCAAACAATGCCACCAATATCGAAATTAGGTTCCAGGTCATGCGCTTTCCTGGTGTTTGGTGTGATGTGAAAAAGTACGACCGTTTCAAGAGTTGTTGGGTAAAAACACACGACCGGGTAAAAGACAAGGATGAATACAAGCCTCATATTTTCAAGTTCAGGACACCAATTAGTTGCACGTTCACTTTGGCTGGAAATTTGTATTATGAAAAGGTGGTAAAGATCACGAATGACGAAATATACGATAGTGATGACAATGTTGAATGCGCACAAGAATTAACATCAGGAATTGCAGACGAAAGAGCTTCTGTTGGCTTTGCTAAAGGTAAGGGATTAGAATAGTTTCCGAGTGATCACGAGAAAAAAGTTGGCCAAATTTTGTCTCAAAATGATTGTTTTGGCTTGAGTTGGATTGTAAATGGTGAATGGTGAATTTATAACTTAAATCATCAATTTGTAGGAACACCACGCTTTAAATATTATTTTATGCACATGATGGCCCGGGTTAACGGACTGAAAGCTTTCCATATAATCAATGGACGTGGTATTTCTACAAATTGATAATTAATTCCCGAGCCGGTACGGAGTACCGTGCGAGGGTACTAATTCCGCTCCGATATTTACACGCACGATGTGAAGGCAAAATCAAAGTCGGCCGCCACTATGCAATGGACCTCACGCCATGGATGGTCCTTTATGTTATGCGCATGCGCCAGTGTGAACTGCTAATCTCTTGATTGGTCGAGCTACGGCTACAAGCTCCTCTCGTATTCTCCCAACATTCCCCCATCGTGCATTATTACACCATAAAGGCACGCGACTCGTTTTTTAATTCTTAAATAACTGTCATTTAGCAGAATTTTGATGAAATTTATATTTATATATAAAATTTAAGTATATATTTATATTTTCATAAATATGGAATATATGTATTTTTTAATTACATTAAAGGGAAACTCGAATGTGGTCAGAACTTTTTACGGTTTAACAAAGTTAAGAAGACCAAATTTTCGACCGAATTAACCGTGTATAATGAAGTCGGAAGATTTAATACACTTGATAATATTTCATCCGGCACAGCTTTAAAAGTCATTCTTTTGTGGTAAACACAACTTTAATATTCTCAAATGTATTTCACTATAAATCTGAATGTGTTATGTGATAGATGACATTATAATCTCATTTATAAACTCCGTTTTCATAATGACAAAGAGAAAATCAAATCAAAATATTCGCGTGGAAAAACCAGTCGAATGTCTGTTGTTATATTTCATGGTAATTAATAATTAAAATAATTTACTATAACACTGAATATAGATGAGCAACTTAACTCCTAGAAAATTGTAAGACTCTTGTCGTATTTTTGCCATTTTTTTCACAAAAATATGAGGGTAAACTTTGAAAATATACGGCCGTTGCAAGAAGCTATGACTACAGTGCTTTCACGCCCAGAAAAATATTTCCATACTTCTCACATACACGTACTCATCAAAACCCCCAACCCATATAAATTTTCTAACAATCTTATTACCATCCCTATGCTTAACTAATTTCGTTTAACCGAGGCGAGGGGTTGCTGCATGTATGTATTTCTAGTTTAAGTCATATTGATTTGTTTCGGTCTTCTACCGACATGTTACGATTGAATACTTGAAGGACGAATCTTAAAACGTTAACAGTAATCATTCCTTAAAAGCAAAACAAGCATAGTGACTTCTTTTATATCAAATTTTCTGCTTAGTTTTTCGATATAAAACAATTTACTGATATACAATTATGCTCGTCTTTTACAGGCCCCAATGATTCGTGGTGCCTTGAAACAGATGTTCTTCACGACGAGAATAAAAAAGAACTTGCAAGGTAAGTGTAACGACATAGTGTAACGTCATATAAAGAATGAAAATGTTACAGTGCTATAAAAAATCCACTCGATTTTTTTAACTCTTTTAGTTTAGAGTGGGTGGAAAGTTTTAAATCCTTTTATGCGAACGAAAATCGTGGTCAACCCCGTTTAGAAATTGTCTGCAAACTTGGCAAAGTACCTTGCACCGCTGATATTGTGAAATTTTTGGGTGAAAAAATGCTTCCTTTTGTTACGTATAAGGAATGTAAGTTTCGTATTACTATCAAACATGACAGTTTATCACTTAGTCAGATGGTCAGTTTCAATGTCTCGTAATTTTATAGTCTCGAAGACTGAATGGTTTGAATCAAATATATTTGATGAAAATTTTGAAATGAAAGCGGAATTCGAGGATAAATTGTCAAGGTAACTTTTCATGTCATTCCTATTATAACCACTATATATATAGCGGATCATTTATGAGATGTGTCAAATTGAGGATCAAAAAATTCCTACCACCAAAGAACCTTACCATTGCGAAAAATACGTCTTTTGTTTGTTAGATTATCATGGGTAAGAAAATTTTATGTTGGTTTCGATGATAAAAAAGAACAAACTTGGCAAATATATATCACCCACGCCTATGACCAAGCACCTTCCATGGTAGACCTGAAGGAAATATTTGGTGTTAACATTGCCTCCTTTGTTAATTTTATCCGAGAAAGAGGTTTTAAAAAAGATATAGATGGTAGAAAGAAGATACCTTTTCCACCATCTGACTTTCTTCGAGGACCAAGATCAGGAGATGCAATTTGCACAGAAGAAGAAAATAACGAAAACCCCGGAGTTGAAAATCTCGGGTGTGGAACTTTGGGTATTCTTGCAGCTCGGTCGTTTCCCGAAATAAAACACTATGCAGTAACCGCCTACCATGTATGTTACGACAAAACGTTTCCGTCGAATATTGATATAACTATGAAACACAAAAAACTGAAAAAGGATTTCGAGAAAGGATCGCGGAACTGTGTTGGTGTAGTTTACCAGTATATTGATGGAGAAAGAAGACGACTAGGCAAATTCTCTCGTGGTTTATACAACGATAGAAACGACATTGCTCTTATTGAACTAGCTAGAAATTTGAATTGCGATGACGCCCTGGCCTTTTTTAAAGAAGAAGGCATTGAAACAGCCCTGGCTAGCAAGAAGGATGTCGCTAAATGTTTCAAAAAATTGAACGGTAATGTGCGGGTGAGAAGAATTGGTTCAACGGAAGAACAGGAAGGGAAACTTATCTCAACATATCACAAGGATGTGAAAACAGGAATGAACTGTGGTTTTTACATGATAGAAGAAAAAAAAAGCAAAGCAGAACGAGGGGCAGAAGGCGAAACAGACGGCGAAAACGCCACGTTTGCAAAGAAAGGTGACTCGGGCTCTTTGGTGTATATGATATGTAACGGTGATAAAAAGATAATATTCGCCTACCTGAGCAACGCCAACTTTGAAGAAGGTGTCTACTACTGTCCAAATTTGAAATCAAGCCTACAAGATCTATGTCCCAACAATGAGGTAGCCAGGGTGTTTAATCCTTGCGTGCATGAATGTGGCTTCCAATAACATGCACTTATTTCCAAATTTTGCCGGAATTATTTTGGATCTTAAATATTTTTAGTATAACCAATTAGTAGCTTAGAGCAAGGGTTTCACAAGGAGTGTTCAACATTATATCATACAAACTCTCTTAGCGGAGGCTTTTAAAATCGAATCGTCTAGAAACGTTTTTCGTCAATTTTTGGCCATGCACCAACTGGCACTATACCGTTTATATCAAAATCGATTTTGAATTTTAAATATATGCAAGTTAGAAATTATTTTGTCTTATCTCAGAATCTGCCACGGAGATTTTAAAAATCCATACGAAAATGCACTATATAGGTAGCCAACATCAGTGAAATTAAAGCACTTGCCCACAAAGGAAAGATAAAATAGTAATGAAAATAATAATAATTAAGCCTTTTCCGTTGCTCGAATAAATTAAAATACTATAGGTGACAATATATTGTATACCTTTTAGCGAGTAAACTTTATTCATTTTGTTACTTTATTCGTTATTACCCATAATACCGACGCAGAAGTTGGAATACTTGACTGTGATAGGTCATAGTTGCATTCATATATCGTTAAAAACTTTAAAACGTCATGTAATCTATTAACTTTAATAAAATATAAATGCACTCGAATGTTCATTTCTTATTTATTAGTTACCAAGCTTCTCGAAAGAGCCACTGCGGTGCATGCGTTATAAGAATGTCCCCTTCAAACATTTCTTATCCACGTATTAACCTTTCGTTCACGTTCAACAAACATCGATCATGCGATTGCTCCCAGTTGTCTCCTACCATCGAATAAAATTTTATAAACAATATCTACACGGGTGAGAGGTACGTTTATTTCACAATGATTTTTCAAACGTGGTATAAAAATCCTTAAAAACGACGTGGACGTGGCGATATTTCAAAATAATTCGAAGCCAGTATAATGTCAGTTCAGCAACTAACTATTATATATACCTGCAATATATTGCAATAATTAATGTCCCGAAATTCTGGTTATGAGATAAACCAATTGCGGAGAAATAAATTCACGAAACTGCATGTCATAATGTGATGAATCAATGAAAAATAAAATGAAATAAGCTTTCACACGAAAAGGTTATACAGAAATAGTTTCGATCCTTGTTATTCTGGGAATGCAATGCTTGAATGATGATATATGAACAACCCAGACAGCATGAGACGCTTTTTTGGACCAGATTGTTGTTGTTGAAATCTTAGTGTTTCAGAGTGTTCACCCGACGTTCTCCAACAAAAACGTTCAACATTGGTATAGAAAAACACTCAATCACATAACGAAACTCTGTGTACAGTTCGAATGTTCAAATATTATTAAGAAGACATCATTCAGAGCAGTTGAATAATATATTATTCGCATGAACGAATTTTGTAATTAGTTTCTCTGCAGGTAACACGTATACACCAAATGAACAAATTTAGTCTCTCGTCAATTATGGCGTCATTTCATTATCAGTGAGGTTCGTCGATCGACACGGCGGCTGAATATCTGTAAGTACTATAAACATACGTTATGTTTTGATTTCATCATATGACAGGCAATCTATATACATCAATCTACATTTAACAAAAAACTATATATATTCCGAAAGATTTTTATTCCTCGATAATTAAATTGTATCGCAACAAGCCTATGGCGACGACATGCTAAAATGCTATAACAAATACATTGGCAATATGTTTAAGTATAAGTTAATTTTTTCAAATGATATATACACCAAACAGGCAATATAATGAAATAATCAATGATAAGGGATAATAGAAATTTACCAATCAACATTACATGAAATAAATAAACTCTTGTTTTGACATACATGCAATGATATTAAAAGTTCAAATGAGCCTCAATGAACTATTCTGTTGACAGCATATAGTTTAGGTAGTAAAAGGCCAACATTAATCACTCTCTTGAGTTTTGTTGTGACTAAATTGAATGTTTAAAAGAAAGATTTTTGGGAGCAAGGTTTTTAACGTCGAAATTTGTTCAATATAGGTAGCTACATATTAATATTATATCAAACATTGGTATAAGCTATAGTCTGAATAGTATAAAGAATAGGGCTTTATTGAATGTTGACAATATAAACTGCACCTGAATTAACTACCTGATATTATATTAAATACGTTATTATAATGAAACCAAAACACCTTAAAATAAAATGCACCCGTGCATATTATGCAATATATCTCGAGTGCTTTATCAGTCTGTCATTTTGGTTGTTGTTTTTCAATTGCCAAATATATTTTTAAAGTCAGTCAGTGTCATTTGAGTACCTTTTGTGTCTCAAAGATTTAATATATATGATTCCTGTATCGCTCTTGAAATGTATTTGCGGTCATGCCGATGTAGTGCTTTGTGTTGTTTGCATTGCTACATGTATAGTGGAGTTGCCCTGTATTCAAGGTTCTTCGTCATGCACCGATTTCCTAGGGGGCAGGTGCTCTATTATAATCACAATTTTTATCATCGGCTCCTAAAACTAAAGAAATATGCGCAAATATATAATATTTGTTCGCGCTATCGTCATTTATAGTGAAACGATACAGGTGTGCTACATTTTGTTGGTTTCTAGCAAACTACTTTCTACTTTTTGTTGTTTTTTACCGACTTTCTAGCCGGCTACCGACTTTCCTATTTTATTTGTGTATACAATTACAAAATAGCCCCAGCGAATAAACGCTCAACCGAGCGTCTTGTTTGCGGAAAACCGCGGCTATTGTTTTGTCAGATAAATAATGATAAATGCTGCCAATTTCATTGGAGAATGTCAAATCGAAACTGAAATGGTTAGAAAGTCAAAAATGGCTAGAAAGTCATAACTTCGAAATGAATTTGTTCCGTGGAAAAAATTGGTGCCACCACCGGTATATTGCATGTTAGCTAGTTATAGCAGGCTAGCAGAGGTTGCCATTTTTGTACCAGCATTAGCAATTATTGGCTTTAATTAATATTTTAATATTCGCCGGCATTGAAAGATTCATGATTGGTCATAGACAGTGTCAACATGAATTAATGATTACTGTTTACGGGATATATTTATGTTTGTAAAATTTATTTTCATGATGCGATTAATGAACACAGTTCAGAACAAATTTCACATGAAATAAACACCAATTCAGTAAAGCAGCTGGTTACGGAACGGAACTGATGATATTCGTGGAATGCATTGTTTTAATGATGATTTACGCAATAATATAGGACAGTAATAAAACGTTAGTTTTTTTGAAGCACCAGACTATTATTCTCATAGACGTTTTACAACGTCGACATGCAAGTTCCGAAAAACTTCGACTGACCAAGATTGCTAAGACTGTAAAAACAATTAAGGTTCTTTAAGTCCTTAAATACAAATGCAATTCTTCTCTGCAGGTGGCATAATATTATCACGAAGTCGATCAACAAGCTCAGTCTCTCTGAAAACCGCTGTTGGAATTTGGTTTGAAGTAGACACAGCGGCTTAAATATCTGTAAGTACTTATAAGTACTTTTATATTAAAATGATGTAAATTCAACAGTCAAATTATACTAAAGTATAAGGACTATTGTAGATGATGATTTGCTGCAAATGAACACGTATATTTTGTGAGCCGAAAGCTCATTTGATTAACTTGAAGGGTAACATAGGGAATGTAAAGAGAAAAAACGTCAATGGCATATACAACATTTTTATTACTCTGTCAGTATCAAAGCACCTTGGCCACAGTTAGACATTTTATTAAAATGATTTTCGGTCAAGTTGCCAACATTCAAAGCGGAACTACATGTATATACAATAGTCAGTGGGTAGCGATATAGAGAATTTGTGTACTTTATTCCACGTAGGATCCTCGTTCCACCATTTCTGTGGATTTTCTTTTCCCAGTTTTTGAACTCTTGACTCGTAGTACTTTCCACGACATGCCTTTCTTTCAGCATTGACCATGTTTCTGTAATATTTAAATTCGGTTGAGTTAACTCCATATATAGTAAACGCCTTCTGTCTTTTTCTTATAAGGCTTTTCAATGTGTGATTCATCCATGGAGCATCAGTTAGGGAAATTTTAACTTTCTTCATTGGCATAAGAATGTTTAATCCAGACAGGACGGCTTCATTAAAAACGTTCCACATATTTTCACAATTTTTTTCAGCCATAATTAATTCCCAGTTTATTGAGCTGAGATATCTTCCCAGTTCTGCTCTGCAGTTTGCTCGTCTATCTCGCTTCGTTATAATCTTCTTCTTTTCTTTATTACTGGGCTTAATGCTTGGTGGTATCACTATAGTGTTATGTCAGAAAGACCAAAAGGAGGAAACGCCTGAGGTACCGTATAATATTCATGCATATTCGTCAACAATAGGTCTAAAGTAACATTATTTCTTGTAGGGACCTTTATAAGTTGTTTAAGACGAAATTGTTTTAACAGATTATTAACTTTTAAACGGTGAAAGTCTCCAGCTAAGATTATGCCACAACTTTGGTATTTGGACTCTATTCTTGTAAGAGAGATAAATAAATGTTCTCGAATTAACGCATCACAGTTGCCCGGGGGATGGTATAAGACTCCAACAATTATACTTGAGATGCCCCGTGGTAAACGATTAGGTCTAATATGAAGCCAAAGGATTTCGTGGTCGTCACAGCAATTTACATCAAATATTGGCTTAAAATTTTGCACTCGTTCAGCATGAACATAAATACAGACCCCATCGTGAGCATCTTTAACTCTATCCCGGCGAAAAATTGTATATCCTGGAATATTTATGGAACAATCCGGTATTGAGTCTCTAAGCCAAGTCTCTGTGATAAGTCCCAGATCAATGTTTTGGCATAACATGAAGTTAGAAATTTCATCTAATTTTGGAGCTAACGACCTCACATTTGTTAACAGAATGTTAGGTACATTGTCGGTGTGACAATAGAAGGCGTTTTCTTAATTGAAATTAAGTTATTCCTGATACTATTCTTATGGATTTTGTCTTCAAATTTACGATTGGAGTCGTTTAATAGTACCAACGGAACCATTTGATTTTTTCTCTCGGTCGAACTTTCAAACGAAAATCCTCTGTGGTCAAGGGGCCGGCTTTTTCCTGACGGGAAGTTTTTCTGCGAAATTTAGTCGGTTTCAGTCGCTTTGTGATTCGCGTAGGGATAGGTTGTCCGTAGAAATGGGTTGGCCCATTACGTTCCTTTGTGGGCTCTTTTTGGGAAATTCTTTGAGCGTTTCTTATTTCATAATTCTGGCCGGTACTAATCTGTTTTTCACCCGTATAACGTTGCTCGATACTATTGACACACGGGGCTTTACCAATAATTCCTTCCACGGAAGTGGTAGAATTTACACTGTGCTTGAGAACATTTTTAATCGGGAATCTACTAACTTTTTCGCTCTGAACTGTATTATCATTCTCTTTAAACGCGACTGACACTTCTCTGCTTGTAATACCGGCTTGTTCCCTAACCACATCGCACATCCTATTGACATGACAGACATCTTTTTCGTCGCTAATCTCACTATTTAGCTCGGTCAAATTTGATTTACTTTGTTTATTCAATTGAGCAATTTCACGCTTGAGCGAGTGATTTTGTGCTTCACTAGTTGTAAGTGATTTTTCAAGGGAATTAATAATATTTTTGAGTTCGGCTGTTTCCGCATTTCTACCGTTAACTAAGATTAATATATCCGCTTGAAGTTTATTATTTTTTGATCTTTCGTTTTCCAAATCTTGCTCCAAACGTTTAATATTTTCTTCTAAATTTGTGTCGGCTGTATGTGTATTCGACTGAATATCATTCCGTATAATAGCAGCCATTTCGAGTTTAATGCCTTCAAGTTCAGCGGCTAGAAGGCTGCACTTACAATCACAATTCGGATTGCACAAAGACATAAGGCAGTTTTCAGATATCATCGGTTTATGTTCTTCAGACTGTTGAGCATAACTGAATGAGGTTTGGTTTGTGCTTTCGACATCTATCTCTAAATCTCAACTGAGTTGTTAAAATTGTGTTCGGATGGTGTAATCGGTGATGAACATTGATCTTTTGAATTTATAACTAAGCTGTTCGATACACCGCTTGTATAATCAACAAAGTCCTTGTTCAACACACTAACCAAATAGTTTTTAATATCTACCCCGTCTTTCCCACTAAACGTCAGGGAATTTAGCTTTCCCGGGTACCAGGTTACAACAATATCAGAATTTGAACTTCGGAACTGCTTCGATCTGCCTCCAGGAGTTCGCCAATTTCCCGTAAGTTGGAGCACATTAGCGATAAATTCTTTCAACAACTCGTAATTCCCCGTCCACTTAATACGATCACCGTCATAAACTAAGTACGATTGGTCATTTAATCGTTTTATTGAATCAACATCAATGCTCTTATATTTCAAATTTGTATATTTTCGGGAGCTGAATTCTACATCACCGTCCGCCATTATTACATGAGTTGCATGCCAAATCATCAATAGAATTGCGGTGTATCGATTATTTTCTCGAAATTAATATACCTAGGTACAGGGTGCATACTAAAACAATTAGACAACTCGCCTTCGTTGACTATTCGCTCATAGACAACTCGGACTCGTTGTCTAATTGTTAAATAGATAACGAATAGCGTAGGCAATCGGCATATGCAGTAGCACAACGGCGTGACACGTCTGGGCTGTTATGCTTTACATCAGTACAATCATGTATTTTGTTTTAATATCTAGATCAACTTTGCTCAGAAAGGAAACACGTATATAGAAATAAACGAGCAGACTTCTGATTCCTGGGGGGCGTATATAAAACTTTTTATTTGATTCAATTATTTATCATGGCTGAGGTATGTATTGATCAAAACAAAAATGTCACGAGCATCTATACATTTTACACGATGAGTTGCAAGCATAACTCCAGTAACAAGAAGAATAAACAGTATATAGCGTAATCGATTTCTATAAAGAAATGAATAGTTTTAACAACTTTGTGTAGGAATATTATGTAACTTGAGAATCATTCCTAGGGAAATTGTCAGTCCAAGATGATTTTGGTCGACAACCAGTCAGCTCTTCCAGTAACCCTGTTCCTGCACAAAAATTGGAATAAAAGGCAGTTTTTATCGATCTCTAAAACTGTGAAACCAGGTGGAACCTATTTTCATTCAAAAGAAGAAGCTTTTCGATTCGAACTCGGAGTTCGTTATGACGGCAAAAATATGGAGACAATTTTCCCTTTAAAAACATGCGAAGAAGATATGGTGCTTCAAATCTATGGCGATGTTAGTTTGGGTGTCAATGAAAGAAAATTGGAGCTCAAAGATAAACAAATTTGTTTACGGCGACAAAACATGGAAGAAGAAGTTTCAGCGACAGGAAACAAGAACCTGTACGAAATTCTCGGCCTGAATATGAAAGATGTCCGCAAGAAGCCTGTCGAAGAACAGAACGAGATGATTAAAAAAGCTTATCGTTCCCAATTGCTGCGTTGGCATCCTGACAAGAATCCTAAGAATGGCGATGAAACTATTTGTCAAGATATCATCCTCGCGTACAAGATTCTCAAAGATCCCGAAGCCCGAGCCGCGTATAATAACGTCGCAGATTATGACAAAGGTTGGGGCTCGAAAGCGCGTGGAAAGGCTATATTCAATCCCGACTGTTACAGCCCAGAACAGATAAAACAATATCGAAAGAGAATGGGATTGCTGATTCTTTCAACTCTACTGGCAGTGGGAGGAGTTGGTGTGACCTTTCTAACAGCAGGGATGACTGCACCCGCTGTACTAGGGATTGTCGCTGCATCGGGGGCCCTCGTTGGCGGTGGCATAACAAGTGGATTACGGACAATGACCCGTGACTCAATACAGAACGGCTGCGCCTTTGAAAAATACTTTAAAAGTTTACTGATTGGTGCTGTTGGTGGAGTGGCATTGGCAACAGGGGCCGCTGGGTTTGCTGCTTTTTTCGGTGGGGCAGCTAAGATTGCAATCAAAGCTTTTCAAGTTTCTCTAGAAGATCGAATTGTTCAGAGGTTGGCCAACAGTGCTTTTCAATGCTTTGTCAATTCCGTTACAAATACTTTTGACGCAGTTCTCGCAGGTGAAGAGAAATTAACGGGAAAAAAAATTATTCTTCTTGTCCTAATTGATGCTTTTCTTGGAGGAATTGCTGGTGCTTCGGGCGGGATGACAGAAAAAATGATTGAAGGCACAGTGTCTCCGATAGAGGCAGAGATGGCATTTGTTAAAATTTCCTCAATCTCAGGCAATGGTGTTGAAAATCTGACAAAAGTAATAGTGGACAGTTTTACCACCACTGTCTCTGATCGTTTCAATGATGGTGACGAAAAGGAAACTCTATTGGATCACATAAAAAATGGTACAAAGCAAGTTGCATCTGTCGTTCGATGCTATTGTTTCCAATGTGGTGGTAAACTTATCAGAAGTAGCGACTCCAGTGAAACTGAAAACACAGTCCATATAAATCATCAAATACCTGATTGCGAATGCTTGATACGCAATAAAAGTAAACTGCAGTATTTTTCTGAAGGAACATGGTTTTCCAAGATGCTCGTTGATTATGAAGAAAACGGTGAAGAAAAACATCACGAGGGTAAAGGTAGTGGAAGTTTGATTTTGATACCCAACAATGCCACCAAAATCAAAGTTAGATTTCAAGTCATGCGCGCACCTGGTGTTTGGTGTGATGTGAAAAAGTATGATGTTGAAAACCGTTGTTGGGTAGAACCAAAGCAGCCTCATACTTTCGACTACACGATACCCGTGAGTCGCACGTACACCTTGGCTGGAATGTTGCGTTGTGAAAAAGTGATCAATATCACAGGAGAGAGCGATTATAATCTACCCAGCTATATGGAATTAACAGCCGAAATAAATAACGAGTCCACGGCATCCGTGATTCACAGATTAAAGTATATTTCTGAAGGAAGTTGGGTTTCAAAGATGCTCGTTGATTATGAGGAGGACGGTGAAACAAAACATCAAGAAGTTAAAGATAGCAAAGAATCGTTTCTGATACCAACTAATGCAACAAATATCGAAGTTAGATTTCAGGTCATGCGTGCTCCTGGTGTTTGGTCTGATGTGAAAAAGTACGACCGTTTCAATGAATGTTGGGTAAAACCAGCCCAGCCTCATATTTTCAAGTACGACAAACCAGTGAGTTGCACGTACACTTTGGATGGAAACTTCTTTTATGAAAAAGTAGAGAATATCAGCGAAGATAGACAAAAAAAGGAATACACAAAGGGCAAAGAATGCATTTCCAGCCATGAACCAAAACATTACAACGTTAAAGATGCCACTTGTTCGATTCTGATACCAAAGAAAGCCATTAATCCCAAAGCCGAGTTTCAGGTAAGTATAACTAAGTATTGGAACGTTAGACGAATATTAAAATTGTTTTCCTGAAAGTCTCAATTTTTAATACAAAGTTTAATACAAAGTCGAGTCAATTGATATTTGTCCAAATATTCAAATTACAGCGATACGTTTTTTTGCTAAACTAACTAAGCTTGGTATACTTCCAGGACATCCCGTGTGACCAAGTTTGGGGTAGTGAAACAACGACATCATCTTCCATCCAGGGTATTAGCACACAAGGATTTGTTTATGAAGTTCCAGACTTAACAGCTTTATTTGTTCCAGTTAAAGGTAAATAAATCAAGAAGTTGTTAGGAGCACGTGGCAGCCTCCCTAAAACAACTTCATAGCAGCGAATGTGACAAAAAAAGCTCCCTAAAATAGACAATTTCATACTGACAGTCCTGATAGGCTTAGGTAGAAATGTCGAGAAATGTTTTTATCTATTTTAGGAGACTGTTGTATTATAATTGGTGCAAACTGTTTATCATATTATTTGACAATAACGCTTATCTCATAAAGCAACCAAAGGATAATGGGATTGATTCAATTTGAAAATTCAATTTGAAATAGTATTACTTTCACATAAAGTATAAGTATTATCCAAAACTTTATTACCAAACAAGCAATAATTTTAATTCTCTAACTTGTGCCATATGTTCATAAATTCTAGAAATGCGTCGCTTGCGACCTCGAGCCCCGTTTGCGCTTCTTCCATTCGCGCAATGTTCATTAAATAATTTAAGAAATTTGATGTAAAAACCCGCAAACCCAAGGAAGCTTAGTAAAAGTGAAGAGGCGCGTACAATAAGTATAGGCGAGTCATCAAATCTGCTACGCGGATGTGAAGAAAAAGCAGAGAAAACAAGAAAGGCAAAAAGCATAATAATTATTTATTCCTAAATGCAGTTTCACAACAAGGATAAAAATTATAGTCTCTAGTTGTTTGTATACGTCACCAGTATCAAGACATTTTTTAAACAAACATAACAAACAAAAAATGGCATTTTTTCTTAACTGGTAAATTCCATTCAATATATGTCGCCACCTTTTATAATTATTTGTTACGAATTTTACAGTTCCGAGAACAAACTGGTTTGTGCAAAATATCTTGGATGAAAATCTTAATATGAAAGAAGAATACGAGAAAGAATTGTCAAGGTAAAACTGAAACCAAATGATGAAATCACATTTTGCAAGTTATGTGATTCAAGCTCGAGGGATGTTATTTCGAAAGTTAAGCAGCATCCCAAGTGTTGTTTTATATGCGACTACAGTGCAGCAACGGTTAAAACATGCAATGCATTTCAATTTTTCGTGCAGTATTGTCCCATCCAACACGGATATTAACCAATCAGATTGCGTGTTTTCCTTGTTTTCTTATACAATAAATCTCATATTTCTCGCTCCCACGCGTGTTCCTATTGTATAGAAACACGGAAAATTTTATTTTCTTTTTTAATGGAAGATTGGATTGACTTGTTCGCTCACATTTCTTCAGATTATCCTGGGTGAGAGATTTTTATATTGGTTTTGACGGCAAGAAGGATAAAACGTGGAAAATATTCATCACCCACGTCCAAAATAAGGAACCGTCGATGAAGGAACTGAGAGAAATATTTAGTGTGAAACACGTTGCATCCTTTGTTGATTTCATCCCAGAACAAAGAAAAAAAGTTACTGGTAAATCTCGCTTTCTTCAGGGACCAAAAACAGGCGACGGCATTCATGAAGAAAATGGATTTTCTGATGGAAAAATATGTATTATTTGTGTTGGAGATCCTCGCACAAGAAGCCACTACGCAATGACCAGCTATCATGTGTGCTATAACAACAGATTACCAGAAGACCTATTCGAAGCGCACAGAGATCTAAAGAGAGACTACCAAAATGGGTCACCAAATTGTCGTGATGTAACCTACAGGTATACAGACGAAAATGAACGTGGAACACTTGGTAAATTTTACTGTGGTTTATACAACGACGAACATGATATTGCCCTCGTCAAACTTGAATCTCACTTATCTTGCCAACATCACATTACATTTCTTAACCGAAGAGAAATCGAGACAACTTTGGCTAGTAAAAAGGACGTCATGGAAAAAATGGAAGAAATGCTTGGATCAGTTCCCGTGAAAATAATTGGTTCAATAATTAGAAATGGAGAAGGAATCCTGTTTGCAATAAATGCAAGGACAACAAATGACGGAATGAACAAGGGATTTTATAGAATAAGAGGAGTGGGTGGAGAAAATTTTGCAGAGGAAGGTGATTCAGGGGCTTTGGTATACATGATATGCGACGATCACAAAAATATACCATTCGCATATGTAAGCAACGTGAATGAAAGAGGAATATATTACTGCGGTAATTTGAAATTCAGTTTAGAAAGTTTAAACCCTGATATGAAACCTTGCTTAGGTCAATGTGGTTTTGAGTAATTTGGAACTATGCTCCAGCAAAGCATCAATTAAAAAACATTTTAGAAAATCCATGTATTCTTACTTATTATGCATTTAATCAGGCAAACGATAATACAGTTGTGAGGAGAATCAACAATCTGCCCATTAAACTGGTGCGACTTAATGAAATAACTTTCATAAATTTAAGGACATATATATTCTGATCATAATATATTCATATATATCTAACCATTACCCAAGCATATATTCATTCAAAGTAGACTATTTCAAAACTCATTTTCAAGGGACACAAATAAAACTCCATTAATTACAAAAATAATAGTTATATTATGTAACCATTTATATTAAGAAACCACAAAAACACAATGTGTCAAACTTTAATTGTTATGACCACATTACATCACATTACTTATCCAGCTTTTGAAGTGTATAATATCAGCATATACCCCATAATACCCCCTTCTAGCACAACCAATCCCCCAGCTCACAGCGCCCATCAGATGCCACCTTCTGTTCACACTGCACACCAATGGTCCCCCGCTGTCCCCTTGACAAGAATCAATCTTCCCAGTGTGGTAGCCAGCACAAAGCATGCTCGATGTGAGCGAACCGTAAACATAACCACAGCTTTGTTTACTAACGAGAGGTACTTTAGCCTGTTGCAGGATCGCTGGGCCGTGACCATCTTCCTCCAAGGCGCCCCAGCCTGTCACCCAACATTGCGTGCCCGCAGGTAGGTTAGAAGAAGGCAAGCAAACGGGTAGGACCCGACTATTGTACTTAATGGGAGTTTCTAACTTCATCAACGCTATACCATTATCCTGACCAGTCTGGGTCGTACTTATATCATGACGTTCACATACACACAATGTTAAAGTAAAACATTTACACCTGTTCCTGAATTCGTTGGAGTGTAAACAGAGATCATTTTGTACATTTCGTAATCAGCGAAGCTAATGACGATTTTAAAGCATATGAAATTTTAAACTCGGTGAAAAACTTTTTTAATATCAACAGTTAGAGAGTTTCAGATCTTGAGATACTTCACGATGGTTAGCTATTGGACTGGCTGATGTACAGCCAACATGAATATGTTACCATGATTATAAGAGCTACGATAGGGAGATTTAAATTTCATCAAATGTACAAACTAAAAGCGCTGATTTCTAAACAACGAGACATAATCAACATAGGACGGTTTGAGCTTAGATATAGGAAAGAGAAAAAATTCGGGAAGAGAGTGTGCGAGGTCACAACATTCAAGAAGGGAACTGGACGTATGAAGAAGACACAGGGGGGTGATTACGAAAAGGAATCGACGATACGTTTTTGTTTCCCATAAATCTGTATTCCGAAGCCTGTGAGAGCAGGACGTGAAATTATAAATGCACCGAAAGGTGTGAGTTTTGAAATATTCTTTGAAAATTCGTAATCAATATTCAGTAGCATCGTTATTCAGGTACTATGAATTTAGAATTGGCTGCAGTAATCTATTTCGCTAAAGCTGAATCTGCCCAGGGCCGTAGTTAAAAGCTTAATTGGGGGGGAGTTCATATATTCGTCCTATGCCCAACTGATTTCTTTTGTACGCTATTGTTCCTACGGTATATAAACACGAATATATGAATATACACCCCCCTCCAATTAAGCGGTCTAGGTACGGACCTGAATCTGCCACTGAGTTTAAAGGTTTAATTAAATCAAAATGTCAAGCATAATAATGACTAATTACCGAGTTGTAAGCCATGCAGCTCCGCAAATTCTTCTCATGCCGGGTAAGTTGCATGAGATCAAGAATCCCGACAACTTCTTTTGTAAGTTATAGGGCATGCCTTCAAGTTTTCGATGCAACAATTTTCGAAATCATTTTTTAAAAATTTAATAACCTTATATATAACCTTGTTTAATAGTTTTATGCATAGTCACGCAAATATTTCAGAAATAAGCCAATTACGTAACCGAAGTATCGTATATCATATTATCCACGCCTTGTATCGTATTTTGGTATTTATTCATGTATTAAATTGATTTAGTCGGCAAGAATTTTATCGGCATATAGCATCTCGTATGACTCGGGAAGATATCATCGTATGACTCGGGAAGATATCATCGTATGACTCGGGAAGAAATCTTCAGTAAAAAGTCAATATTGTTGAACATTTCTGAAAGAAATAATCGGGTTCTGCCTTCTGGCCTTGGAGGTTAGTTTTGCATGAACACGAAAGGATATCCGAATTTTGAATGTTTTGAATCTTGTATCATGTTCTGTTAACGTTTGCTTTCGCCACAAGCCAAAAATATCTCTATATTGTATATCAAATAGTAGCCAACTTAATTCAGTTGTAAATTGATGATGATCAGAGCCAGAGGGAGATCTAGCAGTAACTACGAGAACGACTACGATTAATACGAGCAAACGATTCCTTGCTGTTGACGTTTGCTCCCGCCACAAGCAAAAACTTGTAGTCGTCGAGCTTTTAAGTACGAATTTGTTGAATAATTTTGTATTAAAAAGCCCAACTAGAAGAAGTTTCGTCAAATGCCGGCGCGCAAAACAAGTTTCGTCAGATGCCGGCGGACAAAATAAGTTTTGTCAAAACAAGTTCAGGCGCGTAAACGACGGTTCTCGTCAACTGACAAGTAGATACCTTTGCCTTTGGACTCGTAGTCGTATTCTTAGGCACTGCGGGAACAGCAGCTCTAATGTTTGCATCTAAAAATGTTCGAAAACATTATAATTATATGTTAGCTTATTATAAGAGACGTAGCTAATACGTATAGAGATGTAGCTACATCGTTATTCTGAACTTATTCACAAGCTCCCATACATGCAAATATTACTTGCTAGCTTGAAATTGCATGGTTTAGTTTCAATTAGGTTTTATTTAAATACATATGAGTTCAGTTTGAGCGATGCTGATGGGTTGAAAAACTTTGATGAGCGTTTACAAAAATAAAAAGCGCATGATAATCTCATATATAATCTCTATAATCTCAGTCTGCAACCTTTTCAACTTTGTTCGTTTTAGTGAAACACATAACAAAGAGGGAGCAAGGCTAACTCAGCCTGTGTTGATTTTTTCTTTATTTATCAGACAAAAAGTAAAAAATTAAGCTTCAGGCAAGTGAGGCAACTGCTAAGAATATAATGATGGACTTTTTTTCATAAGGATAAAGTTTCTTGCTGATTGTTTATTTTTCGATATTCCTTTGAAAATCTATAATTTAATTCCAACCATGCAGACTTTGCTTGCTTAGCTAATTACTGCTGAGAGTCACGCGATGCGTGAGAGACGCCATGACAACGTAAAACGTTGATGTTTTAACTTTTGATTCTTAGTCATATCGCCTCCACAGCAAAATATTGTTAGTCATATTGCCTCCACAGCTGTTCACATGAGCCCAGTTCCCCGATATTGAACAAAGCATGAGATGATTTGGAGGTATTGAAAAGGTCTTTTTGAAACAAAACAAGCAGATGCAATTGTTAATGTTAGGATGACTACAAAAATATTCAGAAAATGTTATTCATAGTGACCTAACATATTAACGATATCCCGTTGAAATTTCGTTTATAGATTGAGTATAGTTCAAGTATAATAGCGTGTTGAAGTTGGATTACATTTTTTTATATACCCTGTATAGTATGCATGAGCGATCGATTCTCATTTGAGCGATAAGCATATAGCCTTTTCCAGAAAAAGGTTATTCTACACACATTTCAGAAATACATTTATACAATGAAAAAGGGTATGGTGTTTAGTGCAGTCGATGAAAAATACAGAGCTAAGTTTTAAGATGAATTTGCTCTAAATTCTACTTTCCAAATTCGGAATTTCCCCAGCTTTAAAATTACCGAAAACTTATAATAATAATAATAAATAATACATATGGTTATTATTATTTTTCTGTTTTCATTAAAAGTCTGCCTGCTAATTATCAGTCAAATTTCAATATGAATCTTCTTAGTCGGTTTTTTCAAATATTCCTGGCAGATTGCTTAAATCATCAAATATGCAAATGATAAATATTTCCTTAATTCGTAATAAAAAGTCATTAATGAATTCGCAGAGTTCTTGGAAGTTACGACAATGATATAGGGTAGCTACAGGGCATCTTTTTCAGTAATCAGGGACATTATAATTATACGATGTCACCGCTGTAGAACAGGAGAAAAGTTTTTGCTAGAAAAAAATTAAATGACCACATTTCATATATAAATTGTTTACGTCATTGTTTTCTTTAATGATTACAAATAATAAATGAATTCTCGTGGTCACCTGCCCACACAAAAAAATTTAATAAGTTAACGGTTGCCGTATAACGCCCATGCAAAGTGTGATTTAAATTTCAAAGCTTATGAAATTTTGTGTTATTTAAATTGAACCACGAGCAAGAGCACTTTGCAATTATTATTGTATGAAAAGTCGAGTGAGAAAGCTTCAGAAAAAGTCATTGTTGAAATATTTTAAAGGAAAATACTCGATCAACCTTCCAGGTAAGCCCTGAACCCTCAAATTATAACTAGGAATTTTACTTTTCTTTATGCATTTAAGGGTTGTATATAATTATATCTCTTTTAGCGATAGTGATAGAAATACTCAAAGTTCCAGAACTATCTTTGCTTATAGATATAATAAACGTGAACAAGAATCACCCTGCGTTATATTCCTGGGCGAAAGCATAACTATACAGCTGTAGCTGTAGCAAGGCAGACTGACATAAATTATCACGCGGGCTGCGATAATCAATATCACATGCATGCAATGTTAACTGTCTTTAGTTGAAATACAGATACTCGATACATAGCATAATACATTTATGCATGGTACATTTCGCAACAATGAAATATCAATGACAACCGTAAATTTGATGTCTTTACTCTGACGCGCAAAATATTTTACTATAAAAATAATTTCTTTTCAGGATAACCAAACATTTCCTTTGGAAATATACATATAAAGTTCCCTGTTAAAACGCATCACCATGCAGTATAAGCTTTGGCAGTATGGAACGTTTTCTCTTATAATTAAGGGTTGAAACATCTCAGAATAAGAATTATCCAAAACAATGGAAGTTTTGACTATCTATTAAATGAGAGTTTCTATATAGCTGGGAAATGCAGGAAACAATTTAGGAAGGAAATGATCTTGTAGTTTTTTCCAACCATAACACTGTTATTCAAAATATGAAAATGTTGTGGGTGCGAGATGTTCATTTGTAATGTGTTTTAAAATCTGGTTTGCAGTACAAATTGACAGTTTTTCAGATGATCGTGTAGTCCATCAACTATACTCATGCAGCGTATAAGCGACATTGCTTCACATTCAGAAAGATCAGTCTTTAACTATCGAATGACAGAACAAAAGAAAAAAACAATTAATCGCAAAAATATCAGTCTTACACTTGTTTTACAACATTCAGAAGCGAAATTCATCATTAGTTAAGTCCCATAGCCCGGGCATTTCCTCATATTTTGTCCATTTCGTACTGATGAGTAGACATGTCTATGACATGCATGTCATTGCAAAGACATGTCATTCGCTAGCTGATCCTTTCGAAGACTGATCCTTTCGAATTTGTAAAAATTTCGTTTATAGATTGAGTATAGTTCAAGTATAATAGCGTGTTGAAGTTGGATTACATTTTTTTATATACCCTGTATAGTATGCATGAGCGATCGATTCTCATTTGAGCGATAAGCATATAGCCTTTTCCAGGAAAAAAGTTATTTTACACATATTTCAGAAATACATTTATACAATGAAAAAGGGTATGGTGTTTAGTGCAGTCGATGAAAAATACAGAGCTAAGTTTTAAGATGAATTTGCTCTAAATTCTACTTTCCAAATTCGGAATTTCCCCAGCTTTAAAATTACCGAAAACTTATAATAATAATAATAAATAATACATATAGTTATTATTATTTTCCTGTTTTCATTAAAAGTCTGCCTGCTAATTATCAGTCAAATTTCAATATGAATCTTCTTAGTCGGTTTTTTCAAATATTCCTGGCAGATTGCTTAAATCATCAAATATGCAAAGGATAAATATTTCCTTAATTCGTAATAAAAAGTCATTAATGAATTCGCAGAGTTCTTGGAAGTCACGACAATGATATATGCTAGCTACAGGGCATCTTTTTCAGCAATCAGGGACATTATAATTATACGATGTCACCGCTGAAGAACAGGAGAAAAGTTTTTGCTAGAAAAAAATTAAATGACCACATTTCATATATAAATTGTTTACGTCATTGTTTTCCTTAATGATTACAAATAATAAATGAATTCTCGTGGTCACCTGGCTACACAAAAAAATTTAATAAGTTAACGGTTGCCGTATAACGCCCATGCAAAGTGTGATTTAAATTTCAAAGTTTATGAAATTTTGTGTCATTTAAATTGAACCACTAGCAAGAGCACTTTGCAATTATTATTGTATGAAAAGTCGAGTGAGAAAGCTTCAGAAAATGTCATTGTTGAAATATTTTAAAGGAAAATACTCGATCAACCTTCCCGGTAAGCCCTGAACCCTCAAATTATAACTAGGAATTTCTTTATGCATCTAAGGGTTGTATATAATTATATATCTTTTAGCGATAGTGTAGAAATACTCAAAGTTTCAGTTTCTTTGCTTATAGAAAATTTACGTGAACAAGAACCACCCTGCATGTGCATGGGGCATCTCTTTTCCCCCTTCCATTCATTTGTTTCAAACTGAAAAATATTAAACGAAAAATTTCATTGAACTGATTCGGTATAGGACAAAAAATTATATAGATAGAACAAGCGCAATGTCGCGAGATGGCGAGGCAATTGTGATGCAGCTCGACTTTAATTCTTGTATTTTTTGAATATTTGTTTCGAGAATACAAAGCAAAGCTTTCGCTCCGTTAAACGGTCTCTCTTTCATATTTCTTTAATATTTCTTCGACCTGCGCGATGATAATAAAGAAATTTTAAAATGATATCAAAATGCGATGTTTGTTTCGGATTTTATTTCCTATGAAACGTGTCGTCACGCAAGTATAGCGACGTTTCGTGCGTTAAGATAAGAAAAGATTTCACACGATTCCACAAAAATTAAGAGAAGACGCACAGCAAGTTCTAGTTAAATATTAATGTCTGGGAAATAATACGTAAGAAACATGGTAACAAAATTGAGGCATATACTGTAAGATCGGGTTTTGTAATGGGGAGGAGGGTTGAACAAAATGAGAAGTTGAGTGGAAATACGCATCATTTACCCATGGTATGCTTTTTAACCGTTTCAGAAAATACAAAAATGTCGACTGAATCATACAGCGCTCCTGTCCAACAGCCTAGAAGAAGTCCACGTCTGCATCCTGCAAATATTAGTAATATTAGTAATTTAAGTATTTGTGTTTATATACCGTTAATAAACATTCGCCTTCAAAACAAAATCATTCTGGGGCCGGTTGTATCAAGCCCGTTTAGCTTAAACGGTGGATAAGTCAAAATTAAATAACACTCTTACATCTCTCTTGAATGAGCCAGCTTGAATATTATGTACTGAATATGTAGTTGTAAACAGTATCTTTGTATTAAGGTTAAAACATTTAGTTCGCTTGTTGAATAAAACGATAGACTTGCTTCCTATTTTGAACTTATCCACCGTTTAAGCTAAACGGGCTTGATACAACCGGCCCCAGGCAAATGTATCTAGCTAGCTCCCGTCCCAATAAATTCTCAGTATCGACGTTGATAGCCCATTTGGGCTGCATACAGGGACATTTTATAGGCCGATCCTTACGTTCTCATTCTCATAGGTTGTGGCTTAAAACGTGCCGGATCTGAGTTAGAGTTTGACTGGTATGGTAACAAAATTATTTGTTAATATATAGTACTATATACATTGAAGAAGAAAAATAGACATATAGATAAATATACACAGAATCGTGACAACCCATGCAGAGGTCTTTCCAATACACCAACATATCGAATATAACACATATCTAATAGCAACTGTATATAGCTATCAAAAACTAGCCCAGAATTACTGAACTTTAGAGGATTCATGATCAGAACAGAGGGAAATATTACCTGATCGGCGACGCTATCAACGCACGACTTTTGAGATGTATAACCTAGTACACTACATATGATACAAAATGGTACACTAAAATTTCAGTCATCAAAATGAAAAAAAAGAAACGACAAATGTAGAACAAGGGTTTTCTCCAGGACACAGGAAAACAATCATATATCTAGTGAATGGCTTGTATATAACCAATGTGCTGAACCCCAATTACTTTTTTCAATTTCAGGCAATCCAAAAAGAGATTTGCTGTAAACAGAAATTCTGTGGTTTATTTACATGATGAGAGCCAGCATGATCCATATGATATCAAACATATCAACAAGGACAAAAGAAGTAAGCGAAGCGGTAAGCTGCATAGCTATGTTTATGTTAGCTATTATTAGCTCAGCAATTAATCTTTCTACAGAATACATAATTTTTCTCACGTGGTTGAATGATCCCTACAAATATTCACACTTAATAACAATACCCAACACATGCACTTTCATGAAAATACACTAGACTTGGGTGTCAAAACGTTGGGTCGCGATAATGTATGAATCATATGCCCGGTTTGCCGTGAGTTAACAATTAACACACTGTTTTTACTAACTCGCTTCCAAATAAAACTTAATCACGCCGTACGCTAATATTTATACTGAACTCATATGTATAAATTCAATAGTTCCAAAGAATGAGTGGTTTGAAACAAACATATTTGACGAAAAATCCAACATGAAGAAGGAATACAAGGAATATTTGTTAAGGTAAACGATGAAGGTGACATCCTATCATCAAGAAATGCAGTTGTGCACATGATCATCTTAAAATACGTATACGTTCGATTTACGGAAAGAATTACTAATTTTTTAGTTTTTAGTCTAAGAGCTCTTTACAATTAGCTATAAACACATTATTTTTGTCAAAGATTGAACTTAATTCTTTTCTCTTTCATACGGTTCTTAGATTACCAGGAGTGGAAAAAATCCATGTTGGTTTTGATGGCAAAAAGGATCGAACATGGAAAATATACATCACCCACTCAGAAAACTCACAACCGTCCATGGATCAACTGCGCATGATATTTGGCAACAATATCTCCTGTTTTGTCGAATTCATCGAAGAAAAAGTTGATAAAAACAGTAGATCTGCTTTTCTTCGAGGACCAAGAACAGGGGATCCACATCATGTTACAAATGAGGAAAATAGAGGCCGTGGAAAAATAAGTATTCTTGGTTTTGGAGATAAACGCAGACAGAAACACTACGCAATCACCAGCTATCACGTTTGTTACCAAGGAGAATTATCAGGAGACCTTTTCGAACAACACCAAAAACTGAAGACAGACTGGAAAAATAACGCCAGGGGATGTTCTGGATACAAATATCAGTACCAAGGAGATAAACCTCGAAGGCTTGGTGAATTTTATTGTGGTTTATACAACGACAAGAACGATATTGCCCTCATCGAACTTGATACATATTTGGACTGCAACGATGCGGTCAAATTCCTGAAGGACCAACGTTTTGATGACGTTTTGGCGACTGAAAAGGAAGTAACCGAAAAATTTAAGAACATGAAGGGAACAGTTCCTGTTGGCATATTTGGGTCTGAAACTGGAGATAGAAAAGGAAACTTGGTTGAAAAAGATGCGGGATTCGAAAACGGAATGAATGACGGCTTTTATGGCATAAAAGACGTGTCTGACGATAACATCTTTGCGGAAGAAACGGACTCAGGGTCTTTGGTGTATATGATATGTAAGGATGGCAAGAAGATACCATTTGCCTACCTAAGTAACATTAAGAACGGCGTCTATTACTGCCCTAATTTGAAATCCAGTTTGGAGGCACTGAGAAGTCCTGTAAAACCTTGCTTGGGTAGATGTGGAAATCACTTTAATAAATAATTATATGTGCAAAGTGATGTTATGTCTGGCAGTAAATGCTTAGCAGGAAACGGTAATCCACATCTTTAAATTATTTCATCTTGTACATTTCTGTAGTAGTATAACAGTAACGATAATCTGTAATAGCATAAGTGATAAGTATATCAACAACGATAATTTGTAATTGTCAAGCGAAAAGTTTTAATAGCATAAATATACGATTCATAAATTGTAATTGTAAACGTATATATCAGCCATTGTTAAGGCAAATACTCTCTATATTTATAAGTAGTTATCAGCAAACGATTTTAGTATAAGCTATTATTGCAAGTATATATATATATATATATATATATATATATATATATATATATATATATATATATATATATATATATATATATATATATATATATATTTATATAATTAAAAGTATATATCACTCGGAAAACAATAAGGTATAATCAATGTAACTCTACATGAGCAAACGAATAATAAATTGTGTAATCTCCACGCGTGAGTAATTTCTTGACATTATAAAAAGGGTTGGGGATAAACTAAGTAAGAACTGGATGCTATCTCCTTTCTAACATGCCCAAACGTTTTGAAGCCAAATTTTTGCCTCCAAAGTCATGTTTTACTTCTACCACCCATGCATTCACTTACTACACGAGATTTGCAAAGGCCTAAAGTGAAGATTTAAAATAAAATTGACGGAGGTTTTTATGGTAAAAATGCGGTAGCAAATGCACTATATATAACGTTCACTCGAAGATATTTGTAGTCCATTTTTAAAAACAGAGTTTTTCAGTTGTCTGAAAAGACTGGACAATTCATTGCCCCACAACAAGACCGGCTCCTCGTGAAAAGGTTTATTAACTTCTTATTAACCGAGCGCGAGAGGTCTTTACCGAGAAATATCGATATATCGTCTTTACCAATATTTCTTGGTAAAGACCGAGCAAGCGAGGTTAATAAAAAGTTTTTTATTTGGCATAAGGCATGTATTTACACTTGAAAGAAACAAGAAATACATGAATTCATATTAGTAGCCTGGTACGCTTTTGATAAAAACAAAAACAAAATATTGGATTATTTAGTTTACCTAAACTGTCTGAAGACGTCTTATTAATTTCAAAATCAATTTAATTTTCTCTTGAGCATTTATTTGTGCCTTTTTCATTCAGAATTTCTCCGTTTTTCATCTCGTAATGGATCGCCAGTAACGCCAGTCCATTACCGGAATTCTTCTCAGCCAATCACTGAGCTCCATTTCACCGGAAATGACGCTGGCCATATAATAATAATAAATAATCGCTTTTCCTGGTATAATGATAATAAATAATCGCTTTTCCTGACATATCTTAGCCACAGTTTGCCGGTAGTTATATCACAGCGATGCATAATTTATATATACATGTTAATTGTCAAAACAGCTAGTTTGCATTCGAGATCTAGATGAAGTGGCTATTCCCTAAATCGCTAATTTACACCTGTATTCAAAAAGCTTACTCACACTCATACTCATCGAGTGTGACATATAAATTTTGTTAATGCTGATCAATGAGAAAGTTTTTTCTGAATAGATGGAAAGATATAAGGTAAATCACTGAAAATCAAGCCCCTATTCGACTGGAAATACCGCCATTGAAACTTTATGAGAAGTTTAAGATCTCCCACTCAATGAGTTTGAGTGTGAGTGAGCTTAGAACACAGACGTTAGTGTGACAAAGGGAATCAGTGTGCTTTGTGGACCGGAGATGCCTCAAGCGAAGCCAGGGGCAACAATGACATTCATTTTCGCGTCGCGTGCTGTTTCTCAGTCAAACAAGCCGGTGGCTCGCCGTTGTTTAAATTATTGGTTTGAATACATATTAAGCATGCTTTGTGTCCGTATATTTCCTATAGAAGGATTTCAGAGATGACAAAAATCTCCGAAATCTTTTTTTTGCACTTTTAATCATTTACGGCTGTATTCTAAAAGCTCACTCACACTTGAGTGCGATTCCAGTGAGATGCACTCAACTGAACTGAAGTGTGAGTGGGAGTCAGTTGAGTATGCGTGTGAATGGCCACTCAACGAGGCGGCACTCACCCTTGAAAATATTAGGCAGAGCTGTATTCAAAGAGCTCGTGTGACTTGCTGGAGTTAAGGTTTTATGTTGATTAGTAATTAATGATGGGAGGTATATAAACTATTTAACTATGTAAATTCTACTAAAAAATTGAGCGACGTTGGTGCATCTCAGGAAACGGTTAAATGGTTTGAAAGTTACCTAACTGGACGTACTCAGAAGGTCCGCATCGGGTCATCTTTATCTGCTGCCCTTCCTATTACCCACGGTGTGCGACAGGGGGCCATTTTGTCACCATTGCTCTTTTGTATATATACAAACGACCTTCCAACAGTGACACAAACAAGTGAGCTGAACTCTTTTGTTGACGACTCCAAAATATCGCTGTCATTTCCCATCGAAGAAGTGCTACATGCTAAACATAAGCTCGAGTTGGACCTTCGTTTTGTGGCTGATATGCTGAATGGTGTTGCAAAAACGCGCTTTAATTAATCCCGGAAAAACCACGTTTCTCCTTGTTGGAACACGACAGTTGTTGAACTCATTGCCAAAAAATATGTCTTTGGATTTTTTAAATAAAACAATTGAACCTGTCACCTTCGTAAATGATTTTGGAATGACCCTAGAATGTAATTTGACTTATAATGAGCACATTAGTCATCTCACATCAGCTTGTAACTTTGCCAAATAAACCGTGTCAAACACTGCTTCGACCGAAAAACGTTGATCTACATTATTTGCGCTGTAATCATGGGCAAATTATATTATTGTTCCACAGTCTGGTCAAATACGACTATACGAGCTCATCAAACATAAAGAAATTACAAGCGGTCCAGAATTTTGCGTGCAGAATCATAACTAACGGAAATAAATTTGATCATATCACACCAATTCTACGGGATATTGGTTGGCTTCCTGTCAAAGAGCACCTACTGTACAGAGATATGGTAATGATGTATAAATGCATGAACGGCTTAGCTCCTCCATATCTGGCTGACCAATTTCATAAACGCAGGGAATTCAACGATCGTGTTACAAGAAACAACAATTCTCTACACATCCCTCTATATTCAACCACAACAGGACAGAGAAGCTCTAGACATAGAGCTGTTAATACTTTTGATATATTCAAAATCCGCAACCTTGGTATACGCATGTTAGAATACAAACTGTATAGGTGCGCATTCATAGGCTGATGGAAAAAATGCCAAAACGTCGTCATGAAAACATTCTCCGGTTTTAGATCTGCCATGGCAACCGCGAACTCGAAGAAACAACTTGGAACATACGTGGAATTGATCTACGAGTTTACAGTCTTTGGTGGACGAAAGAAGGCATTTGTAGAAATATTTCGCAGTAGCTATGGCAAAAAAGGTAGGGAAGTAAAACATTAACACATAAATAGTGAATTTTAAAGATCTTATATATCTGCTTCGCGATAATGATTAAAAAAACGGTAAGGAAGCATGGACAAGGTAGGGGCTTGAAGATTTACACATGACGCACTTGAAATTATGCGGCAGAATAATAGACGGCGGGGTTTTTTGAGACAATTCATATATTAATTTATTCGGTTCATATTTGTTAACTTCATAAGTATTCCAAGCCAGAAGTCTGATAAACACATCGTAATCGAGTATCCGGATTTGCGTCGTTGCGAAAAACACGGCAAATATTCAGTTCATTATATAAAATACTACGGTTATTAACGTCACAAAAACTACTGTACGTGTCTCTCAGTGTAACTTTTTTACTAATCATCTACAATCGCTGTGTTTTTGCAATGAAACAAATGGAAATCGAACGGCGTACTAGTTTGCACTATATTTTTAAAGCCTTGATGTGTTTAAACCTATAAATCTTTCAATGGAAAGTAGGTTGTGACGGATCTATCAATAAATTTTCCGAAATATGCATGAAGCCTAATTTACAAACATCTGAATGCTGTTTTCTCCGATTTACTTTATCGTCAAATCCTTTAAACTTTTCTCTTTCAAAAAATTCATATAGCAAATAATTCGTATTGTATATATGTTATATTTTTAGATATATTTCATAGCGGAGCCCATGCAGAAGGACAAATTAAACACAGCGATAATTCTTAAGCCCTATTTAATTAATACGCGATAAATTGTATGCAATTATCATTCTGACGAATGCAAAGGAGGGCCTATGCCACAATCTTCATTCAATTTTGTTCAGGTTGGAATTTAAAGTGTCACGTTTGTACGTGTGTTCATACGTTCACATACGCCAGAGTACGATTCGTATACGACAAATCTCATAGTGTAAATGGGCCTTTAGATATTATAGAAGACTAAAATGTAGAAAATCAAATATCGGTAAAAACAGATTGTGGACCTTGCTCAAACACCTAAAATAGAGCTAATCCCGTATATATAAACTGCACTTGCCCAGTCGCTCTTAGAGATGCCTTTCTTTCTTTAAGTTACTAAAAATGTATGTATCGTCCTTTATATTTACATCTATTCTATTTACTTTGTTAATTCACTATGGTTACCACAACTTGCAAAACATTGCGAGTTTTCCAATTTCGGTAGTCAAATTATTTTATATAATAAATTTGTATAAAAAACGTCTCGTCACTGCGTTAAAACTACTTTTGTTTGGCAGTTTATTTTGCTGATATGTGTCAACGCAAAATGGATTAGGAATTTTGAGTGTTTACGTTCTTATCATGCAGTATAATACTATACACTTAAGACCCCTTAAGAGACTGACTTGAGTCCGGTACGCCCGTATGTGTGTGTATGTATATGTACGAAGATATTGTACACCAAAGTTTACATTCCTAGTCCTAACATCTTGAATAATTAGTAGAAAATATTCGGGTCGAATTGCTTCGCGAATAACTGTTTTTAACAATTGTTTAAACATTACCAAGGAATTCGTCAAAACTTGTAGGATTAATCTAGCTGCGTAGTTCAAAAAATTGATCATAGAAAAATTTGACAAATTATGCTTGCATGCCTATGGATCAACCTACTTATTGGCAACTATGCCATAAACGTTTATTCATATACTGGGTCAGTTTGTAATAAAAAGCGAACAATAAGTAAGTTGATTATGTTTCTAGTCAAGGAAAACGAAATGGCAGGTTGTCAGACTATGTGGTTAAATATACCTGTAGAAGTAAGAAAACCTTCTGAATATAATAGCGCTGCATACGTACATAACAACATTGCATGTCATTGTTTGGGATCGTATCATTAGTCAGTTCATCGTCTCTAAGATATCATTTTCTTATTTTGCAAGAATTAATCTTCACAGTTTTGAGCCCTGGCCAATGCATTCACGCATGCGAGATGCAAATGGGGTGCAAAATTGCAAGTCTCGCTTGCACCAGTTTCAAATTTTGAAACAAGTCAACGAGCGCAAATGAAACTCAATTTGAATCAAGTCGCATTTTCCTTTGAACTAAGGGAACTTAACTCCGTTAGAAATATTTTTTGCCCAGCTATTACAACTATAGTTTAAAACCTGCTTATAGTTAATAGAATAAATGTGTTTTTTTACTTTTTCCGTTTTCAGATCGACTTTAAAATGGTTCTTCCTGAAATCAAAAACAAAAATAAAACGCATGCCGCTAATAATCGGAGTGGACATCCGAAACAATCAATTCGATTGCCTGAAATAAAGTCAATCCCCCAGTCATTCAAACAGCCTGAGCTTACTGAAGGCCAGGTGCTGGACATGACTACCATTAATCCCTCGCGAAAAGCCGTTGAGTATAGGATGTTGCTGTATAATGATCAATCACATGATAATAGCGCGGCTTATCGTATAGGTTTAAAAACGAACAAACTATTAAAATTTGTATCAACTTTTCGAAATAAAGATGGCGGGATATTGTTTTATGGTGTGACAAATAGAACTGTTCGTGGCGAAATAATGTCTAACAATGATCATGAAAAAGTAAGACATAAGATTGAGACAGTAATTAAGAAAAGAAATAAGGATGCTTTGCTACATTATGATGGTCGTCACAAGTTTTGGAAAGTTGAATTCTTACCTGTCAAGAATAAAGCTGCTGATCCGGATATGTATGTCATGAAAATTACTGTAGAACCTCACCGAATTCTTCCACAATTAAATTATGCCAATGAAAACAGACAGCGGAGGCAAATTCCAAAAGTTTCAGACACAGGTAAATGTACATGCAGTTCTAAAACAAACGGATGGGGTTTTTGCCACTTTTATCAAATTCTTCCTAAACTAGATGATGACCCGAGAAAACATACTAATTACCCTTCAAAGTTTTGTTTTTGGTTTAAATTGCATAATCATCAGGGAAATATAAGAGAACCATACTAACGACCAGTGTATAGTTGCGTGAACAACACAAGATAAAAATATATAATTGTTTTAGGTTTATGCAGAAGAAGGACGTTCTTTGCATGCCTACTTTCGTCAAAAAATCTATACTCCAAACTATAGCGTTTATACTGTTTTCTATTACATTTACTTATTTCTATACAGATCATCCTCAAATTGTTTGTAAATAATCTATAATAAAGAATTCCCAATGTAACATCAATTCACATCCTGTATTCATAGGCAGAGACTTGCAGCAGAGAAGATCACAGAGAAAGTCATTTGAGAGGAAAATACTCAAAAAAAACACAACCATAAAAAATGAGTACAAGAAGAAACTGGAAAGGTAACTAAGGATACTCTTTGAGTATTTCAGCGAGCAGGAATGCCAAACATATATATATGATGTAGCATAATGACGATCAAATACGAATGGGAATTGCTAGTAAATGTACGTGCTTCCGCAGCATATGTTTTTTATGCGACTTTGTGAGCAAAGTATTTAGGTCTTAATAAAGATATTTCTAGCTAATGATAAACGGCGCGCAAGAAATGAAATGCCTGGAATCTTATTATATATCTCTATTTTATAATCTCTCGTATTCAATAACATTTAATCGACCACAAAATGAAAAAAACATAGTTGCAGCACTATGAAATATTGCAAATGTTCGAAAATTTGAAATGCTAGTAATGTCCACTATCTCGTATTTACACGATTTCTTCTCCTCTAGGTTACCTTGGGTAGAAAGTTTTAAGATAGTTGATGGAGATGATAAGGGCAATGAACGTCATCTAGACATTGTCTGCAAATTTGGCCAAGTACCTCCTATTTCTGACATTGAGAAGAAATTTTTCGGTGATAAAAATTTTCCATTTATTACCTGCAAGGAAAGTAAGTTCTTTTATTTAAAATTTTCTGGTAAATTTTGTAAAACAGCCATTGCAAAATATGTTTGCTTCTTAAATTGCAAATTTCTTTAACTTTATGAATTTTACAGTCTCGAAGAATGAGTGGTTTGAAACAAATATTCTTGATAAAAATTTCAAATTGAAACAGAAATACAAGCGAGGATTGTCGAGGTAACCGACGAAAACTAAAACCAAGCATAAAAAAGTGCTAATTATGCAGAGTGTCACACAAAAGCTTTTGACATGCAGCTTAAGTGGAGAGCATATGTGAAATAAAAACAGTACAGTGCTAAAGTTCAAAACAAGCTCTTAGGCCGCTCCTCAAACGACCTCTTACGTCGATTCGATATACATATGCATGGTATCGGATTTGTCTTGATTACGCGATAACACATTGATTCAAAATATAAAGAAAATGGCGGACAACGAAGGGCGAGCAAAAAGTCCAAAAGAAATATTCTCGTATATAGACAGTCAAATAGAATTTCTTTTGGAATCAGTAACCTTTGCAATCGTTTCCTTTTAAATTTCACCGTTTTGTGGAAGTATATGAAAGGACACGTATAATTTAGGCAGTTTGATTAACCTAAACATTCAAGCACGCTACTGCAGTCAGATAAAGCCTGCATGGCTCTTACAATGGGCTTATATCGCGATAAAGGCGGTAACGATGAATTGTTATCGAGATAATCGAGAACGGAAACGTCAATTTATCGTTGTTGCCGATTATCGCGATAAAGTTTGGTTCTCACTATGGGTTTTTGGCGACAAAGGCGGTAATAATAAAAGTTTCGTTGCGTGACGAACGCGAGTTGTGCGATTATATCGAAATGACGTCATACTAGCGATTAAAGCGAATGACGCGTAAAATAATATATTTTTTGATATTTTATTGCGATAACCGCAATTATAATTGTTTAACGTGCTTTTTGAGGTTTAGTACGATAATTAAACACGTTCCCATTGGCGGTTGTCCATCCTGAATTCTGAAAATTCTTGCATATATATAGCTTAATATACTACAATTTTCTTTTTATCATTCGCAGTCTGTGTGTTTCTTTTACTCCTAACAGGCTTGAATGGGTGGAAAGTCACAAAATCGTTGATGCACGCGAGAAAGGCCTGAAACGTTTAGAAATTGTCTGCAGCCTTGGCAAAATACCTTGTACCGAAGACATCGTGGAATTGTTTGGGACAGAAATGCCTCTGTTCGTTACCTATCTGGAGTGTTAGTTTCTTTTCTCTATTAATTTTTAAGTTGCCCTTATTAGCCCTATCGTTAATACATGTCGTACGATTATAATATAATCATAAAATATTTTTAAATTATACACCAACCGTTTTGAATTTTATAGTCCCGAAAACAGATTGGTTTGAAAAAAATATTTTTGATGAAAATTTCAAAATGAAAGAGGAATACGCAAGTGGATTGTTAAGGTACCCGATGAAGACTAAAAAGAAGTAACAGGAAACAACCTTTAGAATCATAATAATGGAATTCACGACACTTTAAATCACAAAACTGTATTGCAAAATCCTGGACTGTCTGAACATGCAATGAACCTCCTTATTACCATTTGTGTTCAACTGGTCAGTGTACCGAATTTTTCGCGTTTGTTCACGTTTCAAATGTAACGTTTCTAAAATGAAATGTGCAGGTTTGAATTGATAAACGGTTTTGTTATATAGGTGCTGTGTATTTTAAATGTGATTGGTTCATTCGTAGTCACATGACTTTAAATAAATGCAATGTTTCCCGCCAGGGAAACAAGTGAAAAATTGTTGCCCGCTTCTTGTCATAACAAAGTGAAGTGGGTTTCTTTTTTAAATGTTATTGTTCCTCGACTTCGTCTCGGGAAACATTCAGACTCTTGGAAAAACAAAACTCACTATTTCCCTCGGGAGCATACATTAAGTGTATAATGTTGCCCGTTTACAGCAATGTTCAACGTTTGTGGGAAAATTCCACATGTTTTGTGCACATGCATGATTAACATGTTTTACCTCATATTTTATTGTTTACTGAGAATGTTATCCAAAAGAATTGCAAATTGGGGATACTCGGTGAGTATTTTTTGGAATTTTCCCACAAACGTGAATTATTTCTTTGTAAACAATATAACCCTTTACCAATTCAAACCTGCACGTTTCATTCGAGAAACATAACGTTTGAAACGTGAACAAACGTGAAAATTTCTGGACACTGACGAATTGAACGCATGCATATGGTAATAATAATTATTTGCAGAAAGAGTTTTAAAGCCATAAGAGATTTTTAATAGTCAGCAAGAGCGTCTAAAATTATTTTTCGTTGATTTAAAGGTCAACCTAAGGTCAATAGACCTTAAGTTGAAGGACAATATTAATGCATTTTGGAATAATAAGACTAAGAATGTTTCAAATTTAGACGAATCCATTTTGAGAATTGTTGATCTCATTTTCCTTTCTTTATCCTTTCACATGTTTCTAGCTTATCTTGGGTGAAGAATTTCTATATTGGTTTTGACGGTAAAAAAGATAGAACGTGGAAAATATACATCACACACGATAAATGCGAAAAGCCGTTAATGGAGGAGCTTCAGGGAATATTTGGGGATAAGATTCTCTATTTTGTTGAATTTAACCATGTACGAGTCGCTTCATCCAAGAATGGTAGTAGCTCCAACTTCTTCCGAGGACCAAGATCAGGAGATCAACTTAACGTTACGCAGAGAAGTGATGGGGGGGCGATCAGTATTATCAGTGTTGGCGATATTCGCACACGAGAGCACTACGCAGTCACCTGCTATCATGTGTGCTATATGAAAAAATTAGAGGGCAGCATAGGCCAACAGCACCAAACATTGAAGAAAGACTGCAGAAATGATGCAAGGGGATGTTCCAATGCCACCTACGAATATACAGACGGAGACAGACGTAAAAAACTTGGTACGTTTTATTGTGGTTTGTACAATGAAGAGCACGACATTGCATTGGTTAAACTTGAAAATTGGAATTGCAAAGATGCTGTTAAATACCTTGATGAAAAGAACGTTGAGAAAGCATTGGCAAGTAGAGAGGAAGTATTCAGAATGTTTAAAGAGATGGGCGGATCAGTCTTGGTTGAAAAAATTGGCTCAGACCATTCGGAGGGAGAACTTTTCGCAATAGATGCAAGGCCATGGAAAAACGGAATGAACCGCGGGTCTTATGGAATAAGAAATGTTTCCAGCAATAAAGACTTTTTGGTGAGAGGTGATTCGGGCTCTTTGTTGTGTATGAAATGTAAAGATGGTAGAAAAGTGCCCTTCGCTTACGTGAGTAACAAGGACGGAGGTGCTTATTACTGTCCTAATTTGAAAGAAAGTCTAGAAGCACTGAATCCGGAAATAAAACCTTGTTTGGGCAAATGCGGCTTGAAATAGCTAACATATCTATACCAAAAACATTTTATAATATGTAAACTAAAACAAAGTAGTAAAATCCAATTGCAATTAACACATGCATGTGTTAGAGACATATTTCAAGAAAAGATCGCAGGAAACCTTTTAAAGGAACGCTAATTGTGCACGTTTTTATTTATTATTTCGCACTTTCTTTATTTTAATGCTTCGTATGGTCTGAAATAATTTAATGCACTATTGATAAAAAAATACATTTAAATTGCTTTCTGATTAATCAGAAAAGAATGCATGACAGGCTATAATTGTTTAAGTAATTCAACGTTTATATAGAAGTATATATACCAATAAACGGTTTAACACATTGTAAATGCACGTAATATGCATCAAATTTTAACCACTGAGCAAATTGGCAAATATACAAAACTTAATAATTTTAAGCCATTATACATAAATGAAGCCGAGTATGTAAGTGAAGTACAAGCTTTTCGGCAGATTGTCATTATAATTATGAAAATTACACGAAAAAATGTGACTCGGCGTAATTCTTCGTGAAGGGGTACATGGTAGATTTCTTTAGAATGCGGTTATATGCGTAAAAATTTTAATTAGACTTTTGTGAATTATTTGTGCACGCGTACAAACGATGGGTTAAACATCGTAGCTAGATCGCTTAATTTTTGTGGAGTTATATATCTATACATCCTTTTTTACATAGCGTAGTAACGAGTTTTAGCTACGGCCCTGCGGTTCACTAAATAGTCATCGCCATGATCTGAACGCTCTGTTTAATTCTCGTACTATAAAATTTTTATTGTTCTATATCTTAACCTTAGGCCCATTTGATTTCATTTTGACAACATAGCATCAGCACTCCACTTGCACGGCGATTTAAACTATAGTGGGAGAGCAATAATTGTTTCTCTGTCAAATTTACATTTCAATACCACATAAACAGAGAATATACACGACCGATGCATTAATTTGAACCAATCAATTTTTGGTCGCTGCTGTGTACTGTTACTATGATGAAAAGACCTTATCCACACTGTATGATGCACTGTTTTTTGTCATATAAAACATCTATCTGGGAAAAATTCTTTTGCATGTAATTTCCATTCTAAGACGAATGTTCGTGTGCCAAGTTTGAAAATTAGAGAATTCTCGATTCCATCCGACGTGGACAACCGAAAATCTTGTCAAACTTCCCAAATTATGTATAAAGAATGAACGTATGTTTGTATATGAGTCTTTAATCGATATATTCTTTCACGCGCATGAGTAATAGGGCGATAATCAAATTTTTAATGAAGCTCAAAATCTTGTCATAGTGAGTGAGATGCCTCTGATTTCCAAAATTTTTGTTTTTAGTGTCTTATTTTATGACAATAGGGACGTATCGCCTTTAGGAAATAGTTCTTCGATTTGGAAATAATTTTTCTTTTAATCTTTAAATTAGTAAACAATTTTTCGGCGGTTTCTCAGTAACCTGTGAATATTTGAAAACAAATTAAAAATTAAAAATGTTTTTTAACAAAATATATGAGAAAAGGAAAATGAAGCACGAAAACCAGCTCAGTTAGCATACGCGAAATCAATATAATAGAAATCATAAAAAATGTTCCGGCTTTTTCTTTTCTTTGCAGGCGGTTTGTGTATGTTGGTTGGTGTATGTTGCTAATTTCTCTCAAATCGTGTAAATGCCTACTATGGCCGGTCTATACAATAACAACGCTTTGTTTTCGGTAGAAAAGAGAGCGTAGGTAGAAAAGCTAAGGAGGTTTGGGGTTGCACTACAGCAGGTCCATGCATTAGTGTTTCCCACAGCACATGATTTGTATGCATGACACCGTGAAGAAAACAAAAACAACTAAGCCGGCGGTCATCTTTAGACCCTTTGTTTTATTACCATGGAAACGTGTCGTTCTTTACATAAACGCAACACTGATTCATATACCGAATTAAGGTATATCAGTGTATATCGCTTGTGGAAATCTCGTGCAGATTTAAACAAAATCAACTTACAAATCAATAGGTAAGCCACCATAAAAATTACTCTTTATGTTGGAACGTAACTCTTCACACAACCAATTTTTAGTTAGGACATGCAGAATTGTAGTTTATTGTAGATTTTTGTTTTTAGTGTTTTATTTTATGAGAATGGGGACGTATCGCCTTTAGGAAATAATTCTTCGATTAGAAAAAAAAATTTTCTTTTAATCTTTAAATTAGTAAACAATTTTTCGGCGGTTTCTAAGTAACTTGTGAATATTTGAAAAACAACTTACAAATTAAAAATGTTTTTTAACAAAATATATGAGAAAAGAAAAATGAAACACGAAAACCAGCTCAGTATGCTTAGCATATGCGAAATCAATATAGTAGAAGTCATACAAAATGTTTCAGCTTTTTGTTTTTTTTGGCGGTTTGTGTATGTTGGTTGGTGTATATTGCTAATTTCTCTCAAATCGTGTTAATGCCTACTATGGCCGGTCTATACAATAACAACGCTTTGCTTTCGGTAGAAAAGAGAGCGTAGGTAGAAAAGCGAGGGAGGTTTGGGGTTGCACTACAGCAGGTCCATGCATTAGTGTTTCCCACAGCACATGATTCGCATGCATGACACCGTGAAGAAAACAAAAACAACTAAGCCGCCGGTCATCTTTATAGACCCTTTGTTTTATTACCATAGAAACGTGTCGTTCTTTATACAAACGCAATACTGATTCATATACCTTTATGCAGTAGTCTGCAACCGAAGATATATCAGTGTATCTTTTGGAAATCTCCTGCAGATTTAAACAAAATCGACTTACAAATCTATAGGTAAGCCACCATAAAAATTATTCTTTGTTGGAACTTAATTCTTCACAGTTCTTTAACTCAGATCAACCAATTTTTAGTTAGGACATGCAGAATTGTTATTTAATATAGTTTTCCAGTTGGCATTTGACGAAATAGGAAACGAAATAAATTGCTTCATTGACATTGTCATAAAGTAGAAGTAGCATAAAAATTTGTGCGACATTAAAGATTTTTCTAAGGTTTTATACACTGATAATATGCATGGTCAACTGTAGACACCATGTTATATGCATCCTTTATTAAGAATGATAATACTACGCCAGAATTCTAAGCAGCTGCATGCAATCTTTACAGAAGGTGATTTAGCTTTGTGCTAAAGTTCGTTATCATTCCAACACTACCTCATATCGGTTATATGTTGCAAAGTATACATGTATTTAATCAGGCAAACTATAGTATAGTACTAGTTGTGAAGAAAATCAACAACCTGCCCATTAAACTAGTGCGACTTAATGAAATAACTTTCATGAATTTCAGTACATATATATTCTGATCATAATATATACCTAATTTATCTAAGCATTAACCAAGCATATATTCATTCAAAGTAGACTATTTCAAAACTCATTTTCGAGGGACACAAATAAAACTCCTTTAATTACAAGGATAATATTTATATTATGTAACCATTTATATAAAGAAACTACAAAAACACAATGTGTTAAGCTTGAATTGTTATGACCACATTACCTCACATTACATATCCAGCTTTCGAAGTGTACAATATCAGCATACACCCCATAATACCCCTTTCTAGCACAACCAATCCCCCAGCTCACAGCGCCCATCAGATGCCACCTTCTGTTCACACTGCACACCAATGGTCCCCCGCTGTCCTCTTGACAGGAGTCAATCTTCCCAGTGTGGTAGCCAGCACAGAGCATGCTCGATGTGAGCGAACCGTAAACATAACCACAGCTTTGTTTACTAACGAGAGGTACTTTAGCCTGTTGCAGGATCGCTGGGCCGTGACCATTCTCCTCCAAGGTGCCCCAGCCTGTCACCCAACATTCCGTGCCTGCAGGCAGGTTAGAGGTAGGCAGGCAAACGGGTAGGTCCCGACTATTGTACTTGACAGGAGTTTCTAACTTCAGCAACGCTATATCATTATTCTGACCGGTCTGGGTCGTACTTATATCATGAAGTTCACATACACACAGTGTGAATGTAAAACACTTTCACCTGTTCGTGAATTCGTTGGAGTGTAAACAGAGATAATTTCTACATTTCGTAATCAGCGAAGCCAATGACGATTTAAGCATATGAAATTTTAAACTCGGTGAAAAACTTTTCTAATATCAAGAGTTAGAGAGTTTCAGATCTTGAGATCTTTCACGATGTTTATCTATTGGACTGGCTGATGTACAGCCAACATGAATATGTTACCATAATTATAAGAGCTACGATAGGGAGATTTAAATTTCATCAAATGCACAAACCAAAAGCGCTGATTTCTGAACAACGAGACATAATCAACATAGGACGGTTTGAGCTTGGATATGGGAAGGAGGATGGGAGAGTGTGGGAGGTCACAACATTCAAGAGGGGAACTCAACGTATGCAGAAGACACAGGGGGTTGACTACGAAAAGGAATCGACGATACGCTTGTGTTTCCCATAACTCTATATTCCGAAGCCTGTGGGAGCATGCCTTATTTAATTAAATGCAATATAATTAAAAACATAAGTATTTGACAAAACTATCATCACTATTAATATGTAGAGTTTCGATCTTTGTAAATGTAAACCTTCTGAGTTACGAGAGTTTTCAATTTCGTTTCGATCTGGTTTCTATATTTTCTCGTAATTTTAACTAATGGTTTTTACCGATGCGAATTAGTCGGGATGTAAATTCTTTTTGTTCAAACCGGTCGTTATAAACACCTCAACGTGCGTCCAAATTTACATATGAATTGAATGAAACTATCTTTAGACTAATAGATTTACATATGTGTGACTTTGCATAATATAATAATTTCGAGAAGTTTTCTTAAACATTTCAGGCAGTCACTAAATCACATTTGAAAGTTGATCGAAAAAATGGATTGAATAAATTTGTATTTTCCGAAATTAAATTTACTTTGTTTATTTGGAATATTCAACTACAAATTCTTTATCAACCTTTATTACATGCATGCAGGGGGGGGGAGCAGGGGCGTTGAGACAGCTGTTTAGAATTAGAACGGTTTGAGAATATCTTTTGGTTCAAGGAGAATGGCACCGAGGAATCTATATTATTAAACTAATCACGAAAGGTAATCTTGCAGCTAGGCTTCTTTCAAGTTGCTTGAGTCGACCAGTATAATACAATACTTTTCGAAAAATTTAAAAACAATGACCACTTTAATTGCATGTCCATGCAAATTTCTATCGCGGGTAATAAATAATAAATTCGTTTTTTTTTAATAAGTTCGATTTCCTATCGTCTTCAAAAAGATAATTTTAACTATACTTATATCAGACTGTACACAGCTTAGTTTGCGTATGATATCTCTGCCTCAGTAAAAGTCATTATTGTTGAACACTTCTGATAAGGAATATTCGGGCCTAGCTTGGCTTTCCAGGTTAGTTTCGAATTTCAAATGATATAATGTACTACAGCTTTTTTAGGGCTATGCATATGTACCTGTAGCTAGCTACGCTGTTTTACGCTGCTTCATGTAGCTACGATAGTTTTCTCTAATTTTATCAAATATGCTTCTACGTTGAACGTACATGCTAAATTAGATAGCGTTTGCCTAAAAAGGCTTGAAAATATTAGTGAAAATATTAGTGTAATAAAAATTTTCAGGAGCCCGAAAATATTGCTTTTGGCTTGAAATGTATGTTAAGTTCTTAGGTCTCATCTAAACAAACGAGTTAAGTTCGGACGTCAGATACATGCAAAACGGTGCATGACGCTTAACTGCGGGTGATGTATATCGCAACGTTTAATATCAATTTATTGTTAGTCATTACTTTGATGCGCTCGTTTCGCAACTATTTCATATAGTTATACGTATATACTTTTTATGTGTAAACAATGTTCTACATTAAGACATATACGAGTTTATCTAGCTTTTATCTAGTTTTTCAACCAGTATTTATGCGCGCGGCTACTGTTGGCGGTGAAATGATGATTAAGCTATTCGTATATGTGTACACTGTATAATTATGTGTACTTCGTTTTCGATTGTTTTATGTAGGCATCCCGAATTTTGAATGTTTTGAATCTTGTATCATGTTCGCAGAGTTAAAAATGTCTCTATATTGTATATCAAATAATAGTCAACTCAATTCAGTTGTGCCAGAGCCAGATGGAGATCTAGCAGTAACTACGAGTACGACCATACAAGCAAATTATTCCTTGCTGTTAACCTTTGCTTCCGCCAACAAGCCAAAACTAGTAGTCGTCGAGCTTTTGAGTACGAACTTGTTGAATAATTTTGTATTAAAAAGCCCAACTACAATAAGTTTCGTCAGGTGGCGGGAAGAAACAAGTTTGGCGCGTTAACGACGGTTCTCCGACTCGTCAACTCTCGTAGTCGTATTCTTATGCACTGCGGAAACAGCCGCTCTAGTATATTTGCATCTGAAAATGCTCGACAACATTATTTATTCTGCACACCCCTAGACAGGGCTCTCGCAATTTAAATATGCATACTTTTTACTGTTGGGAAGAATGTTTTGTACAAACTCAGACAAAAAAATTGAAAAGAATCCCTCGAAAGAGTCGACCTTTTCTAAACCCTCTTACAGACGAGCAAGTTTTCTATGACAAGTTTTTCTTTGACAAGTTTTATTTTATTTTCTCGTGTGAAAGTGCCAACAAGTTTACTTTGACAATTTAGTTTGCAGCCAGCGATGTAATCGTACAGCGGACAACGTGAGCGCGCCATTGCAAAATACTATAGTCCGCTGGCCAACCGCATACAAGTGTCCACATTATGTGACAAGTTTTCTTCCTGACTTATACAGACCAGCAAAATTTGTACTTTGACAATTTTTCTATGACAAGTATACACTTGTTCAAAATGAAGTATACTTAACATCATAAAACCCTCACTTTGTTGAAGAATGTGAAAAAGTTTTGTTTTGTGTAAGACCATTAAATATGTGCTAAAATACTATGATTCACTCTTTTAAGAAACAGTAAAAATACCAGCGTTTCCAAATAGTTGTACAAAGTTATCTTTATTGAAATATATAAAGTTGTTATCTCTGTTATCTTTACCGAAATATATAAAGTTGTGTAAATTTGTCTTAATACGTTTTATTTTCTACAAAAATGCCTGTGAAAAATTTCTGTAGAGAGCCCATCCTGCCAACCGTGCTTATAGTTGTTGGCTCACCTCGCTATTTTTCTTAGCTATGCGCCTCCCCCTGCTTTCCCCTTTTCTACTGTATGAATGGTCCCTAGATATCAACGGGACGCAAAACGACTCACTAACATATTCAGTGATCTTAAAACGTCGTTTTATAACGTTGAAGTCTTCCATCATGTCATATTGCAGCCTAAGAGTTCATGAATACATACTATATTACGAGATATAACTAGAAAAATTTCTTCTTAAGTCAGGGATGAATGTTGATTCTAATGGACAACATGCAAAAGTACATTTGCGGTAACCTTAACAATTTATTCCCCTAGATTAGACGGATCGAATGTCGTAACTCATCGCTTTCTACAACTGTGAAGCTGATTACTTCAAGAATGGAAGACGAAACTCCGACTGAAACTGACAGGGGGACGATTTTCATGGATCCTAAAGTGAGTGCGGCGTATAACTGCGCTATAGGGACAATATAAAATGGCGGAATTCGGGAGAAATGAATAGGATTAAAAGAAATACATAAAGAAAAATTGCCACTCGACTGAATTAGATTTATCAAGAAAAATCTACTTAGGGTCCACTCTCTGCAACAATAAAATTTTAATTAGGTTTCCCGGACAGTTAGTGGTAAACTGTGGAGACTTAAAAATATCCTCCACCACATATATATAGTAACTATATCCTTCGGGCTACGCCTTGCGTTTTACAAGATTCTCTCGTGTTTTCCCATATTCAGCATTCCGCTATTACATGATAGCATCAAGCGACTTGCTATTTTCTTCTTGAATATATTGATATTAAGTTATCACAATCTTCCACACAGGAGACGGGCGGAACATCTTTGGTTGCAGAAGTACATTCGAAAACATCTTCCATTGACTCAAGTAAGAATCGATAAAATCGTGCACGTGCCAGTCTTCAATAGAAATATAAAGCTTCTGAACATAAACAATACAGTTAATACTCATTTAGATGCCTTGCGAACCTAAATGTTGTTCGATCACGACATTCAGAAGCACATCGTACTTTAAAAAGTATAGAAATTCAATAAAATGTAAATAAACCGCATGATACGTTCACTTTGTCTTACACTTTGGAATTCGCGCTTAGCTATATTAAATCTTCAATCCTGTGGCTGTGCAAACTGCGACGTGTCAACGCGCTCATATAGACGACCACATCTTGTAAAACGGTGGAATAGAAGCGATGTTATTAAAATAGAACCAGAATCTACACGTATTAAATATATTCTTACCCCAATTAAATCTAAACTTAATCGAACAGCATCAAAAGAACGGTTTATTTGTTCATCTTAGAAGAATTGCCGTATCATGCGAGCGAAATCTAACGCATCGGTAAATTAACCAGAAATTTCGAGCTGTGCACCACAACTCTTGGGAGACAAAACTGTGACGTAGATAAATACGGTGACATACACTTTTGAAATACTAGTATATTTCGCGCCTAAACACACTTGCGAGGACGAAAAAAAAAACAAAACCGAGGCGAATTTTCAACTCTGTCGCCCACGCCGGAGTAACAAGTATAAGCAAAACATATCTAGGTTTATCTTGGCATACACATAATTCATAATGATATCTAATATAAAATTCTCGTTATTTTAAGGCCTTGATGAATTGAAGACAGGTATGGAAGAACTTAAAGGATTCAAGAGGTATAAAATCTTTGTGTTGTCTCCATTGTTTAAAAACGAAACTTTGTTAACTGCCATTATTTTATTCAGTGATTATTTACCCAATCTGAGGTGAATAATTGTTTTTGTAATCAGAATCTTGTTTGCACTTCTGGTCTTAGTACGATGGTTTTCATAGTCATTCTATCCGACATTTACTGGCAAGCGCATAATCTTCAAATTTGCAATGGACTAAGGGGGATTAAATTATGAGAAATCAGTTTAATAATACAAAATGAAAACTAATTTCGCGACAGATTCTTCGTTAATTCTCGTTAATGCGATTGTTACAAGGGCTGTTAAAGACATGTAGGGAAATCCAGGACCTAGGACTATAAATTATATAGATAATTTCGGCTGTACAATACATGCTAATTTTTATCAGGGTAATCATTTAATATTTGATATAAATGCTGGTAAACAGTGTGTAGTTATGTCATTGTATGCAATTTTTTACAAAAAAAATTAAATCAGTTAATATTTGGAATCAGTCACTTCTAAACACAATTTTAATAAGTAAAACAGTTTCTATGGTATTTTCAGCCAAATTTTAAAAAAGAGTTATTTATTGTTACTGATGCCCTCAAGTTTGTGAATAGATTGTTTCCACTGATCCCAGATCAGTGATTAGTGCCAAAGGCTTTTAGATTTGAATATTGTGATGATGCTATACACCAACAAGTCTGAAGTGTTTTAAACTAGACTAACTAGTAGCTCAGTTAGAAGAGAACTGGGCTAGCGAACCAAAAGTTGTGGGTTCGATTCCCACTGTGGTTGAGCTCATTTTTCAGCTTACCCGGTTGGTGACTCATAGTAGCATCATCACAATATTCATTTCATTTATACACCTGAGTCTTATTCACTATGGCTTTCAGATTTAGAGGCAATACCGACTGTACGCTACGCGAACCTATTTTGTGAATATGTTTTGTGAACTTTAATAAAAATAAAATGGGAAAAATGGGTGAAGGATGACTCGGATAAAGGTACAATTCAAAACAAAGCGGTGACCAAGGAAAGATTCATAACGTATAAGCTAATAAGTGTTAAGGTGATCTATTTTGTTCGTTCCGTATTCCCGTTAGAATGTAGTTTATTATTTTGTACAATTGTTATGCGAGCCGTGAAGATTTATATGGCTGACGACGTAAATGATTAACGAAGCACAGTTTCTTTACTACCTCGTATTTCTGTTTTTTACCAAGAATCGCGCAAAATTTACACTGCGATAACACGACTGTTGTAGATATTATAAAATTGATTTAATGTTCTTTAAAGCACTCAAAGTGTCAGAACTTTCGTGGAAAAAATTCAACAACTAAACATGCAGTTACAGAAAAGGTACGTTAGTAAGGTTTGTAAGTTTGGTTTACAGGTTAAGCCAGTTTGGAAAAATAGAATACAGGAGAAAACATAGGACAACATTGTTCGAAAAAGAATATTGCAAGAATTTGGTGCTAACTCGCGTTAGCCATGCGTAAGTTGGGATTTTAAACACGCCATGCGTGGATCTCTTGTCCAAATCAGAAGAAAATGATTTGAATTTTTATTCTACATATACAACAATCATTATATCTTGTTACTATATCTTGTTCATATATATTTTTCAAAATCTCTGCATGCTGGTAATGATTTTTTCGAATAAAAAAATAAACTAGGCGGAAGGTGCACATTACTCGGCTTGCCATTTTCACTATTACATAAGATGAATTAGCGTGATCGGGTTTGTAATTGGTTACCATATATGATATTGCAGGATATTTTCTTCAACATGGCCACTAATATGGAGACATGGGTCAATGCTAGCAGCACATATTGCACGGCTCTTTGACTTCTCCAATCCTATCCCTATGATGACAGTTTTGTGCAAATAACTTGTGGAACATGTTTCACATTTATCATTAATATCATTTAATTTCAGAATCAAAGAGTTAGAGCTTGAACAAATGGAGCCACAGGAAATGTTAGTCGTTTTTTTTTCATTGTCGCTATTTAATTAGATATAAAACTAAGTGTAAAATACCATTGTATTACGTTACATTGCACGTTCTCTGTGCAATGGTGTATATTGGGTGGGAATTTTCAGTCCATTTTTATTCATCCAAAAATAAAACATCTGAATATGTTTCACTCCTTTTTGAGGAACTCGTATCTCCTCAGTTGCTCATTCATAAAATTAATTTAATATTCTTCTGTTTCAGACTACGATTAAGTGATCAAGAGTCAAAAATTGAACCACAGAAAAGGTTGGTATGGAGGTTGGTATGGTACAGGAGAGATGGGTCAATGCTAACAGCACATATTGGTCATTCATTTTAAGAGCTCTTTGATTTCTCCAATCCTTACCCCCCCCCCCCACCCCCTATGATAACAGTTTTGTGCAAATAACTTGTGGAATCCCTGAACATGTTTCAAATTTATTATTAATTAATATAATTTAATTTCCGTATCAGAGAGTTAGAGCTTAAACAAATGGAGCCACAGGAAAGGTTAGTCGTTTTTTTTTCATTGTCACTATTTAATTAGATATAAAACTAAGTGTAAAATACCATTGTATTAACAAACAACACATTCCCACCAAAGTACATCAGGGGCCGGTTATATGAAAGCCGGATAGCGCTATCCACCGAATAGTGTTTTTTTTCAATCGCTTTTAAATCACCGGTTGTTAGGTATAACTTTGATTAAATCCTAGTATTCTTAAGTCGAGGATCCTCTTTAATAACATTTAGTTTCAAAGCTGAGATTTTATAGCTTTTCAAGCATTTTTAGAACGGTTGAAAAAATCACTATACGGTGGATAGCACTATCCGGCTTTCATACAACCGGCCCCAGTTCTCCATTCGTTCAATACATCATTATTTATAATTTAATTTCAGTATCAGAGAGTTAGAGCTTAAACAAATGGAGGTACAGGAAAGGTTAGTCGTTTTTTTTCATTGTCACTATTTAATTAGTTATAAAACTAAGTGAAATACCATTCTATTAACATACTAGAAATACATGCATGCAGCATCCCCTCGCCTCGGTTAAGCGAAATTAGTTAAGCATTGATGGTGACATGATAGTTGGAAAATTTTGTGTGGGTTGGGGTGTTTGGAGGGTACTTGGTATTGTTGGCATGTGAGAAGAGAAGTATGGAAATATATTTCTGGAAGCGGAAGCACTGTAGTCATAGCAACTCGCAACCAACATCGCCAACGGCCGTATATTTTCAAAGAATCAAAGTTTACCCTCATATTTTTGTGAAAAATAAGGCAAAATACGACAAGATTCTAGCCATTTTCTGGAAGTTAAGTTACTCATCTATAGTCACTGTTATGGTAAATTATTTTAATCATTAGTTACCGTGAGATATAACATCAAACGTCTCATACGACTTCCGAAGTTTTATGTTTACGCCTCGACTGGTTTTTGCACGCGAATATTTTGAAAAAACTGAGTTTATAAATGAAATTATAATGTCGTCTATCACATTAACACATTTAGATTTGTAATGAAATACGTTTGAGAATACTAAAGTTGTGTTTACCACAAAAGAATGACCTTTTATACCTGTGCCGGGTCTTATTTTCAAGTGTAAAATCTTCCAACTTCATTATACACGGTGAATTCGGTCGAAAATTTAGTCTTGTTTTTTCTGTTAAACCGTAAAAAGTCCTGACCACATTCGAGTTTCCTTCTAATGTAATTAAAATATATATATATTCCATATTTATGAAAATATAAATAATATGAAAATATATTTATTATTTTCTTCAAAATTTTGCGAAATGACAGTTATGCAGGTTTAAAAATACAAATATTTGTCTCGACCAATCAAGAGCTTAGTAGTTTACACTGGCGCATGCGCATAACGTAGAAGACCGTCCATGGCGTGAGGTCCATTGCATAATGGCGGACAACTTTGATTTCGCCTTTGCACATCGTGGGTGTAAATATCCGAGCGGAATTAGTACCCTCGCACGGTGCTCCGCACCGGCTCGGGGACAACACATTCCCACCAAAGTACATCAGTTCTCCATTCGTCCAATACATCATTAATATAATTTAATTTCAGTATCAGAGAGTTAGAGCTTGAAGAAATGGAGCCACAGGAAAGGTTAGTCGTTTTTTTTTCATTGTCACTATTTAATTAAATATAAAACTAAGTGTAAAATACCATTGTATTACGTTACATCGCACGTTCTGCGTGCAATGGTGTATGATTGGGTGGGAATTCTCAGTTAAATTCGAGATATTTCTATATTTCACATGTTAGTCTCGTTTGATTTGTGTGACAATCTGGCATTTGTTTCGCCTATAAAAATATTCATTGTATATCTTTCAAAGAGGATAGGTTTATACAAATAACTTAATTTTAGAATGTCAATCTGAACATGTTTCACACCTTTTTAAGGAGCTCGTATCTCCCCAGTTCAGGGGAAAATGCCTGGGCGGACGATTGTTCATTCATAAAATTAATTTTACATTATTTTGTTTCAGACTACGATTAAGCGCTGAAGAGAAACTTAAGAAGCTACAAAAAAGGTTGATCGTCTTTTTTTTATTATCACTATTTCATTACATATAAAACAAAATGCAAAATACCATTGTACTAACATAAAACACGTTTCCACTAAAGTACATCAGTTCTGTCTGCAATGGTACATATTGGGTGGGAATTTTCAGTTAATTCTTATTAATCCCAAAATATTCCGTTGATCTTCGTGCTAGAAATTTGAGTGTAGAATTAATCTGTTTATTGGTTTTGCTCTCGCGATATTCGAGATGTTTCTATATTTCACATGTTAGTGGTGTTTGATTTGTGTGACAATCTGACATTTGTTTCGCCTATAAAAATTTCATTGTATATCTCTCAAAGAGGACAGCTTCATACAAATAACTTAGTTTTGGAATGTCAATATGAACATGTTTCGCACCTATTTGAGGAGCTCATACCTCCTCAGTTGGGGCAAAAATGCCTGGGCAGACGATTGTTCATTCATAAAATTAATATTCTTTTGTTTCACACTACGAAGTACTGAGAAGACAGTAATGGAACTACAGGAAAGGTTAGTCGTTTTTTTTTCATTATCACTATTTAATTAGATATAAAACTAAGTGTGAAATACCATTGTATTAACAAACAACACGTTCCCACCAAAATACATCAGTTCCCCGTGCAATGGTGTATATTGGGTTGGAATTTTCAGTCAATTTTTAGTAATCCAAAATATTTCGTTGGATATTCGCGCTAAAAATTTGAATGTAGAATATTCTGTTTATTGGTTGTGCTCTCGCGATATTCGAGATGTTTCCATATTTCACATGTTAGTGTTGTTTGATTTGTGTGACAATCTGACATTTGTTTTGCCTATAAAAATTTCATTCTATATCTCTCAAAGAGGACAGATTTATACAAATAACTTGTGGAATCCCTGAACATGTTTCACATTTATCAGAACAGCTTATATACAGCTCTGAAACGACGTTGTTCAATTAATAAAATAACTCAATATTCTTTAATTTTAAAAGACGAAACAATGAGTTAAAGCTCAAAGAGAAACTTAAACAGCTACAAAAAAGGTTAGTCGTTTTTTTTCTTCATTATCACTATTTTATTAGACACAAAACTAAATGTAAAATACCATTGTACTAACATACAAAACTCTCCCACTGAAGTACATCAGGCATTTGTTTCGTTTATAAAAACTTCATTGTATTAAGAGGACAGCTTTATAGAAACAGCTTAATTCTGGAATGTCGATCTGAACATGTTTCACAGCTTTTTGAGGAGCTCGTATCTCTTCAGTTCAGGGGAAAATGCCTGGGCCGACGATTGTTTATTCATAAAATTAATTTAATATTCTTTTGTTTTAGACTACGAAGCGCTGAGAATACAGAGATGGAACTACAGGAAAGGTTGGTATTCTCTCTCAAATGACGTTGTTCAATTAATAAAATAATTCAATATTGTTTAATTTTAAAAGACGAAACAATGAGTTAGTGCCCATAAAGAAACTTAAGCAGCTACAATAAAGGTTACGCGTCTTTTTTTTCATTATCACTATTTCATTAGATACAAAACTAAATGTAAAATACCATTGTACTAACATACATCACGTTCCCACTAAAGTACATCAGTTCTGCGTGCAATTGGTTTTGCTCTCGTGATATTCGAGATGTTTCTATATTTCACATGTTAGTGGTGTTTGATTTGTGTGACAATCTGGCATTTGTTTCGCTTATGAAAATTCCATTGTATATCTTTCAAAGAGGACAGTTTTATACAAATAACTTAATTTTAGAATGTCAATCTGAACATGTTTCGCAAGGGAAAATGCCTGGGCCGACGATTGTTCATTCATAAAATTAAATGTAAATTAAATATTCTAATATAAATGTAATTAAATATTCTTTTGTTTTAGACTACGAAGTGCTAAGAAAACAGAAAAGGAACTACAGGAAAGGTTCGTGGCATTCTCTCTCAAACGACGTTGTTCAATTAATACAATATTTCAATATTCTTTAATTTTAAAAGACGAAACAATGAGTTAGTGCCCATAGAGAAACTTAAGCAGCTACAAAAAAGGTTACTCGTCTTTTTTCTTCATTATCACTATTTCATTATATATACAAAACTAAATGTAAAATACCATTTTACTAACATACAACATGCACGTTTCCACTAAAGTACATCAGTTCTGCCTGCAATGGTGTATATTGGGTGGGAATTTTCAGTTAATTTTTATTAATCTAAAAATACAGGTTTATACAAATAACTTAATTTTGGAATGTCGATCTGAATATGTTTCACACCATTTTAAGGAGCTCGTATCTCTTCAGTTGAGGGAAAATGCCTGGGCCGACGATGGTTCATTCATAAAATTAATTTAATATTCTTTTGTTTCAGACTACGAAGTGCTGAAGAGACAAAAAAGGAACAACAGAAAAGGTTGGTCGTGTTCTTTTTCATCACTATTTAATTAGATATAAAACCAAGTGTAAAATACCATTGTACTAACATACAACACATTCCACTAAAGTACATCAGTTCTCCGTGCAATGGTACATATTGGGTTGGAATTTTCAGTCAATTTTTATTAATCCCAAAATATTTCCGTTGATCTTCGCGCTAAAAATTTGAATGTAGAACTAATTCTGTTTATCGGTTTTGCTCTCGCGATATTGGAGATGTTTCTATATTTCACATGTTAGTGTTGTTTGATTTGTGTGACAATCTGACATTTGTTTCGCCTATAAAAATTTCATTGTATAGAATGTTTGTATTTCGTTTGATCTTCACGCTAAAAATTTGAATGTAGAATTAATTCTGTTTATCGGTTTTGTTCTCGCGATATTGGAGATGTTTCTATATTTTACATGTTAGTGTTGTTTGATTTTTGTGACAACCTACAATATGTCTTGCCTGTTTCGCCGTTGATAAAATTTTTATAGCATCGATATCTTCCATCAACATTATCTGGGGTCTACGCAGACGACACAAAGCTTTACAGGGCAATAACATCACCCCAAGATTGTGATCAACTACAAGAAGCATTGTCGTATGCTGACGGTTAGAGCAAACAACCAAATATCGACTTCAACGCGTCCAAATGCCAAATTCTGACAATAACTCGTAGAAAACGTCCGACTATAATAAAATACCATCTTGGCTCGACTAAATGGACCACTTGCATAATAGACCAACTTTGGATTCAGGCGACAAAAGGAAATTTATTAAAACTGCCAAGTTTGGCTCCGATATATAGTATATATAGTACCCAAGATATAGCGAAGCGAAGTTAGCAAATTTTGTATACTTTTGTATTATGACAGAAAGAGTGTAATTAAATTAATTACACACTTCCGCCCGTAATAAAAAGTATACAAAAATTGACTACTTCACATGGCTATATTTTCAGTACAACTAGACGTTTTGCAGCCAAACTTGGCAATTATACTAATTTCAGTATGCTCTTCTTAGGGGCTGTTTACATGAGCCCGGTTACCCGAGATTCAACAAAGCGTGAGAGGACTTTGAGGTATTGAAATAAGTCTTTGTGACACCAAACAAGCACCTGCTATTGTTGTGGTGATTATACGACTGCCAGGATCATGTTATCTGCCCATTTTAATACCTCAAAATCATCTCACGCTTCGTTGAATCTCGGATAACCGGGCTCATGTAAACAGCCCCTAGACTGTGGTTATACCTAGATCACAAGTTGGTCTATTATGCAAGGTTCCATTGATGCGTGTAGATAGCGAAGCTGATCTTGGAGTCACGGTAACGAGAACATTATCTTACAATCTGCATATCATCCAAACATTTCCGCTGATTTTTGCACTGTAAATTTTGAATCTAAAATTTTGTTAATACGTTTTGTTCTTCTGATATTTGTTTGCCAATTTATGTTAGTGTTGTTTAATATTTATACTAATCTGCCTGTTTCGCCTATAAAACTTTTATTGCAAGCAAACGCAAGTAATTTCACAGAAGAAATTCTTTGTTAGGCATCAAAATCCCTCTATGAGACCAGCTTTATGCAAAAAACTTGTGGAGGTCCTAAACATGTTTTAAATATTTTTAAAGTATCTCGTGTTTCTTTAGTTGTGGCCAAAACCTGAAAGAACGGCTCTTCATTCATTGAATTAATTTAATAGGCTATTCTCTGTTTCAGACAAGGAGACAAGATAAAGAAGCTTGAAGATGAAAACTTTGAAATGATTGGAAAGTTAGTCCACTTTTTTGTCATTATCCGCACTGTTTCATTAGATGTAAAACTTTAAAGCAAAATTATATCTCAAAATTAAATTGTCCAATTTAAATGCGCCATCTTAGGTGAAGAATAGGTGGAGAATACACTTATCATGGTATTCCGGCATATATACCACTAGATATTACATTGGGTCATTATCAAAAGAAGAGTACAACAACAAGAAAAAAACAATTGCTACAGACATCCTTCCATCCCGGGGGGGGAAGGGACAGGGTGGGAGCACGTGCCCACACACAATTTTTCAAGGGACTCCAAAAGTGCATAAACAGGGGAGAGAGACGTTTGACAGTCAACAAATTGTGGGTGTACGGGTAACGGGAAGTCCCCCTCACCCTGTGTTTATAGATAAAAAATACCCTTGCAATTTTGCATTTCCACCAGCAAATCTAAAATTCTGTTTATCTAAAATTCTATTTGCTCTCGCGATGTGTCTATATTGTCTGCCAACCCATGAATGTTGTTTGATTTCAATTAATAGATTTAACAACCTATTCTTTGTTTTAGACTACGAGACGCAGGAGAAGAGCTTGATGTGAAAAACTTTAAAAACTTGAAATTTGCGGCAACGTTAGTCACCTTTTTTGTCATTATCACTATTCTCTTAGATCTAAAAATAAAAGCAAAATACTATTGTATTAACATACTGGCTATTTTACATCCCCACCAAAGTCCTGCAGTTTGTCGTACGTGCAACAGTTTATATTGGGTGGGTATTTTCAGTTAATTTTTATGAATCCCAAAATCGTCGGTAATTGCCCCTCTAAAACTATTTTTTGCCTCTGCCCCCCCCCCCCTAGAATGTCAAACTATATCTATCAGCTTAATTCATACCCATAATTAATATATGTAATTAGAATACGTATATTGAACAGCAAAAAACATGGAATATGTATCTACACTGGTAGGAAAAGTTCTAAACTATAAAAATAGAATTCTAAACGCAATTATAAGGCTTGATATGCTTAAATTTAGGCGTGTGCATACGTTTATAAACTTATGTGACAATATATTTTGTCCCCCAAAAAAATTTATTTCCCTCTCAAATACCCCGCTCCCAAAAATTTGAGGTCTGGCGCCGCCACTGTAAATATGGACATGATTATTACATGATTATGCATTATTCATCGATAAAGACCGTAGAAAAAAACTAATTATGTTGCAAATTACGGGCAGTTTCGAGAAAGAGAATCAAGAAAATACACGTTCAAAAATTATGCAGTGTTCCTTCCAGTTAAGGACGTTCCTCTTCCCCTCTCGACTCAAAATGGACATACCTGATCATTCGTAGAATTAATCAAATATTGTTTAGACTCGAGCAACTACGTGCAGAGAACGAACGTTCATTGAAAAGGAATGAAGAACTAAAAGAAGAGTTAAAGAAAGTTGAGGAACTGATAAGGTTAGGTTATTTACTTAACGTCCTAATAAAAGGCAAATCAAAAGCTAGTATCGACAACCAAAGAAAAAAGATCAAACACAAATTAGAAACGAAGAACAACATGGACTGATAAATTTCTTAAAGTGATAATTGAAGATCAACCGTAATCGTGCGGGAAAAATATAACGAATACGAAAAACAATATCTTTTTCCCAATTCAATGACCTAGTACAATACAATTCCCAATTATCTATTTCCCAATTCATAAACCATCCGAATTAGAATATTAGTACGAATGTAACAGACCTGATAAGATCGATGAGAGAGAACGGTTAAAGATTTGAGCAACATGCTTAAAATATGCTTTTCTTGTATTTTTGTGTCTCGATGCGGGATGCTTGTTGCGATGCAAAAGTCGTGGTTTCAAAACATCAATACGCGATGCTAGTCGTCATAAAAACCCTTTTTATGGAAGCGCTGGAAAGGCCCCTAGACTCATATTTCAACTACTTCCTCTCTTTTAGTTTACCTTGGGTAGAAGGGTTTAAAAGAATCGGTGGACATGATCAAGGCAATGAACCTCGTTTAGAAATTACATGCAAAATTGGTAAAGAAACTGATACCGATGATATTGTGAAATTGTTCGGCGAAGAAAATATTTCTTTCATTACCTACAAGAAGCGTAAGTTTTTTGTTTGACTGTTCTTGCAAATATTAACTCACTCCCGTCTACCGAATAGCCTATTATCAGGTAAAACTAGCCTCCTCCGCAGGCATCTTTTATTATTATTATTACTATTATGTATTAAAAATATGCATATTTGGCTTGGGATAGCTGTGTCGGGGAAGCGAGAAAAAAAAATTTTCCTCGCCTTCCATGGCACAGCTAACCCATGTCTGTGGAGGAAGTTAGTGTAAAGCAAAATTGAATATCTCTATAGGTATTTGGGCTAAAGACCCCACAGAACACCAAAAAATGATAGCGCTTAAAAAGGTGCTATATAAATAGTATTCAAATCATCAGATAGTTATAAGCCGCACTTGTAATATACGTCAAACTATTAGGTTGCATTGTTATCTCAAATTAGTCAGCAATAGCAACAATATACTTTTAGAAATTCCGGATTTTTTCAATTTTTTGTTCTCTGTTGTCTTCAAAATGTCCGAATTTTAGGAAATGTCCGAATCATTCTGTTATAATTCTGAGTAATTTTAGGGGTAGGATGTGCAAAAGAATCGGAGAAATAGCGCTTAAAAATTCTAAGCGATAAAATCGGCAAAAATCTTTTAAAGGCTTCATTTTGACGCTGAAAATATCAAAATAAACGTGGAAATGTGAACTAAATCACTGTAACTGGTTTTCCTTTTCATTTTGGGCAATATTTCAAGGATTAGGCCGCTTTGATTTATAATATTAAACAATAAATAAATCGCATGCATTTCAAGGTTAATATCATAGCGAATTTGCAAAATATCGATCTAAAAAAACAAGTAACAACGGAAGATAATTTCCTCTTTAAAGGGTTGAATTTTTATTGAAATCGGTCAAGTATTCATTTGAGATGCCATCTGATCCGACGAGAGTTTAAAACAATCATTTTGTCATATTCTCATTGAAATTATACCTGAAATCATTAATCATACCTGAACTTTATGAATCTATAGTTTCTAGGACTGAGTGGTTAGAAAAAAATATTCTCGATGGAAATATGAAAATGAAGGAGGAATATGCGTGTAAATTGTTAAGGTATAACCGACGATGACTGAAAGTTTACTCGTGCAGATAACTTTTCATAGCTATAATAAAGCCTAAATAACAAATACCACCTAAACCACCCCTTAAGTTTAAGTAATCATGATTTAGTAGCAATTGAATATAATATTATTGTCCGAAGTACATAGTGTTTGTGAGTTTCCAGTACAAATCTATAGCAATTACTGCTGCAAAACGACCAGCATCGATGTTAGTACAAAGCCATTGTTCCTGTTCCAAACTAACTACTCTCTCAGTAAAATCCTATATTATTTTTCATTACTGTCTTGGATGTACTGAAAAAATATGGTATTAAATAGCAAGATATTTCTTACAGCTTGGAATGGGTTAAAGGTTTTAAACTTGTCATGGAAAACGACGATCATCATGTAGAAATCGTTTACAAATTCGGCAAAGCACCTCAAGTTTGGGACATCGTAAATCTTTTTGGAGAAAACATTCTTCCTTTCATAAGCTTTCAGGAAGGTTCGTTTTTACGCTGTTTGAATTGCTTTATATTGTCGTAGGTTACTCCGATTATTTAAATATTTTTTATTAACCAATATAGGCTCAAAAGATGAATGGTTTAAAGAAAATGTGCTTGATAAGAATTATGACATGAAAGAGTTTTATGTCAATGAATTGATAAGTGATAGGTAGGCTTTTTTGAGTTTCAACAACATAATAACCCTTTTCTCACAGTAACCCTTTTTCCGTAAGAAGCAATTTGTAAGAGACTTTTTAACCCTAGCTGGAAATTATCATTGCATTTCTGGGGCTATATGCATGACGCACAAAGGTTCCAAAAATTTATTTTGAGGCTTCTATCAGGTCTGCGAAGGAAGCTCCTCCTTCGGTCCCTTTACCCTTCACCTTTCTCCTTTTCATCTTGACATATCATAATAATCTTAAAAACATTGAATACCAAAATAGAACGATTAACATATTTATTCATTTTCGCTGCGTTTATGTGATTTCTAGATTCCCTTCGGTTAAAGATTTCTATATTAGTGTCACAAGTGATCCTGAAGAATCCTGGCAAATATTCCTCACCTACGCTCGAAACACGGTGCCTTCCATGAAAGACTTAAAGAAACTGTTTGGCGTTAAAATTTGCTCGTTCGTTGATTTTAAGATCCTAGGAAGTGACACTGATAAGAAGCCACTAACTTCCTCTTGTTTTCTTCGAGCACCTAGTTCAGGTGATTCCCTCTACGTTCAAAATGAAGAACGCGGAACAATAGGAATCCTTGCAACTCGGATATCAGACACAGATGACCACTACGCAGTCACCTGCTACCATGTCTGCTACTGCCAGAGCGAATTACCCGAATTCATACACGATGCACACGACGCACTAAAGGAAGACTGCGGCTTAAACAACTCAGTTGGTTGTGTTGGCACCAAGTGCCATTATATCAACAAAGATACAGAATTAGGAAATTTTGGATGTGGTTTGTACGACGACAAAAATGATATCGCCCTTATCGAGCTTGCACCAGAGCTAACGTGCGATGACGCCACTACTCTTCTTAAAGATGGAGTTGAATCAAAATTGCTAGGTAAAAATGAAGTCGGAGAAATATATAACGAGTACCAGAAAAAGGGTGAGGACATATTCCCCAAAGTAAAAAAATTTGGTTCGGTAACTAAAGAAACAGAAGGAGAACTCTTTGCAATAAGTGGAGCAAACTCAAATGGTATGAACAACGGTTTTTATAGAATTCGAGGAACTGGGGGAAACAACTTTGCCGAGAAAGGCGATTCCGGCTCTTTGGTTTACATTGTAGATAAAGGTAAAAATTTTCCTTTTGCTATTGTAAGCAATAAAGACCCTGACGATGATGTCTACTATTGTCCAAATCTACTTCAGAGTATAGAGGCGTTAGGTAAAGAGTATCGTTCGATAAGGATTCAACCTTGTTTAAACCAATGTGGTCGTACTAGTCCATGATATCTCGTGTCGACATGATATTGATTCAACGGAAAAACAGAACTAAGAATAATTCACCTCAAGTTTTTTGATGTCTTGAACTTTTCCTATGATAGAACTTCCACCGTCGTATGCATATTTATTGTATCATATCTATAGTCTTAGTCTTCAAAGAAGCCCTATACAATTCTATTATTTAATGCTACAAACAGGGGCGAACTGGCCTAATTTTAATTAATAAAGTAAACTTGTTGGCACGTTCACACGAGCAAATAAAACTTTCCAAAGAAAAATTTGTCATAGAAATTTTGTTTTGCATACACACGTGTCACGTTTAGGGGTGACATTTAAGAAATAGAAAGCATTTTCCGTGTTTCTATACAGTTATAGAAACACGCGTAGGAGTTTGGGAGTATAGAAACACGGGAAAAGATGTTTTCTATTTCTTTTATAATAGAACTCAATAAAAAGATTTTGTACAAATGACATAATTTGATTCAGTTATAAATTCTCATTACATCGCTTCGCTTGTCAAGTTCGGCCCGTGTTTCTATACAGTTATAGAAACACGCTTCTTCGGACCATTCAGCACGCGCGTACTATAAATGTTATATTACGAAACCAGTTTCAAAAATTTTCGATCGCTATTTTAACAATACGCAGCGCTGACAATCCATCGGTTATCAATGATAGAATGATCAAATGTGCGCATGCAGCTACTGTAGGATGGTCAGTCGCCGCGGTAAATTCTTACTTGCAAAATTTCTCCGTTTCCAACTTTCTTATGGATGCAAACACTTATAAGACGTCCAAGGTAAGTTAAATATGAATAGAAGACGATAAAGCAAAGAAAAAAGTCTCATAGTCGTCCTAGGCATTTTATTTGATTAAATTGCAAACGGAGCACAAATGATAGTACATGCACTTACGGCAAAATTGAGCAAATAATAAGGATTCAAAGTTATTTTGGTAAAAATACAATATAGATTCATAAAGATATACCCCGTATGTTAGGACCTCACATGGATTGGAATTATAAATATAAATACACACAATGTGTTTTTTGTGTGTTCTAGTGTTTGCAATATAATGTGTTCATGCCGACCAATCTAAGTTGTTTCTGGAATGCAGTGCTTCAGTGGTCATATAATTATGAGCGGGTACTAAATGCGACTATTTAGAAGAAATATTGATATTTTAATACCATAGTTATCGCAAATATGACCGGCGTAAATTAAGCCATGAGTACCGAAAAACCAGGAACAAAAATAGTTAATTTTGAATGCATTTAAATGCATCTTGTTATTAAGTAAGTTATTTTTTCCTTCAAACAAGAGCTTTAGAATAAGTGATTACATTTAGCTTTATAGTGGAAAACTGCATTAACAAGAGAACTAATCTCTCCTCATGAAGCAAGATAATGCCATCTAATTTACTAGTGCTAAAGGCCAGTGTAGGAAAAGCTGTGTAAGAGCTACCTGTTTAAAAAACTGGGTCGTTCTTATCAAAACTCTCAACGCGTTTATAGAATCATAGAGCTACATGCAAGTCAACTCCCACCGTGTTTTTTATGTAGCTAGTATTTTAGCGATGGAATTCGATACAAACGAACCACGTTTCGACTCGAAATGCTTACTAAATACTCGAAAAATATCAACAGGGAAAATGCTTTATATTTTTGTATATGATAAAGCACAAAGAAATACTAAGAGACTATAGAAATTTCCGTGTTTACTTTCGAGTTATATCTAAACACAACGCTCTTAGCCAATCAGCGTATCAGACTATACAAATGCTGTATCGCATTTTAATAAATACAAATTGTATAAACGACCACATGAAACGAGGATTGTTCTAATATATACAATATGTTATAATGTGCGTTTCAAAACATATAGTCGGGATTATTTGAGGAATGTATATAGTTTGAATTGCCTTTAAATGACTTACTGTGATAGCATTATAGTTATAAGCTGATTGCATTGTGCGAACTGCAGACAATATAATTCAACTGGATAAATGATAAATCTACTCTTATTATATCTTTTCTTTTTTTGTCAATAGTTTACTAACAATCTTTATGTATTTGCATGTTTTTTAGCAATAATTTTAGACTATATATGGCAATAATCATATATAATCAAATATATGTAGATGAAACTTCATGCATGGAATAAGATTTTTCGTATCTACTGCTGTATCGCAAGTCATGATCACCTTAAATAAGACATCAAAACTTCCTTCAAATCTCACCAAAATATTAGGACATATTGCTCACTTTTTAAAGTCAATTTTTGGCAAAAGGGTAAGTATATTCCGGAAAAACGGATGCTCTTGTGCATGTGAACATCCCCCCTTTCAACGTTCACCATGTCGCGGTGAATTATATATTATCTTAATTGTTTCCTAATTTAGTTTGTGAAAATGAAATATATAGAAAGCAGTAACGGTAAATTCTTACGTGCCAAATTTCTCCGTTTCTAACTTTCTTATGGATGCAAACGCTTATAAGACGTCCAAGGTAAGTTAAATATGAATAGAAGATAAAGCAAAGAAAAAAGTCTCATAGTCGTCCTAGGCATTGTATTTGACTAAATTGCAAACGGTACACAAATGATAGTACACTTAGGGCAAATAATAAGGATTCAAAGTTATTTTGGTAAAAATACAATATAGATTCAAAGATATACCCCGTATATTAGGACCTCACATGGATTGGAATTATAAATATAAATATACACAATATATTTTTGTGTGTTCTAGTGTTTGCAATATAATGTGTTCATGCCGACCAATCTAAGTTGTTTCTGGAATGTAGTGCTTCAGTGGTCATATAATTATGAGCGGGTACTAAATGCGACTATTTAGAAGAAATATTGATATTTTAATACCATAGTTATCGCAAATATGACCAGCGTAATTAAATTAAGCCATGAGTACCGAAAAACCAGGAACAAAAATAGTTAATTTTGATCATTTAAATGCCATAAAGACGCCATTGAGAGCAGAAGTAATTAGAATTGTTATTTGCATGCATGAACGATTAACGTCATACATAAAAAGGTTACCCCCATCAAGTCGGACATCATCCGCACTTATAAAGTATAAAGTAAAGTATAAAACATACCCGTACAATGCTTTACTTCTATATCAGAGCAAGAATCTTCAGTCCAAATGCAAATCTGTAAGTATTAACGTGTATCAGATAACTATATATGGTAGCTATTTAACGTAACATAATAGTTATATTTCAGTATACCGTACAGCCTATCATTACGTCGATCTATGACGAATACTAAAGAATAGACCAAAAAATACAACACAAAAGATGTAGATTCAAAGACACTTTATCCAGTTACCGTCGCTTAGTACTATAAAAAGACATACTTTCATCGAGTTATATATATTATAGCTATATCTTTCAAACAATGAAAAATTCCGAGTTATCAGAATCGTCACTTTCGTATTTCACATTGCTCATCAAAACCCTGGCATTTCTCAACCACCGAAACATATTTTAATTATCGTTGCTTCAAATCAGAAACGCTAATTTGATCTTGAGAAAGCATGGCATGCGACTGGCAAGTAATTCTTAATCTAGGCCTAAAGAATATTTTGATAAGCCATACATACCGAATAATCACTGATGCAACAGAAATTTTATACAGATATATAATATAAACTCTTGTTTGAAACAATCGTTCAATGAATATGTTTGCTACGAAGTTTTTTTTTTGTACAAAAAAGATGAATCGCACGCAAAAATGTGATTTGAGAGTGCATGATTTGAGACCATATAGTTAATGATTAACCATAGGGGGGGGGGCTATCGAAAATATATCCGCAAATTTGATCAGTAAAAAATATTACGCTGTCATTGAGAAAACTCATTTTATTGATGTAACTTAAACTATATAGTATATCTAGGCTAGTGGGAAAAAATTCGCTTTTAAAAAAAGAAATTATAACGTACGCCTAACATTGTCACGAAGTTTCCCAATCCTTACATCATATATAAGTCTATAAATACACATAGTCCTAACTTTATGTGTATGTAATATTTAATTTCGTATAAAAACTTCATCTTAAATATAAGATGTAAATATAACATAAGATATCTAATTTCGGAATTTGTCTCATTTTTGCACATGTATCTTGTTATTAAGTAAGTTTTTTTTCCTTCAAACAAGAACTTTAGAATAAGTTATTACATTTAGCTTTGTAGTGGAAAACTGCATTAGCAACAGAACTATAATCTCTCCTCATGAAGCAAGAACTTTCTATTTTTTAAGCCATCTAATTTGCTATATAGCTATACGTTTTCGAGAATTAATTTTTCTTCCTCGATTATACGTAAGGAGAAAGCAACACTAAACCTCTCAACACGTTTTTATGTAGCTAGTGTTTTGGCGATGGAATTCGATACAAAAGGTCCATGCATGTTTCGACTCGAAATTTCCGTGTTTACTTTTGGGTTATATTTAAACACAACGCTTTTAGCCAATCACCGAATCAGAGTATACAAATGCTGTATCATGATGTTAATAAGACCGCATGAAACGAGGATTGTTCTAATATATACAATATGTTATAATGTGGGTTTCAAAACATATAGTCGGGATTATTTGCGGAATGTATAATTTGAATGCCTTTAAATGACTTACTGTGATAGAATTGTAGGTATAAGCTGATTGCATTGTGCGAGTGGCAGACAACCTAATTCATTGGATAAATCTTCTCTCATTTGATTTTAATTTCTTAGTTAATAGCTTACTAACAGTAAACAGTCTAAATGTATTTGCATGTATTTTATGTATTTTCAATGATAATATAATCAGGTTTATTTTCAAATCAACCAGTCAGAAGTAATGAATACTTATTCAGCCCTATACGTCATTGTTTTCGTATCATCTGCTTTAGGAATAAAAGCTTTTGAACTACATAATTATAGCTATCATGTGTAGTGCACTATACTCTTAATCAGGATCGCCACGCCATTTAAACCAATAAAAAGAACACGCCAGGAATTAAATGGTGTTTTTAAACGATATCTTTGAATGGTCAGCATAAAAATTCAATCCAGGAGGTGGGAAGGGGTAAAGCTTGCCGAAAAATTTGTTTTTTATTTCGCATCTCCTCTTCTCAAGAGGCGGTCCATTAGAAAGCTGACGGGCTGGAGTGCAGTGGAAACCCTATTTCGGTTGTCTCGGCATTTGAACTATCCTACGTAAATATTTTTAATAAATGAGAAAAGAGAAAAGCGCAGGAAGAAACTGTCTGACGACAAGGGCCACAAAAGGCCTCCAATATAAGGTCGACGCTAAGAAGAAAATTGAAAGCTTTTACATGATCGCGAGAAATGATCCTTCCATTTTGTCTTATATTTTTCTGAAATCTCGTGTTTTCTAAAATTATCGCTAAATGGTGTTTAATCAGGTTTATATCGCACACGACTTCGGTGATCCCCATTTTTGGTAAAATTCTGTAGTGTGCGACTTTTCTGGGTTTTTTCCTATTATGTAAACTTTTGATAAAAATATTAAGTGTTTTTATTGAGTGATAAAAACATTTTTCCCTGCTTGGCAAGGATTGCCAGAGACAACTTGCTTCGTATAAACAACAAACCCCGTATATAGATAGATACATACGCTTGACTGTTTGAGTATATATAAATGATATTCTTGTACGTTTGGTGACAATCGATAAGTAATTAAGCTTGTAGGTACACCCTACAAGAATTATATACTTACGTGGTGTACAAACAAGCTTAATTATTTATATATCAATGCTTATTTCTTACAGGCGCTGAACGTGATCACGTTGAAAGAGGGAAGATGCGAGAGAAGATGACAAGGTAAATTCCTTCCTACGTCAGTATCGCTAGTTTATAAAATATGGTAAGAAATACCGATACTATTGCTTTCAAGCCATTGCTTTAAAACTTTTCATTCCTGGCGTGTATACATGCTTTTTATAAACATCACTGCTTCTTAGCAGTCGACTTTAACTAAGTCAATAAATAAATGAAATGATGGAGCAGTTTTCGTATATAGAAAGAATGTTATGGTGTTTCGAAATGGTGACTAGAATGGGAAGAGTGTTTAGCGCTTTTTAAACTAAGATGACTTTTACCAACAGAAAACTGTTTCGCTGTTTAGAATGTTAAAATATAGACAATTATAATTGTTCGGTTTGCAACAGAAGCATATTCTTAAATGTCATTTTTAACTCTTTCAGAACAGTTCGTAAGTTACAAAGATCCAATAGCCTACCACCGTCAAGTTTTCACGCCCGGCGTTCGATAAAACGACAACGAAAATCCAGTGCGACCGTCCGACAAACTAAAGACAATCCAGGTCATAATACAAAGAAAAATAGCACAAAAACAACACCATTGACCGATAAAATCGATCCTTATCACCAATTACAAAGAATAGTTATCTTCCTGCTAGTTTACTCCCATCAACCCAAAATCTAATTCAGAACGTGTAATTGTAATTGAAAAAATGCTGAAAAGGAATCGCCGGTTATTACATCACTTTCTATTCTTTATACACAGATAGAGACCTAAAACGAAAGTCGTTTGAAGAAAAAGTATTCGACGAAAACCACATTTTGAAAGAGAGATATGGAAAGGCACTAGCAAGGTAGTGAAAATTCTTCTTAAAAAATTATATCAAACAAGGATGAAAAATAAATATAATATCTGAACAGGAATATTTTGAGTCTTAAATATATACTGCATGCAATACATGATTAAGTTCCGTCGCGTAATACAGAAAATTTGACATGTTTACTTAATTCTACCAGGGGAAGAGGATTTATATGCGGTCACGCACGAATTCTCAAAATTCCGAGAAATATATGATCAAAGAAATGCACCTGCTATCGTCTCAAATGTTTGAAAGGCATTGTTGTAATGCCCTCGTATCCAACCGATACTACTTCTAATTTATAGGTTGGAATGGGTACAATGTTTCAAACGGGTTAGTGGACATGGTGAATGCAGTAAACAAGTTTTAGAAATTACCTGCAAAATTGGCAAAGTACCGCATATTGCTGACCTTGAAAATTTATTCGAAGAAAAGAACTTTCCTTTCATTACCTATAAGGAGTGTAAGTTTACTTGCAAGTAACACGTATGTATCAACTATACCCAAAACTCATTGTCATTTTCATCAAACTTGTATAATATCAACTTTGTTAATTTGATAGTCTCGAGGGCTGAGTGGTTTGAAGCAAATATTCTCTGTGAAGATTTTAAAATAAAAGAGGAATTCGCTAAAGAATTGTCTAGGTAAGTTAGATAATAGACCTTTTATATTTCATCCTTGGAAGAGCGTTGTAGTAATAATCCAAGGCAATTTCAGCTGCGACATTGCTGTTTTCAAAATTTAATCAGGCTAAGTAAGGGGAAGGGTCTATTGTTTGTCGCATCATTTTAACTATAAACATATATTGTTTAGCCTTGAATGGGTGGAATGTTTCAAAATCGTTTTTGCAGACCAAGGACGCCAAAACCGTAATTTGGAGATTGTGTGCAAATTTGGCATGGTACCTCGTATTCCTGATATTCTGAAGTTGTTTGGAGAAGAGATCCTTCCCTTCATTACCTACAAGGAATGTAAGTTTCTTCATTCCTATGATATTGCAAATAGAAGGGCAATGGTTTCATTACTGACGACAAATCTAAATTATGTTATACAACGCGCAGGTTACTTCTTCTATACATTTTTACATCCGTATATATTATATTTAAACCGTTAATTCTTTTATAGTCGCAAAGACTGAGTGGTTCGAAACAAATATTCTTGATGAAGAGCTCAAAATGAAGAAAGAATATGCAAATGATTTGTTAAGGTGACCGACGAAGAATCCAGCTTAAGCCCGCCGCACACGAGGGCTATCAGCTGAGCTAACGATCTCGCGAGGCAGATAGCTCAGGCCGAAAACCATCCACACACGTGAGAAACTTGCCTCTCGAGGCGAATTCTTCACGAAAAACTATCCGCACACGAGTAACTTGCTTAGCTAACAGCCACGCGTGGTCTTTACCTCAGCTAATAGTTCACCTGTGCGGGGGACTTAAGGGGCCGTTTATATGAGAGCTGGGACGGGACGTTTGCATGTTGGAAAGGAATAACAATGCTCGGGAATATTTCTATATGTTTTTCGCATTCTGTTAATTTATATGAACCTGGGACGCTTTTCAACCCGTCCCGCCCATGCAGGCGGGATCCCAGTTTCGACCAGTGGGATCCCGCTTTAAACAGGATGTTTTTTGCCGTTAAAGAAAGTGACGTCCAAAGGGTAAATTTCGCGTTGGTTCCAATTATAGAAACTCATCAGTTTTTAAGTCTTTTGTAATAAGCTTCAATCTAAAAAGCAGGCGGTGGTATTTAATTTCTCCTGGGGAAATGCGGGGTTGAAGGTTATTACAGCGAAATAAAAACCAGGTACCAGGTTATTACGAAAAAGTAATCACCGCTTACTCGCAGAGTAAGCTTTTGAGAGTTTTATTTTCCTGCATTCTGATCACTGCTCGGTGACTATATAGCTTTTGTTGTTGTCTTTCAAATAAGAAATTTGAAGTAATTCTAAATTTTTATGAAATTATGTTCATTATTATTTGTAGATACCTCGAAATTTGTACTAAAACAATTCAGCTATAGGCTTGTAATCACCTCGCCTTCGGCGACTAATTGTTAAATAGTACTAACTCTGTTCCTTCGCCCTTTCATTAGGCTATCCTGGGTGAAGAAGTTCCATATTGGTTTTGACGGCAAGAAGGATAAAACGTGGAAGATTTACATCACACACGATGAGCGCAAAACACCGTCGATGGAGGAGCTGGAGAAGATATTTGGCGATAAGATTTTCTATTTTGTTGATTTTATCCAAGAACGAGTCGTTAGCGATAGTTATTCTGGCTTTCTCCGAGGACCAAGACCAGGCGACGCAGTTTACGTCTCAAATGAACCATTTGGGGGAACAATCACCATCCTCGGGAAAGATATTTACATGCAAAAACATTACGCAATTACCTGTTATCACGTGTGCTTTAACGGAAAACTGAAAGAATTCGATTTATTCGAGTCGCACAAAGAAATGAAGAGAGAGCATGAAAATGGCTCAGGGAATCTTGCTGGCGTTAGGTATGAGTATTCGGACGAGAACGGACGTCGGGTACTTGGTACGTTTTATCGTGGTTTATACAACGACGAGCACGATATTGCATTAATTCAACTTGATGAATGTTGGGGTTGTCACGATGCTGTCAACTACCTTGAAAGAGAGGGCGTTCGTGAAAATTTGGCTAGTAAAAGGGAAGTGATTGAGAATTTAAAAAAGATGGGCGGGTTAGCTCGGGTTGTAAAATTTGGCTCAGTAAGCAAAGATAGAGAAGGGGAGCTGTTTGCAATAGATGCAAGGCCATTGAAAAACGGACTGAACAGCGGGTTTTATGGAATAAGAAGTCTTCCAGGTAAAACATTCTTTTCGGAGCCGGGTGATTCGGGTTCCTTGGTGTGTATGAAATGTAAAGATGGCAGAAAGGTGCCCTTCGCTTACCTCAGCAACACACGATTGTTTATTACTGTCCTAATTTGAAACAGAGTCTGGAAGCACTGGATCCTGGTTTGGAACCTTGTTTAGGTAGATGTGGCTTTGATAAACTTTCACTTGTGTGAATGATATGCATGCATATACCAAGCATATTTTAAGGATGGTAAGCTGGCTATTTGGACTAATTCAAAGTTGAAACTTTTTTGTATCGAGAAACATTTAGAGGTAACGGTAACTGGGAACATATGATATATTATTCTGTACTTGCTTCATTTTCATTTCACTATATATATATATTATATATATAGAATATATATATATATATATATATATATATATATATATATATATATATTGCACTATTACGCAGAGCAAACAATTTGAATTACATTCTATAGTTCAGCAAATGAAAAATAATATGTAAAGATGTGATGTTATGTGATGTACATAAGATGTGATGCTAAGTAATTGTATAACGAAAGTAGCAATTGAATGTGTAACATAATGTGTAATTGCATGTAAGTATTTAAACAAATAGATAACATTGAACCGTTGTCTGTTCAGTTATAGATACACGAATATTACAGTTATACACGTCATTTGTCATGCATAAGAACAAAACAAAGTGGCCACGAGCCGTACGGGGCGAGTGGTCACTTTTGCTCTTTTCGCAAATTGTCGAGCCTATTATGTAAACCAAGCTTCTTTCAAGCCTTTTATTTAATCATCCGTATCAATCAGTCATAAAGTTTATTCGGAAAATTCGGCATGGATTACAATCCACCATCCTTTGCACACTCAGGGTTTCAGCTTAAATTCAGACTTTATCATATATAAATATCCGGATTTTTTCCCCATGCACGCGCAGTTCCACATTTTACGAAAAACTAGAGCTATATATATATTGTTTTGTCAGTGTTCTTGGCCGTTAAATAGAAATTACGATTCTACCCCTACGTTATTACGCCTACGCATCCGGCGTCCGCTTGTATCTGTTGACGCGTAATAGCATGGTGTGTTTTATCAAGGAAATTCATGGTGTGAAGGTATATAGCATTAACAATAGATAGATCGTCCCTGCTATGCACTGTTTCCATGACGAAAACATCTTTTATCTATATCACGATGTGACGTCATTCTTTTTCGCGACCAAATTGTATTTGTTCTCTACCAAATTATATTTCTTATACGTGGATACTTCCTTGATCCAGAACAGTGGAGAATTCACAATTCTTACTTGCATTCTCTGACGTGAATACAAAAAGCAAAGGATTTTCGTAATTTTCGTAAAAGGTATGTCGCACCATGATACTTCCAAAGTACTCGGAAATTTACAGAATCATGCAGGCATCTAGTTAGCAAACACAATTTGCTTTTGACGTTCATACTTGTAAGAAAAGCAAATGACATTTTTCAACTGTAATGAGTAATTTTCAAAAGGTTTCAAGGCTTATATGAAAGTCAAATTGTATCAAATTAACAGAAGAAATAAATTCTTACAAAATATAGCTTTTCACTTCTGTTGATTGTTTTAGCTATACTTTCGTTTTGGTCGCTTGACAACCCTGCAGGTGTGAAGCATTGGTTACTTGTTTCTTATTAAATTAAAGCGCTTATACAACTCAAAAGAAAACTAGGTGTAGGTTACATATTGTATATAGAACATGCATGCATGTGGGCCGGTTTTTGCAGCATTTTACAAAATAGATATTATTGATTTAGTAGTTTACTGTCAAATTAAATAAATTAGGAATATAAAATAATGTCTGCATGGGAGCTAGAGGTCAAAACAATTTCAAAGAAATGTTTTACACGTTTTTTTAAGCAAACACGGCGATTCGAAAGTCAAACTTTCTAACAGGTTCTGATATACAAATATATAATGCAATCATACGCGCGTTAACAACAATGATCAATTAGAAACGAAATAAAATTCCGTCATTTGAAACGCCGTTTGTAAAGAATGAAAAGGAAATCATAACAATGTCGTTTTATACTTTATTTTATTTATACTCTTCGCCATGTTTGGCTGGTGAGTCCCACAACGTTTTAACTCCAGTTAAATATGTTTTGAAAAAGATTTCAATCCAAGTATTATACGTTATGCATGGGCCAATGCTAAATTAAATTACCGTATCACAATAATAGAATGTAGGTATATTGATGAATAACACTCTTTGAGGGCAGCTATTTTGCATTTCTAAAACGGGTACAGAAAAAATCATAACAATATGAAAAGTTGCATGAAGTCATGTTGTGCAAAAAAAGTATTGCATTCCCAGGAGGCCAAGAGCAACATAACAAAATAAGACCACAAATAATGTTCTTCACAATTTTCGCCATGTACATAATTATAAAGTTGTCTCATGTACTTATATAACCATCTCTCTTTATACATCCAGATCAACAAAATCCTTGATACGTCTCGGTGGATTCCCCGAAATGGGTAAGAAAGGAACCTATAACTTGATGCAAAAGCGGTTGCGTTGGAAATCGAAAAATAAATGCAGATATGAAGAAGACTATCTCATAGAAATTATACAGATCTACATTTGTGCATTTTGTAATTCTGGGGGAGGGATGTTGTCTATTTCTTTAGACAAAATCCATTTCACGCAATCCGAGAGAATGAATTACGCTGATATTATCAAGACTCGGGTGTATGAAACGCAGCGAGACAAAATCAAGGCAGATTTCTCCGACCTGAGCAGCATTGGGCTAGTGATAAAAGGTAGTCAGGAAATTGTCACAATGAAATACAACATGTTCATCTTGAAAGATGGAGAGGCGAAAGTCGTTCAATCTGACAAAGTACTTAAATCTCTTTTGAGTGGTCCACAGCTATCCGCGTTAGTACTATCGAAGTCCGATCACGTCAAAGGCGATTCATCCCGTCAATCTATGGTAACTTCCAGCCTTGTCAAAAGCAACCCATTCCGCGCACGCGCACCTGCTTCTTCGTCTTCATCCGATCTTATTAGAGGCTATCGTTTCCCTGTACCAGCTGGAATAGAACCTAAGTTTAAATTGCTAGAAGGCGATGTGGCTCATTGTATAACTTTCCCAAAAAACGAACTCAAAAAATATGTGTCAGCCTTTGCAAATTCTCGTGGTGGAGAGTTATATTATGGTGTTACTTCTGAGGGAGTTATTCGTGGAGTAATAATTTCAATGCACGAAATAGAAGAAATTAGGAAAAGAGTTGCTAAGGAAATCTCGTCCCTGATTTGGCCAAGACATGTCGGAAGTATACAACAATTTTGGGAAATTACTTTCCGGCATGTCAAAGACACTAAAGCAGCAAGCGTAAAATATAAACATTCTTTTTATCCCAACCTTTATGTCATAACAATCATCGTCTACCCTTGCCAGGGTGGTGTGTTCGTTGAGGATCCCCTTAGTTTTCACGTTGTTGAAAATGAAGTTCGGAACCTGACCTTTTCCAATTGGTTTGCACGCATGCAAAATCTATCTACAGAAGAGGTTGACAGGACAGTTACATGCGTAAAACTGGAAGGTATATAAGATAAAAAAATAAGAACGCTTCTTTAACCTATCTTCGCAGAAAATCTAACTCATGCATGAATGCCATACAAATCTATCCAGACTTTCACTATACCCATGCACATATAATTATAGCTGTATACCTCTTTTCAAACTTGCCTCATGTCGTTGTATTTAATATTTTTAGCAACTGGAAATGCTTCAGGCAGATGCTATACTCAGATGTCGCTGAAAAGGTAACAATGTTTTCCTGTGCATTTTATACGCACATATACAAGTATATGCAGGAAAAAGTTTCAATTTGTTTAAATTACCATGCAATTTTGTAGCGTTTTTTAGGTTTACGCATTTTTTGAGTTTTCAATTTGTTAAACTTATGTTAAGGTTGAAAAGTATTTGTACTGGTGTGCATGGATACATGTATGTATACATGCAAGAATTGCGTAATTCAACCTGAGAGAGGTTTGTCTAAATTCAAATTTTAGGTTAGATTGGGTCGAAAATGTTAACTTTGTTGATGTGAACGAGAGATGGAATAAACGACAGTTAGAAATTGTCTACAAATACAGCAAAAAACCTCGCACCGAGGAGATTGTGGACTTTGTTGGACAGGAATCACCGCCTTTCGTTGTTTTTCGGGAAGGTGAGAAATTTCAATATGTTCTTTACATAGTTTTCTATAGAAAATCAAATTCATTACGTACGGAGAGAATTCAAAAAGGTTGTTCTACGAAATTCGGGCATCTTGGACATAAGGAATACTTAATGCTTGTTTGTTTGATGTCACATGTTGTTGTCCTACTAGGGTCAAAAGATGAATGGTTTGAAAAAAATATTCTTGACATGAATTATGATATGAAACAGGTTTATGTGAATAAATTGAAAAGTGAAAGGTAAGAATGTAGGCTACCTTTAGAAATCATATATACCAAACGTCTGTCTTCATGAAATTAAATTTTAACAGCTAGCTATATATTTTTAAAATTTTTTTTATACATCTTCCAAGACGATTTTGTTTTGTTATGCTTTAATCATTTCTCACATTTCTATCGGGAGACATTTTGAAAAGCAAATCCATAGTTCGTTAAGGCATGTGTAAAATTGGAACTTTTGCATTGAAACCATTCATAATTTCAAGAAAGTTGATTTAATACACGCTGGTTACCTTGTGTTTATATCAAAAAATTTTTACTAGAAAAAATTCTCGTTTAGGTTTGAGTGGATTGAAGATTTCAAAATTGTTGATACACCCGAGGAACGTTACAAACATAGTTTAGAAGTTATCTGTAAACTAGGCAAAGTACCTTGTACTGCAGATATTGAGCAATTGTTTGGCGAAGATATACTTCCATTTGTTTCTTACAAGGAGTGTAAGTTTAAATATTTTCATTGTTGCTATATATAATTACCTCTGCCCATTAATTATATCTAAGGCTAAATAAACCTAAATTCTAACACCCGCGATTATTTGCTCTAGAAGCGTGTTTCTCATTTACTATTTGTCTTTTTAAGTGCTATCTAAAACACGAGAAGGAGCTTTTTATCATATTTACCGGGAGAGAGGCGGTTGTAAAAAACGTACCTAAACGGATGCCTAATATGCGTTTACGTCATTTACATACAGTATGTCGCAACGAATGCATTAAAGCCTGCCCTATTTGCTATAAGTTTTCTCCAAGTATAATACAAATGCTAATTAGGATGAAAATTATATAAAGAATACTAATGAACATGACAAATTATATAATGTGCCATTATATAATTATATAACTAGCATTCATGGTACTTTACCACGTATAGAGCTAACACATGTGAGTAATGTGACTTCGTAGGGTTGATTTCATTGGCTAAAATGCTTACGAATTATTAATCCCTATCATTGCCAAATCCCTCTTGCACTAATCAGAATAGAATCCAATAGTTTACTCCTGTAAAACCAAAATCCTATTTTTTACGTTTAACTGCAAACAAAACATCGAAATGGGTGGGAATAATTTGTAAGAAGAATTCCCGATCTAACATCAATTTACATTGCTTATTTAGCTACAGATAGCAGAAAGTCGTTTGAAAAAATTATATTTGATGGAAACAACATCGTAAAAGAAACGTACAAGAAAAAACTGGAGGGGTAAGACACTGTTTGAGCAGTATATTTTGTGAATTTTAACCTTGTGAGCAGCATATTCATGCTTTCATAAAGATATATTGAATTATAAAACAGCAAGAGAAGAGGAAACTTCTGGCGTTGTATTATAAACATCCCTAAAAATTAACCCTAACTACAACCCCAATAATAATCTACCACAAAACGAAATGGATTAGGAAGTAAGTGCTAGTACTAGTACTTTAAAACAATGGAAATTACGAAGGACTATACTAATACAGAGAGTAACACGACAACTTTTGACAGCTACTATAAAGAGCATGTGAAATAAGAAACCTACAGAAGCACTGCATGTGTTAAAGTTTAAAACCACCCCTTACGAAATCATAATTTAGTATAGAAATGTACTTTACAACACACAGTGTTTCACACATAAAGGGTTATTTAACAAAAAGCGGATTAGTTGCAACTCAAACTTATAGTGTTTGCGGGTATATAGTCAAGTACCACCACATATAGCGTTATTGCTACAAAACGACCAGGCATCCACGTAGCTATATAATTAGCCTGTAGTATGTGGTACACGAATCATTCCTTTTTCACAATAATAACCTTTTGCTTTTTTTCTTGTAAATCCTTGCAATAGGTTGGTTTCCAAATTATTCTTCACTATTATTCTCGGTACCCAGTACAATAGCTAGTTACATACCTTACAGGTTGGAATGGGTTAAAAGTTTTCAACTCGCCGGGGAATCCGATGATCGCCACTTGGAAATCGTTTACAAATTTGGCAACGCACCTCAAGTTCCGGACATCGTAAATATTTTTCCAGAAAACATTCTTCCTTTCGTTAGATATCGGGAAGGTTCGTTTTTACGCTATTTGCATTGCTTCATACTGTCGTAGGTCCAAAAACTATTCAAACGTTTTCATTTATATTAACCAATAGAATCAAAAGATGAATGGTTTGAAGAAAACGTGCTTGATGAGAATTATGACATGAAAGAGATTTATGTACATGAGTTGATAAGTGAAAGGTAAAATTTACTTCATTAAAGAGCCCGAATCAATTTGACAATGAAAAAATGCGTGTCCTGAACTCTATATTAAGCATTACTTCTGAATTTGAAAGCAAGGAGCTTCTCAAAACTGGGCCATCGAACAATCAAAACCCTGATTTTGAGTTAAGCGTTCCAAATCTTCACGTAGAAGGGCACAACTATAATCATAATCTATTAAAAAAATTTTTGGTGAATAGCATGGTAACCCTTTTCTCCCAAGTCCTTCTACCACCTCGTAAAAACCGCGGAGAAAAGGGAAAGGGTTGCTTTGGTCCACTCAATAATCTTTCTGCAGGAAGCATTTTGTAAGAAACCATAATCATATATGAATCATATACAACAATATTAAAACCTCTGAATACCAAATTAGAACGATTAACATACTCATTCACTGTGTTTATGTGATTTTCAGATTCCCTTGGGTTAAAGATTTCTATATCAGTGTCACAAGTGATCCTGAGAGTTCCTGGCAAATATTCATCACCTACGCTCGAAACACGATGCCTTCCATGAAAGACCTAAAAAAACTCTTTGGTGTTAAAATTGCCTCGTTTGTTGATTTTATCCCAGAAAGTGACGCGAGCGATAAGAAGCCACTAACTTCCTCTTGTTTTCTTCGAGCACCTAGTTCAGGTGATTCCCTCTACGTTCAAAATGAAGAACGTGGAACAATAGGAATCCTTGCCACTCGGATATCAGACACACATGACCACTACGCAGTCACCTGCTATCATGTCTGCTACTGCCAGAGCGAATTACCCGAATTCATACACGATGCACACGACACACTAAAGGAGGACTGCGGCTCAAACGCATCACTTGGTTGTTTTGCTACCAAGTGCCATTATATTAACAAAGATACAGAATTAGGAAATTTTGGATGTGGCTTGTACGACGACAAAAATGATATCGCCCTTATCGAGCTTGCACCAGGGCTAACCTGCAATGAGGCCACTACTCTTCTTAAAGATGGAGTTGAATCAAAACTGCTTGGTAAAAAAGAAGTCGGAGAAATATATAAGGAGTACAAGAAAAAGGGTGAGGACATATTCCCCAAAGTAAAAAAAATTGGTTCGGTAACTAAAGAAACAGAAGGAATACTCTATGCAATAAGTGGAGCACCAAAATCAAATGGTATGAACAATGGTTTTTATAGAATTCGAGGAACTGGTGAAAACGACTTTGCCGAGAAAGGGGATTCGGGCTCTTTGGTTTACATCGTAGATAAAGGTAAAAATTTTCCATTTGCTATTGTAAGCAATAAAGACCCTGACGATGATGTCTACTATTGTCCAAATCTACTTCAGAGCATAGAGGCGTTAGGTAAAGAGTATCATTCGATAAGGATTCAACCTTGTTTAAACCAATGTGGTCGTACTAATCCATGATATCTCGTGTCGACATGATATTGATTCAACAGAGAAACAGGACTAAGAAATCACCTCAAGTTTATTGATGTCTTGGACTTTTCCTATGATAGAACTTCCACCGTCGTATGCATATTTATTGTATCACAACTATAGTCTTAGTCTTCAAAGAAGCCCTACACAATGCTATTATTTAACGCTACAAACAATGGCGAACTGGCCTAATTTTAATTAATAAAGTAAACTTGTTGGCACGTTCACACGAGCAAATAAAACATTTCAAAGGAAGATGCCACATTTTGCTTGTCAAGTTCGGCCCGTGTTTACAGTTATAGAAACACGCTTCTTGACCAATCAACACGCGCGTACTATAAATGTTATATTATGAAACAAGTTTCAAAAATTTTCCCGCCATTTTTATTGCTATGGTTGTGAAAATACAAATGGTCTTTGATTCGTATACAAAATAAAATTAACGTTGGAAATACAAACTAAAACACTTAAAAGACATCCTTAGATAAGTAAAATTTATTCTACTTTAATGTTTAGGTTATAATTTATTATTATAAGATATTCGCTTTTATAATGGTCTTCCGCGGCTTATTTATTTGTCGTCTTTGTGTGTACTTTTTTCACTCTGATTTTAGTCCATAAACAGAAATTACACGGTTCGCTTGAAGACATGGATTTCATGTTCTCGTGTCTTGTTACTGCTGTGAGTTAGATAAGCTCTGTAATTGCTGTAATTTTACACACTAGCATTTAATGTTTAGATGTTTTCAAACAAGAAAAAAATTACAAAAACTTTTATGCGTCAAAGTCAATCTTTATTCTCCTTGCATGACTACATCACATTGCATTACTTATCCAGCTTTTGAAATGTACAATATCAGCATATACCCCATAATACCCCTCTCTAGCACAGCCAATCCCCCAGCTTACAGCGCCCATCAGATGCCACCTTCTGTTCACACTGCACACCAATGGTCCCCCGCTGTCCCCTTGACACGAATCAATCTTCCCAGTGTGGTAGCCAGCACAGAGCATGCTCGATGTGAGGGAACCATAAACATAACCACAGCTTTGTTTACTAACGAGAGGTACTTTAGCCTGTTGCAGGATCGCTGGGCCGTGACCATCTTCCTTCAAGGCGCCCCAGCCTGTCACCCAGCATTGCGTGCCCGCAGGCAGGTTAGATGAAGGCAGGCAGACGGGTAGGGCCCGACTATTGTACTTGATGGGGGTTTCCAACTTCAGCAACGCTATATCGTTATCCTGACTGTTGGGATCGTAGTCATCATGAATTATTAGCCTCTCGATTGGAACGACCTGTTCGTATCTACTGCTGTATCGCAAGTCATGATCACCTTAAATAAGACATCAAAACTACTTTCGAATCTCACTAAAATATTAGGACATATAACAACACATTTTTTTCAGGTCGTTTTTTATAATAAGAAAATATAAAGAAATTGCAAAGGGTAACTACTCCGGAAACACAATCACTCTTTGAATCCATATAACAGAAGTTAACTTATGTATTCGCTTTAAACTAGCAAGATGGTTTGGAAGGATCCTCATCTTTTAAAACAGCAATAAATGTTTAAACTAGTTTTCTATTATAAGTATAAAACACAATCCTTTGAACTTCCCGGGGTGCAACTTAAATTGTGCTGATTCATCTTATGTTGCTCTCAATAGCTTCAACATGTCAAACTGAATCCCCTATGAGACCAGAATATTTTAAAATGGCACTAATATTGAAATAACTTTGCTATCAGTTTAATGTTAAAACGAATCCTGAGTTTTAGCTTCGATGTTTGAGGTTAAATATCGGACGATTATTTTGACAACTGCATGTCAAAATCGCCCCTTTTCAAAGTTCACCATGTCGTGAATTATATTATCTTAATTGTTGTCTTATTTAGTTTGTGAGAATGAAATATATAAAAAGAACAAAAAGAACGATACATGAACATAATCTTGGCCACATACCAACGGTGATTTTGTAGTTTGCCGTATTTCGATCGTCATGGAAACAATGCGCAGCGCTGACAATCCATTCATTATCAATGATCGACCCCCCGCACCAGTGTCCTCCTTTGTAAAACACGCTGACCTGCCATGGCCACTGTCCCGAAAGTGCATTGCTCCCGCCGACAATACGAGACGAGGAGGTCATGGTTAAACCGCAGGCATTATTTGCTATGAGGGAAATTAGAAACAAGGATGGGCTTTCAGATCTTGCTTTGGGGAAGGCGACGGGGAAGAGCCTGAAGTAATGGAAGTGGAATCTTCCCCCGATTGTTCTGGACGTTTGGGAATAGAGTCTGTTGTATTTACATGCATCCAATATAAAAGTTGAAGTGTGGAAGCAAACACAGAGTACCTAAGAAAGATTTTGAAAGACCAGACCCGTCACTGATCCACGTATTACAATCAAACACGCTGCCAGTATTTTCACCATCGTATTTTACCTCTACCTAGCGGTATGAGAAAAATTCTCAGAAATCTAAAATCACTATGTATGGAATTGCATGGAATTTGTTTAAAAGCAGGAAAAGCAGAATAAACAGGATAGAAAATGAATTATCGAGCAAGAGAAGATGAACCTGTTTCAAATACCAGCCTGCACCCCACCCTGAATTATCATGTTCAACTCTGATTCTGGTCACTGGTCCAATATCCGGGATATCAACAACAAAAACATCAACACTGAAATGAACAAAAACACCCCAAAATGACCATTGGATACACGTACGGAAGCAGTGTCATAGCGATTTTGAAGTTGGCATCAACCACGGAAATATCAAACTCGAGGTCACTTACTCGTTTTTTTCAAAGATATCTTCGTCTGAACTTAGAGATAATCTGGATGAACTACCAGAGTAACCGTACAATGTTATAAAAACGTTTGCATCGGTCCCTGCATAGGATTTTGAGCCAGTTTCAACCGTGATTTTGCACTTTATCGCTAAAAATATTCACAGTATTCTTTGGTTAATAGCTATACGCATTTATCAAAACAAAACACAATAAATATCTTAAAGACTATATTGTATTTGTCGATGAAAAAATGCTTTTTAAGGTCTTTAGCAATGATCTTAAAATTTTGATTGTATTTCATGTTTATTCTCAAAGAGACGGAGATGCAAAAAAAGTAGAGAAAAATATAAAACGTCACTTACCATTACTCAAAACAACGGCTGCTAATAAACACACTAGAGTCAAAGAATTCATGGCGGTTCTCACTTCAAGAAAGTTTTCACGTAAAATGGACAATGCTGCTACCAGCAAACTTCATAAAAGCGAGCTTCAAAGACGAATGTACGTCAGGCCTATTACCATTCATAAAAGATCATTGTCGTTTCCATTATCGGCGTATTGAATCAGGTTGAAGAGGTCATTTATATGACAAAACTATTCATATATATTTGTTTATACAGCAGACTACATGTTTAGAATAAAGCTTGCGCAACATTAGAGCATTATATTTATATCAAAACGATTTCGGCAACGCGCTGAATTATACACAGTATGATTGACGATTTAACAGCAAGCAAACTATTGAAAAATGCATCACCAAATTATTCGAAATTACTGACAAAATTCCATAAATTTTCAAAAATGTTCTTAAAATTATATTTTAGAATGTCAAAAAGCATCGAGTTTAATTTGAAAAAACTTTATATTTTAAAGATTATAATTATCGGTGGTCATTTACCATTCACTAAGTAATGCCTATATGATATATCTTTTCAAAAATAACTGTATAATTTAGACGAATTATTGTGGACATTATAACGAAGCACATGGGTGCCTATGCAGCTGAATGATACTAAAAAATATCACTGTCCAACTAACTAGCGTCCCCCCCCCCGGTGTTTCTATAGCGCTTCATTTTGCTATGAGTTCAGTGGTTTGAAGCTTTAAACTCATTTACTATAAATACACTTTCTTTAAATGGCCCGTTTAATACAATAAGTTGCAACTTTAAAAAAAAATTCGATGAGAATTGTTGATAAGTTCTGCATGTGAAGGCGGCTTTGTATCTTTTGAACTTAGTAGATATTTATATAACCTGTTCCTAAAAATAAACGAACGATCTCACATTCAAATTACTTTTAGATTCTGTTGAAAAATATAATTATTACAAAACAATGCTTTATTTGCAAAATCGAAAATTTAAATATTAAAAAAAATGTAGTGTGTGTGTTAGATTTGTCGGTTGGATTGCTGACTTGCCGACGTGATATTTATCTTGAAAATCAAATCTTACACTCTACTTTACCCAAGACAAGAAATCTCTTATTAGCACTTTGGTAAATTATTGGAAACATAAGTTCAGTGCCAATAGTGGTGAGATTTTATTCGATAAGGTAGATCAATTCACCCACTATTTAGAACCGAAATTATTCACATGGTAGCAGGGAACGGCATTTATTTGGTCAGTTATTTGACTGACTGACTCACACCGCTGCCAGTGGTCTTGAAGAGCACCCTCTCACAAATATGCCCTTCGAAATCGCACATAAAACGGTGAGCCCATTGAAGTAATACAAATGGGCACGAAAACAAAAGGCTATAGCCCTATACTTTAGAGAACGCTTGTAACTAGAAGAATTTGCGGCAAAATATCCGTAAAAGAAAGTTAAGAAAGAGCGCAAAGACGCGAAGCGTGTCGGGCATGCTGACCCGGAACAAAGTGCAAGTGATGAGAACCGATTCATTATGGCACCTCTTATATGAAGTACGCCGCTCTAAAAAGTAAAATGGCGGCCAAAGATGAAAATAAACGAACAATCGAGAGATGTAAACGTTTTACCGAAAGAGTGAACGTTAATATCACGGAAGCTGGGAAACTAGCTCAGCAGATGATAAAAGCATCTGGATCTCCCGATGTAGGTCGAAATATCACCGTATTTATAACATATTTAAATGGCAATTCACACTAAAAACAAACATCAATTTAATCATCAATTTGATGATCTATTGATGTTAAAATCAATGCTTTTGTTATTGTAATAACTTAAATAACAAAATACCTGGCATCCAACATGAAACTTGACCACGATTGACCAATTATTTCTGCACAGCCACCATTATAACTTGCACTTTTTGGCTTGAATATATATCACAATGATACATCTGAATGCTTGAAATATTGAACCAAATCGTTTCTTATTCATACTTTATTGATTCTAATCGAATCTCCACTTATTTTAGTGTTTGATTTTCTAGATTTTATCACAAAGCACCAGAAGATTTGTTCACAACGAGAATGCTATAAAATCAACTGAAGAAGTAATTTTATGGAATCTATTTAGCTGATTTGAATAAATTATTCATACTTTGTATATGATTAAGTTTAGTGCTTGAGCTCTTACCCTAAATTTGCTCCGGTTGCGAGCGCGAATGGTGAAATATTTTAATATTTTCATTAGAATATCAGGAAAATGAGAAACTTAGTTGGACAGATGGACGCGCAGTGAGTATTTCCCGATGAAAAATTTAATCGGTTTTTACCGGAGAATTAACAGTAATATATGCTCATATTAATAAGAATTTAATCGCATTTTTATGCGATAAATGTGCATAGCAATTTGAAAAAATAGGCGATTCTTAAGGCCCTGTTACACGGTGCAATTTTTCTTGCAATGCAATTCTTCTTTTAAGAGATGTAATTTAGTAAAGTGTCTTCAAAATGTTAGGAGTGTAATGAAGGCAAAGGTTTGGTAGTTGCCAAATTTACATTTTTCAAAAGAAGAATTGCGTTGCAAGTTGCAGGACTGAATTGCACCGTGTAACAGGGCCTTTAAACGAATTTGTTTAATTTGACTACAAAAAATTCTATTAAACTAAAATTCAGTTTGTCAAAGCGGTCAACTTTTACATTATTTTGCCCACAGGTACGACGAGATTCATCAACGGTACGTTCCCGCCGCGGAAAAACTCCAAAACTTTCAAATTTTGACGAGTAATCTTATGAAGAAGTAATCCGAATAGAAAGATGATCTAGTTATTGTTATTTTTAGGTTAGAGTTGATTGCAAAAATTGATCACCAGATGCATTCGACGCCTGCGAATTAAATGGGCCAATTTATATGTGATTAATAGATTGTATTATTTTTGTAAATCGGTAAATTATAAAGCTGTATATATGTTTCATAATAAAACCTTCGGCTATATTTTGTATTGTTTTCCTGTTAAAATGGCGGAGATGGGACTACGAGTTTCAAGCATGTTAACGTTAATATCATGGCTCAATTTATCGGAGAAAATGTATCGAAATTGAGACTTTTGGGTATTAGGTGTACTCAAATCTAAGATTTAGTGACCCAAACAGCTAAAGCTCGTTTTGTTAGAGCTATAGATATTAATAAGATTACTAGTCATTGTGATTGAGTCTAGATTGAGATTTCTAGTCGTTGCAAATAGCTTATTAAACCGGACATAATTCACGTGTATGTTTTATATTTCTTTATTAATTTGTTCGGATACCCAGCATGCATTTCACGTAAAGTACATTAAATACAATTTACACGATACTCTGTTTTATACACATTTATACACACAGGCAGAACTGTACAAAAACTTCAGTTGAATTCAACAAGAACCTACCATAATGACGTCAAAAGTGAGATGCACACATCACAAGATGTTTAATTGGCTCCGCAAAATTAACGAGCCAATCAAACGTCGTTTAGCACCATCCCGTTTGTCGTCATTATGAGAAAGGTCTATTCTAGGTATTTTTTGAACGATTTTTCAGGCAAATATTCATGAGTTTTTTTTCCATACTCTAAAAACTTGATATTGTTTTATATCCAGAAGCAATCAATCACGAAAGCATGTTACTAAAGAATAGCTGCAGACTTCAATAATTTAACTGTATCCTCTATTCCGCATATCTAAATCCCAATCACACAAGCATCTTGGACTATTATTTATATCACAGCCACTACTACCTGGCCTCGTTAAAGGCTTCTTTCTTTACTTTTAACGAACGAGTGGTCAATTGCAACAATTTAGGAGTTATCCTATTGAAAAATTCACGCAATTTGAAGCTCAAATGTATCGAATTTAAACGCCTGACACTCAAGACCTTATATCACACAACAATTCAGGATGTGCCTACTGCCTGCCTTGAATTCAATATTTACACAGCAATCGTTTTCAGAAGGAACGTCTCATAATTGAGATCGAAATACAAAAACCCGTAGATAAATTAGGGGGAACACTGTAGTTTGCAATAAGCATAGCGATTGTATGTCTGTACATAATGGTTATAAATTTTCTAATTTCTAATATTTTTCTCAAAGCTACACACACTTTAACAATGGACTCCCGTGAGCGCTGGGACTAGTCTTTCTTGGATTATCATCCGACGACTGGCTATCCCAGACTCTCTTTTCGACGTTGCTACCCGACGTTGTTACCCCGGGGGATGCGACCCGACGGTAAAGTTCACGCCCGTGATCGTCCAGTCTTTCGAGGTAGCGAATGTTCGTTTCTTCCCTTTGCAATCCAGCGAGGTTTCTCGTGGACATCCTTGACAAAGCGTAGTCTGAAGTGACGTTCTCGAATTTGCTAAATACATTTCGCTTGAAACAGACTGAGCTGTCGTCGACTCGCCGTTTGTTTTACATGAGTTCAGAGAACTTGGAAACGAAACTTGCTCATATATGTGGGGATTTTCTGAGCCCGCATTTGCATCAACGGCTATGCCGCTGTGGTTTTTTTGAGCATATCTCTGCATCTCTTGATAAATACTGGTATGCTCAGGGTACGGTTGAAATAAACTCTGGGGCTGGTATTCGTCCACGTATTGTTTTTCGAGATTCTTGCGTTGTTTCCGACAACACATGACAAGAACGACGATGAAAATCATTGCTACGACGATGGTAGCCGTCAAAATAGCGACAAGCGTGATTGAAATTCCTTCTTCAGAATCAACTCTTTCACCTTCCTGGGAAGAGGTCCCATGGGGTGGCTTTTGCGTCGCTGGTAAGAAGAATCGATTTTCATTCTGATCTTCGTCTAAATGTAAGTTTTTGTAAAACATTAGTATACGAAGAGAGAATAGACAACGTTCTACCAAGGACAACGTTACAAACAAATGACTACATCACAGATGATTTGGTACGCTGGGGCTGGTTGAATGAGATGATAAATTTTTAGGTATAATGTTAGTACAATATTCCACCATCAAATTTCACCAAATTCGTGTTGCTTTTTCAAGGCATAATAAAATAAGCAAGTTTAAGTAACTTTCTCAGGCAATATTCAATGAGATATCTTAGTAGATTCTCACCTGTTTCGGCGCTTTTCTTCACTCGAAGAAAGAAATCCATTTTATCTTTACCGTGATTGTTCTTTACCAAACAACTGTACCTTCCCTCGTCTTTTTCTTCCACATTTTTTATAACCAAAAAGCCATCGTAATAGAAAAGATTGAGACTGGTTTCGTAATGGCACGAAGCATTCCCGATGTATTTTGAACCAAATTCTTTCAAGGGTTTCAAATCAACCGTCTTATTGCCATTTTCACGGGACCATCTCCAGTCAAAAGTAACTTCACCCACACTGGAAACTTTACAGAAGAATTTTACCGAAAGGCCCCGTGAAACCGCACGCATTTTTTCCTCAGGCTCTTCTATAACTGGTTTCATACTCCGTTCTAAAAATAAAGAGAAATTGGAGTTCGTCAGGCGGTCGCAAAACCTAGAAACTTAGCAACACTTTGGCAACAACAGCAAAAACAACAGCGACTAGTAAAACTCGAGGAACACCCGAGCAACATCCGAGGAAAACCCGAGCAACATCCGAGGAAAACCCGAGCAACATCCGAGGAAAACCCGAGCAATGTTGACATACTGTACCTTTTACTATGACTGTAAAATTTCGGATTATATAGCCAACGTTGTTGCTGACCCTACAAGAATACAAGCCGGTGTCGTCTGTCTTCAAATATCTCAAATTGAGCGTCCATCCGTCAGCCGCGACACTTGTTCTTCTATTCACACCATACGGAACGCCATCCTTAAACCATTTCACATTGGGATCAGGGTCTCCTGTGCTGTGACATGGCAGCTTAGCCGTTTCGCCTGTTTTATAATTCTTTTTTATCTTCAGCTTTTCTTTGAACCGCGGAGGTTTTCCTGGGAAAATTCAAGGTGGTGAATATATGAATATTTGAATTGAGTTCACAGGATTTTAAAAGCTTTAAATCATTGATTAAAAAGCATGGAATAAGTATATTGTGCATAAAGCGAAAGCTGGTAATATTGATACTGTATCAAAATACACACACAAATTTGGTCCATAAGATATTTGCATATCGTTTTTCTCAAATGTCAAACTTTTTTAAGAGAAACGAGCAAGTTTTAAAGAAACTGTAAAAATTAACAACGATTGCAACTTACAAGTATGGAAAAACGGAATAGATATTGATTGAAATAATAAAATATATATATAACAAACTCTCACCTCGTCCAGGTTTTTTGACACCTAAAGAAATAAAAAAATCGATGATATAGTTTAATAAGTGGTTTACAAGTAATAAAGTGAATTTCATTCAAGTCCATACGTAAACAAACGGTTTGGTCACATTTTGAACTTCTATACTTTTTGAAATACGTTGTGTTGTCTGAATATCTTATAAAATTTAGGTTTGCTATGCCTTTAAATGAGTATCGTTAAATGAGTATGAATACAACTTGATTGGCGAATTCTGTTCTTAACTACAGTTAAAATTAAACTAGTCTTTTAGGCGCCAGAATTTTAGTGCTTAATTTCTAAAAACTCACTTTTAACATTCAGCACAATAACCAACTCAATTTTCCCGTGCATATTATAAGCATTACACTTGTAAATTCCAGCATCCTCTTTTTTGATACCGGTAATTTTCAGGCGCTTCGGTCTATCCATCATAAATCTTGACTTATATTTTTCATCTCCGCTTTGAATCATCTCGTTTCCTTTGTACCAGATGACGAAAGTCTTTTTCGTATTCGGGCCATTTGTCCCAGTGGCCGGACACTTTAACTTGACCGAGCCCCCCAAGTACGCACTATAATTCGTCTTTGGCGTGCCACGAAACCTGGGCTCACCTGCGAAATTCGAAAGAAGAATTGGTTTGGATACCATTACAGATTTTTAAAATTTCCAGTATTAGCTAAATCTGGACAACAAGACACATCACAGTTTCAAAGCTAGATGTCAAAGTTTGGTTGGAACTTGTGTAAAATGTGGAAGCACATATATAGCCCATCATATTTTAAAAATTATTTTTTTAAAAAGATTTTCTTATTTCAGTTTTCAGTATGGTTTTAAAGATCAATCTTTAGAGCTTTGATCTACGCCATAAACTCAATAGTACAACGAGAAAGAATGTCTTTGAACGAGTGAAAATGCATGCCTTCGGTTCATCCCATCATCAAAAGTTGATTATACTGCTGACGTAAGTAGTTACATCACAGTTAAACTCACTGAGTGTAGCACAAGAGAAAATTTAATTGCAATTTCCTTTTGGCGTGAAAATCACCTTATGTTTTCTAGAAAATCGCTATAACAACCACTTGTAACTTTAAGATTAACATTTCTTCACAAGGAAAAGCGAGTTTAGAAACAATCCAGCCACAATATCGGATTCAAAGGATATCTCTCGGCTCCATGAAATGCAATACTATCGCGGATATAACCAAAAAAGGTTACGAGCAAAAACAAAGGGTGCCTTGAGCTGAAACTAATGCGCCGATTATGGCGAATTTTGTAAACGAGACAGCTATTGTATCTTGTGTCAAGAGGATGATATTACTCATTTAAGCATTGTGAGAAAAATTTTATTCCTAATACAAGTTGGTGATGTGATGTCGGTAAAATCGTTGCAGACTTTGCATCATCGATGAAAAATGGCGAGATAAAAGCTCGGGACAGTAGCAAATAACGTCATGCACCGGTATTGCATTGTTTCTGTAAATTGAAAACGTCTCTTGGTTTAACGTGAATAGATCTCAACACAGTCATTTCGTTTCCTGTTTCAAAAACGTCAAACTTGCAGTATCTTTGAAAAAAAGTACCACCCATGCAAGGGATAGTTGGTATTAATTAAAGTTAATTAGTAATTTCAAGATGAAATGAAAATTTCACGATTTTTATATTACGTCGTGAAATGCATTTGAAGTAACCAAAGAAAACATAAACGATTGTGTCGAATTGAATGGCTGCCCGGATATCCTCAGGTCGTTTCTGCAAATGATTTGAGTTAATACTATTGTAGATTTTTTTGTATATCCATAGCTAAAAACACAGACTATAGTCAATTATCTGAGAGCAAAAGTTCAAGTCCTGTTAGGCTCGGGGTGTGGAAATCCCACAGGAAGGAATGGAATTTTTTGCGTGCTCGGAAAAACAAAATATCGTATGTCTTTCTACCTGACGCGCGGGGTCGAAAAACCTTTTATAATATTATTGAACGGAAGTGCTTATACGATCAGGCAAATTGCACCTGAGGAAAACGAATAATCATGTTTTGTCTGGATTCAGTCGAATTTCAACAAATATATATAGGTGACCATGTTTTGATCTAGTCATATCTGAAAATACCATTCCTATTTTATTGCCGAAATATCTCTAAGTGGGTGGAATTAGACAGAAATAATGAACATGTTGATAAGTAAGCTATATTCGCTTAATCTCATATCGTAAGGTAATATATTATTTTGTCATTGATCCAATGATTGCTTCCCTTGTGAAATAAGTACTAAAGCAATATATCCTTAACGCAAAACAGCTGGCAGTGCGGAGTTTAAGTACCTTGATGCTAAATATATAATACATAGATCTCCTCTAAAGATGAAAAAAAAATATAGGAAAAATCGCACAATAATGTTCTCAAATTAAGTCGCCAAATATAAGTCGAAATCGTATCTTATAACTTTATTAAATACGTATTAAATTCAAACCAATTGGCGAAGAAAGTCGTTTTAGGCGCTTTTAATCCGGACTTGCGACATTTTTTTCTGGCTAGGATTTGCTTTTAAAGAGCTACCATATGTTAATTTTGAACAATTATCGCAGTGGAAATTTTGTCAATAGTGTATTTTGAAAAATTTTCACAGCAGGAAATTGTCAGTGCAGTGTGCTTTAGAGATTTCTCACAGCATCAAATTGTAAATAGTGTGTTGCATTGCAAATGATTCTCAGTATAGTGTCAGTATAATTGTATATGTCAGTATATTCTCAGTATAATTGTAAACGATGTATTTTAGAGAGTTCTCACAACATCAAATTGTAAATAGTCTAAAACAATCAATTCTCAAAGCATCAAATTGAATTACTGTCGTTTAACAATGAACAATCGTGACAATTTGATATGGTACAATAGCCAAGCACATTAACGTAAACTCGATATGATGAACTTGCATAAACAGTTTCACGGTGAATCTTCATGGTGCCAGCAAGGCCGGTTATTACACACAGACACCTCGTTAGAAGATTTCCAGCATTACTGGTACTATTGTAAAGGGATTTGTAAAAGCTAGTCGCGCATGTTTCTATTGACACAAGTATGAATATCTGACCTGAATGCATTAGAGTTAAAACACATAACAAAAACATTTTCTATAAAAAAAACTGTTTGCTAACTCAATTAATAATCTTACTGGACACACATCTTCATTATTCTCTAGATTGATTAAAACAACGTTGATCGTAATGACATTTTGACAAATGGGAAATGTTTTGCATCTGATATAAGATCTTTAAAACCAGCAATTAAACAGGTGAAAATGGAGTCACTAATATTACCAGCTTCTGAGCTATATTCTTAAATTTGGTTATTAAGTCCGTGTGCTGCATATAGACATTTTGACAAATCTAAAAGAGTAAAAGCGTTTTGCCTTTTCCTATACACAATCTTAAATTCAATTAGCAAATGCAAATGTCTCTGAAGCTACCAGCGTTTCTTTTACAAACCGAATTCTGAGGCATTTTTTTTACATGAATTCTATACTTGCTTTTCGAAAACTCGTTTCTAAAAAATAATAACATGCAGTAGTTTATCCGATTTCCTATTTAAAAATAAGGTTGACATTTTCTGGAAGAGACTAATTCGCACGATAATGCGATTTTTACTAGGTGGTCGATTTTACGGAGAGCAGATCTGATGAGCTTAAAAATACAATGAATTTTGACATAAACGCGCCAACTTTCGTTTGGAATTCCCATCATATCTGCGCAGCTAATGTACATGTCACAATGTGGACACGGCGTTGTGAGGCATTGACTTTGCTTGATTGATGGGCCATCATCACCTGCGCGCCAAAGTTGTAAAAGAATGTCTGGTTGTCAGTCTTGGCTGTATAAGCCCCACTGTGAGAACGAGAGATGGACAAAGCGAATTAAATCCTGAAAACCTGAATGGCTTTACGTCGCCATTCATGCTTTGTTGAAACGGAAAAAAGCGTTTGAATTCTTAAAATTTCATCTCGATTCAACGCCACAAGAGATGTCTCAATCGAATTAGGAAAAAGAATAAGGCATTCTTTATTAAATCGCAATGCTTTCTATATTTATACGTTACATGGGCTAAATCACGAACTAGATTTAGAATACTTATCACTAGGGGGGGAAGGGGTTAACTAACAATATACACAACATTAAAACCTCGCAACTAAACATCGTTTAATTACTACAATCATTATCGAAATCTATATATTGCCCACTATATGCTTTTGAAACACACAGCCAATGTACGACTCCAAAGGTATAAAAACATACAGAACTATTGTCCATGCATGCATGGATCTCTCTTTAGCTTAGGGAGGTCCTTTGTTTTAGTTCTTGCAGCCACAAGAAACAACTAGGCAAACCTAGAGGGAATTGACAAGCAGGTATCTAATGTCTGGTGGTACATCTTAACTGAGCTGAATATTCTCGATCGATGCGAGTGGTTTAACTGCATGCAGTGCTTCCCCGCGGGGCAATTTTTCCAGCCAAAAATTCTCTAGTTATGGGCACGATTTCAATAATTTCACAACCAAAAAAAAATTTAATTATCTCAAATATTTTCACCCTAAGCTCTCTCAAATAATGCTGCAAGGCTTCCCTGAGTAATCCTGTTCTATGAATTCTATATATGTTCCGTATAACGAAAAAAAAAAGGGATATTCATCATGAATGTAGCTATTCATCAAACGCGCTTGCACTTACTAAGAGGAACTTAGGTTAAGGAACTTGCATGGTTGGAATATTTTTTTCCCTAGAAACCAAAGTTCCTGCATGATCAATATCGATTCTGAGTCAGTTTTTAGAATACCAGAGATATATTCTTTCTTTAAAATGAAAATGGCGTTTCGAAATTGATTTGAAGACCACGAGTTAAACTATAGTTTTGATTCGCATATGCATCGTGGTAAAGTTTGGGCTATAAGTGGCGATCATTACTATGACATGATCAATCATTAGGAAAACTTATACTCATTGAATATATTAGGTCGAGAGACCCTCAACAGAAATCGTTGTTATCAGTACGATGGCGCAAGTTTAAATGATAGTGATGTGTTTTCGTGGCCTGTTTAGCTGATTCAATTGTAGCTAATTCTGATACGAGATCGAGTAGGTGCAGGAATATATATTAATACAGGAATATGAAATGAAACATTTTGATTGTAGTTTTTATGGCTTTTTTCCATGGGAAGTCGAAATTTGTTTGTATTTACAAAAAATACAAATGTTTTAGATACTCTTATAGTACAGAATTCTGTTTCATAGTTGGTTCTGATTGAATCATAAAAAATAACACACAAACAATATTACTATGTCGCTTTGCAGGGGGGATCTATGCACGTCCTGCACTCAAAATCCTTATTTTCAAGGAACTAGGTACTCTAAACTGCTTCCTTCTCGTCAGAAGAATGGGAATACCGGTTGTCAGAGAACTCTTTTATGCGATGTCGTGCATGTTTCGTTACTGGGTCACAAATATTACTGTCATGCAAATGGAATAGTGCTTGTTAACCTCAAATTCCGCAAAACCTTTTTATAAGTGGTTGGCATATTGCGTTTCATACCCAAATTCACGAATTCCGAATTTCACGAAATTTTATCA